CACCACCCAAACCTACTCCTGCACCACAACCACAATCAATACTACCACCACCACCACCGCAAGACACTAGCCCGCACCAGACCGACCCCTTGACCCTCACCCAGCTTCACGTCCTTTTCGCCGGCGCCCCGCAATTCCGAGTCGCAAAAGTCAACGGCCGCCGCACCCCTACAGCCTCGTTTCCTTGGAGCGTCCAGGCTGCCACCAAGGACGCGACCGATGTCGCTCCTCTTGCTGAGCCTGCCTTCTCCGCTGCAACCCTGCGCAAACACTCTCTCAAGGCCCAGCCTCTTGACGAGTCCCCGAAAGAGTACAATGGATATGCAGTCGACGCCGTCGAAACCCCTTCTATGCTTGGCACTCAAGGCATCGAGCCTGGAACAGTTGGCTTCGCCCACTTTCTCGAGTTGCCCGAGTCCGATGTCCTTCTCAGCCAACCCCAAGCATCCCAATCAGCTGCCGACCCGACCGAGGCGACCAAGAATAAGGAATTGTTACACACCAACCCAGAGCGTCTGGGTATCCGTTCAGTCGACCTCCGCCTGATATACGACCGCTTGGGCGAGTTTCAGGACATGTACGAGGCATTCCACGATAGCCCCGAGCCCATGACTATCCTCAACACTCAGACGTCTGGGGACCTGTACGCCAACTTGTTCACCAAGTTCCTGACCCCACCTGGCTACGACGGCGCGACCGACGATCCCACTGGAATGCAAACACAGATTGCCGCCTTACTGAGGGTTCTAGACTTGAAGGGAATTTGGTACGATTTTAGCTTGGTAGAGTGGAGGATTAGGCTGGGCCAGATCTTGTGGAGTGAGCCAGACCTGATACCTGAGCACGAGCACGACACACAGCCCCTGTGGACTGAGCGCGAGATTCTGCTCCTCCAAATCACCTTGGCGTGCGAGCTGCTGCTCCGACTAGATGCCTACACAAACGCCGACGCCGCCGATGCTGCCGTCCGACTGCGCATCAATCCCCAAGATGTCGAAGCGTTTCTCCAGTTCAAGACTCGAAAGATTGATTGGGATCTGGTCCTTGCCCGCACATTTCTGGACAACATTGCTATAATGGGAGGCTCCCAAACGTCTCCCAAACCCAAGTCGGGTGGCTTACTCTCTCTGTTCGCTGAGAATGCCCACCACGAGATGCCCCAATCAGACCTTATCTTGTTTCCGCAGCACCAGACGCGGCAGATCTCCGGCCTTCTTCACTTTGCCACTGTTATACAGTGGCCTGGCCTAGACGTCGTGTCTGCCCAACTTGTTCGCAAGTTGGCACCACAGATCAAGAGCGAGGATACCACACCATCATCACCAAGTGGCAGGTTGACAAGCCCAGAATCTCCTTCTGGCTTCAGTGTATACGCAACCCCTTTACAAACCCCACCAGCTTCTAGCTTTCAAATGGAGAGCTACTTTGGGCAAACCGCAAAGCCAGCGCTAGAGCGCAACAACTCTCGAGCTTTCCACATGGCCCTTACCCCTACCTTACCAGCTCTCGAAGACCAGTCCACGGCTTTTGTGAACAACGTTGGTGGGTGGCTTAGCCGGTCATACCTCACGGGACTCGTCCTTCCTGGAGAGGCTATTTCACACCTGCTCATCTCCACATTACTCGAAAACGATGAGATTGCCGTCGCCAACCTTGGTCACTCTGCCAATCTGTATGGGGGTTTCACTTTCGGCGACAGGACTTTCTGGAGCAAGAACTCCATCGTTGGGCGCATCCTGGCTTGTGTAAAGGGTTCCGCAGAGTGTATGGGCTGGGTGTCTTGCCCAAAACTGCCAGAGAATCCAGCTGAACGCTGGTACTCTATTCACAGTGAAGTTCTCCCTTACGAAAACCGCGTGCAGGAGAGGGACGGTTCCGATGTCGTCTCACGAGACTCCGCAATCGTGCCTGGAGATTCTCCTACTTCAGTCAAGTCAGAAGACTTTGTACTTCCCCGGGACCTTGACCCGATGCCGACCTCCTCTCTTGGATTTTCGCAATGGGAGCTTGTCCCAATGAACGCCGATCTCATCGATGGCGACAGCTTGACAGGACCATACTCTGAGAGCGATATACACTCTCCAGCTATGACATTTGTTTCAGCCGACGGGTCGGCCATCCATACACTAACGCTAGCCTACGATATCCAGTTTGTAACTTCGTGGCCATGCACACCGGCCGCATCTGGGCCTGCCTCTACGCATCGGCCCAGGGTCCTGAGACGCTCTGTCACAGGAACATTATCAAGATCTTCATCAAAACATAGCGAAACCATGTCCCGCCGCAACAGCCATGGCTTCGAGCCACTACTATCACATCCGCCAGATGCCCCTACCAACGAGCCAAAACGCATGTACGACGTGCCTGATGAAATGGCTGGCGAAGGACTCGCGACAGGCAGCAAGCCCCTGGATGCGCATTTACTTCACAAATTGTACTCGTACAAGATCATTCCTGTGACCGATATTCTGGATCCAGATTTTCTCCTCCCCTTTGAACTGCACACGTCAAAGTCGAGCGAACGCATACTCGCCCTGTCCCAGAGTGATTACAGCGAAGCAGACACAATCCGCGAGATCAAGAAGGCAGTCCTCGTCCTCGACGCCCGCACATCTTGGGATCTCGAAGTCCTGGCCCGAGCTTGGTGTGCAGAGAGGGGTCTCCATGCTCTTGTTAGCCGTGTGGGGAGAACGTGTCTCGCCTGTTCGATTCGAGAGGCTAGAGGTCTGGGAATTCATATCGTTATAAGGGTTTAGCATGGATGGGATGATGGCTTGAAGAAACCCACGAGGGGCTTATTTTTTTTCGATTTTACCTATTATTGGATTATTTTTTTGGTAACCTGGCGTTTGCATGTAATTATGCAAGATACCCCCCCTTTTCGTCCTCATCCTTCCCAAGTTGAGAATGCAAAATCAGAATGTTATATGTTTTCTTGGTTTTTTTTGGGTCTTAATCAAATATATGTTTTAAGTATGTGCAAGAGTGGGGTAGGCAACGAGAATGATTCCGGTGGTTTAGTACTATACTGTATGCATGACATCCATCTATATACGTATGTGTTTTTAGGGTACAATTTTCAGGGCTATCACATGATTAAATCCACAACATGCAAACTCTCTCATCGCTTAAATCATTTTTTTTCCTCCTTTCAGCTGCCACCTGCAATCTTCTCATTTTTTTTCTCTCTTTCTCTCTTTCGTATTCCCGTTTCTATGAATAAACTACCATGGTGGGGGCCCCGTTTGGCAACTTTCCCCCTTACAAGAGTAGCCCCGAGGCTGTGTAGTTGGGAATTTAATTTTTGTGTGGCGTTGCGCTGGTTGCCTTGTGTGTTGTTGTTGGCCCCCCCCCCCTCCCCGCGCGCGCGCGCACTCGGTGCCAGTAGTTAACTAAAACTAACGATGCCTAATTAGGGGTGAGGGGCGTGTGCGTGCGTTGTGGCTGCGCTGTGTCCAAGAGATTATGAACTTAGGTACACAAATACGTACCCTCTTTTCTTTTCGAACCTGACACTTTGACGCTTCTTTTATTCTTGTCTTATCGGAGATTTTTTTTGCCCCCGACATTTTGAAGACGGTTATTCGAATCACGGGGAGTTTGATGTTTCGCATAGTGCTAGTATAGGACCTCGAACAATTTTTTGTTGTTTTCAGGGGGGGGGGGCCAACTTACTACTTGTTTTTCCAATCTGCAACAACGAGCGACAACGCCTAGTAGTCACGGGATTTTTTTTAACGACACGCAAACAAAACATCTCATTGCCCTCCCATCGCTATCCACTCCGTAACTGGATCTGAATATATCGAGTCATCATACCAAAGCAACCTCATCACCTCCACCTCTAAAAAGAAAAAAAGAAGAGATTGGGAAATCGGAAAACAGGAAAAGGTTAAACGAAAATGAATTACGCACCCATGAACGAACCCACCGCGGACCTCGAGGAATCGGGCGGACCTCTTGGATCAAGCCGTCAAGAAGATTGCTGTTCGCGCTGCATACGCAACTGTGATTGTACGCTGGCGGGACCCTGGTGCATCGAGGCTTGGGCGGCATGTCTTTCAATCATCGGGCGCTGTTTTAGCGAGGCTTTGGGGTGTTGTAGCGAGTGTGCTGACTGTTGTGATTGTTGTAGGTGAGAGGGGTTGGGGGGAAAGAAGGAAAGGAAGGAGAGATTGTGGATTTAAGCATTTTTTGGGGGGGAGGTTGTGGTGCCATTGGGGAAGGAAGGGTTGGAGGGTGAAACTCGGGGACGCGGGTTTTTCCTGTTGGTAGTTGATGAGTGGTGTATGCTCGTTCCTACAGCTCGAGGGACGATGTGCTGGTGCATCGCAGGAAGCGCTGTGTTTATAAAGCGACTGATGCGCGCGTCTGTCGTTCAGTCGAGTCTCCCTTTTCTCCAGCAAACATGCGGTGGTGCCTCGCAAAATCGAGACTGGAACGGCGGAATTACACTTGACCACAACGACCGTACTCGACAGGGAGATATTTAGAAACGACCCAAAATCATCAAGTTTCATCGCGATCCCACTTCTACACTTTCTACCATCCACCAACCTCATATCACGTAAACCAATCAATTGAACCAACTAGCCAAAAAATTCTGCATCTGCCAAAAACCACCCCAAATTCAAATTCATGACGAAGCAATATCCTAGCTAGCGAGCGTATATACATCCAAAACATGATGATTAAAAAAATTATATAGACAAGGACAGGTTCCCCATCAAACAAAAGCTCACCAATTTCATCCATGCATGCAAATGTGAGATGGGAAAAAAGAATGCAAAAAAAAAAGTTGTTACAAAAAACGAGGGTATATGAGAAAAGCCAAGGGTATCTCGTAGTATAGGCTTTTTGATCTTGAGAGCGAATAAGTGAGGAAAAGCGAATGCAAGTGTGTAGACGCGAAAAGAGGTTACAACGCTAAAAAAAATGTGATAAAGAACAAACGTATTGATGGGCACCGTTGTAAATGCTGATATCATCGGATAACAAGCTTATGCCTGTCGGCTAAGCAGCAACTCTACTGCGCAGTCAACTCTGAGTCCAGACCCGAGATCCGTCATGCGCAGCGCCTCTCTTGCTTGCTCGGGCGTAAATCCCATTTCTACGATGCGGTAAATAGCTTTTTCAGCCGTGTTCTCGTGGCTGGGGCTCGAGTAGATGGAGTGCTGGCGCTCGTGCTGCTGGAAGATTGCGCTTCGGGGACTGGCGGATGAGCTGAGGTCGCTGTCGCGGCTCTCTTTGCGTTGATGGAAAACAAGATGGTTGGGTCGGGCTTGCACAGGAGATAGAGGGTGGTGAGAAGGTGCGTCTTCGAGGATTGAAGGCATCGAGATGCCTATGCCGCCAGCTTGCCAGTCGCGTGTGTTGGATGCTGTCGTGGTTGAGGGGGTTGGGAGGAGAGGCTCTGCGATCATGCGGCGGGTCGGTGAACCAATGCTAGAGATGGCGTCCAGGGTATACAGGTCGCGGTTGCTCCGGAAGGTGGATATTGATGGGGATGGGAGAAGAGGCCTCGCTGCTGTTCTCCATTGAGGCGATACTACACTTTCTTCGGCGGACGGCAGGCCTGAGACTACACTACGTTGGTCGAGAGCAGGTATCGTCGAGGGTGCTGGCGTCGGTAGCAGCGGTCGAGCGACTATCCTTTGAGTTGGTGAAGGGGTTCTTGTTGCTGGGAGCTCCGATATAGAGTAGCCTTCGTTGGGAATTGCTACTGATGATTTGAGACCAGGTACATGAGTGATAATATCGCCTGTTGGGCCTTGTTTAGGAATCGGAGGACGAGTCAAGTTCCTGAGGACTGTATCCCAGTCCGACATGGGTCGTTCTTGCGACATGGAAATCATCGGGCCAGTTTCACCGCTTATTTTGCGTTGATGCAGTTCATTAATGTGCTTTTGGATGCGCATCTTCGATTGCTCGCGCTGGACGTCGCGGGTAGAGATCTTTGCGTAGGTGTTTGCTATCTTGTCTTCGTAGATACGGGAAGCGGCTTCCCGGAGAAACTTGCGACGGGTATTTCCGGGATTCGGGGGCTTCCAGTTGACCCAGCCGTTCTCGGCAGCAATTGTAAAGCCTTTGGGATTGGAGGGGTGGTAGGGTCCAGTTAGTTTCAGGACAGCGGCTGGACCAAAGGTCATAAGGTAGTAACACCATTCATCTGGACGAATTAGCTATTGAGCAGGTCTGAGAATGGAGTAACATACCAAGCATCATCTCTTCACCATCAATATCTCCGCCTCGAATTTCTGTAGCGTCGTATATTCCTGCCTGGCGTGCTTGGACTGTTCGGCCTTCGAAGCTTTGCAAGAGTACTGCTAAGCAGTTCCATAACTCCATAATGTCAAAGAGCTGCTCGGCACTGAGCCCGCCTTCGTTGCCCTTGCCAAAACTCTCAGAAGCACCGACGAGCGTATCATTCATGAAATCCGTGCCCGAGATGCTGAAAGTGCAAGTTTCCTGATGGGCCATTGTTCCTCCATTCAGCCAATCCATTTGCGCAACAAGGTCATCCTCTCGTCCTTTGCCTGAGCCGAAAATTGTGCAAAATGTCCATATGCGCCATAGCGCATCGTCTACCCTAGCCGACTCTGATGGATTCGTACTCATAAGCGCAATCGATATCTCTGGTCGCACAAACGACTGGCACTTTTCCAAAATCTCCAGCTTAATGGCGCGGATCACTTGAATGTCTTGTTTCTGGAGCCGCAGGTACGACGTAGGAGAGTATTCCTCTTCGGGCCGAGTCATCTCGAGATCGTGTGCGTGCAAACTGTCATGGCCAGGGAACGCAATTTCCCGAAATTCCCATGCCGGAGGGGACATGGCTCGCAGAGTCGACTTGATGAGATCGAGTTCATGGCGCTTGAAAACTCGGTAAAAGCCATGGTTGACAAGAGCAGCAGCGAAAAGATCGTCAAAGTGACTTAGGTGCTGCAAGATGTTCAGGATGAGAGACTCGGCTCCAGCGGGCGAGATGATCGGGTCGGTTGTGTTTCTTTCAGTCGCATTGGTATCGTTTCGTGGATTTGGGACCTGGGACAGCACCATGTCTGCGCTTGTCCTCCTGTACTTTGGGATTATGAGTGTTAGCGTCTTGCTCGCCTTGGAGCGCCCTCGTCGGACCTGTGAAGCAATGTGGTTGTGTGGAAGGCGAGATAATTTCATGTTCCAGTTCGCTGGCTGGCGTTTACTGGATTTGCGAGGCAAGGGAGGCGGAGCACTGAGTTGATCACTCGGTGCCAATTCTGTGAGAGACATCTGTACATTATCGCCCTCAGTTGAAGGTTGAAGTGCATCCCACTGGAAAAGATTGGCTTCTGCAAGGGGGGTCCTATCTTGATCAAATTCCGCCCCAAGGTCGCCAATGCTCTCGAATGAAGCCAATTGCTGATGCAGGTCGCATTCGGCCTCGCTAAGAGTGGGGCTGCAAGGCCCTCGCTCGATGACCGACGAATGCCTGGTCTCGCTGTGATGAGTGGCTTGTGTCTGTAAGACAAGACGCGGGCTCGGGGCTGGACGTCGCCGCGGACTATTCCGTTTGGAGGACTTTCGCTCTATTTTTGGTTCGCATGCTTCGGCGTTATGCGGGGTATTACAGGATGCATGAGTGCCATGGGTAGTAGCTCGAAAGATTGCACCCTCTGAGCTGGAGGGCTGATGCATATATCTTCGGGGCGGCTCGGTTGGCGGCGCTTTTCGTTGGCCTTCCTTGTTGTTTATCGCTGCGTCCGGCTTTCCTTGTTTTGGGGGGTTGTCGGCTTCGAAGCTTGTCTCTGAGGACCGGTAGCTGCGTAATGACGACACTTCGCTCTCTTGGGAATAAACCGAGCAACTATAAATTGACGTGTGTACAATTCCAGCCGCACCCTTGGTGTGCCGTGATTTGGGAGATCTTGCAGGAGAAGTTTGACTAGTCGTACGTCTTGAGTGCTGTGAAGTAAGCGACGCCTGCGACTGGGCCCACCTGCATCTGTCGCCTGCTAATGGGGGCGAGATAGAATATCTGCTTCTCAGCTCACCAAAAGTGGCTTCGAAGAACGGGAGTGGCGGAAGCGGCTGGTCACATCTCCCGCTGGGGATTGTTGCAGGCATCTTAGATTTCTCCTGCCCGTTTGTGCCTTTGGTATTCTTGTGGCTGTCGAGAGTAACAATCTCGCCTCTTCGCTGCCATTGAATCTTGCCGTCTTTATATGTTCCGATTATCGAGGCCTGGCTATCGAATGATTTCGACTTTTTGGAAGCGCGTTTGGTTCCTGTTGGCTTCGCTGTGTTCTTCTTGCGCCATATGGCTGTGGACTTTGTTGGAAAAGTTGTGCCAGAAGTTATCGACAAAGGTGACTTGATATCATCAGTGAACAGGGACTCTGGTAGCACTAATTCCCGTGCCTCCGAGTGTACATCTTTTTCGTTTTCGGGATTTGCTGGGACTGCCCGCAAAGTCGTAGTTGACTTGGAGTTTTTGCCTCTGAGCAACAACAACATCCTCCTTTTAAGTGCGCCTCGGCAGGCGTGGCATTCGCAGATTGATGACACGGGGTAGTATAGTGCGATGGGTTGTAATGCAGAGAGACAGGGGGTGAAACGTTCAGTACTAGTAGAGAAACAGAAGTTCTGAAAGAAGTCGCCCTTTCGGAGTGCGGCAGAATATACAGTTCGCCCATGGTGGCAGGGCATGGCCTGTATACTATTACTGTCCCAAGTGAAAATAGCAATGACTCCATTCAGGCGCTACTGGACACGTCTGGGGCCGAGCAACGGTAACTATGGTGGGGCTTCGGACAGACCATACATCGCACGGCGTGGCCAAAGCTGAGGTGAGATGAGCCCGCAGCCAACTTTTCTGGGTACACCACCAAGGTCCACAAGCGGACGAGGCGCACACTTGTTTGCATTCAACATGAGAAGTAATCTATCACATACAACCGAAATCCTCAATACGAGGAAGTTCACACAATCGGAAGGCCAAGTGCTGTCAACTTTTCCTGAATCGCGCAGATTCAGATTCAGATTCATGCAAAACTGGCGTGGCTCGTCGGTTTCCGTCATCTGGCACCGGCAAGGATCGCGCTATGTGTCGTGCATGGCAGTGCTGCGCTAAATTGGTGCCCTAGACTTGAGATAAGACTACTCGACTTGGCATCATGCTGCTGCGCAATCCCGATGGTCCTATAAATGTATACTGTAGAACCCATGTAAGCCTTAGAGAGCACACAACACCCGCTTGTTTCACATTCTCAAATCCAGCGTCGCTTGCCTCGCACACCAACTCTTTAGTAGTATGGAAACATCATTTGGCTCTGTAGAACGGTTTTGCTACGGCCGTGCCAGATATGGAGCCACTTCGGGCCGTCGTAGTATTAGAGCCGAGACGGCATCGTAACTTTCCTGTCGGTGGGTAGAATGATCCAGCGCAGGTTTAGAAATCACCATTCTTCACATGCTCACGTGTAGTGACTAGGCTGCGTGATTTCAAATAACTCACTCGGTGAAATGTCGCTGGTAGAGTGTCCTGTTAGCAATGCTCATCGAGTTAACATTCAGCAAAAGTCTGAGCGAGAAACAACCTCGCCGATACACTCGGCGGCCTGAATTGCTAAAAACCCGATTTTGAACCAAGGCCTCGCAGATCCGGTTAAATGCATCCCAGAAATTCCTGGTGAACCCGATGAGTAAAAGGCCCCTATCACGTGTGGAGGTGTACATCTCCACAGTACTCAGGGCGCTTTGATCCACAAATTCGGTGATGGATATGCACAATTTCCCCTTATTCATTTCCACACGTGGGATTATCGTCAGATGTTCATTCGCCAGCAGCTTGACCCCTGACAAGAAAGTAGGGTACCTGAGCAAACATGGGGAAAACACCTCTCTATATTGAGCGCTAGCAGTGCCGAACAAGGCATGGCACGTCCCGTACTCGGCATATCTCGTTGAGATCTTGCCGTATTCTTCGTTGCTGTGAATCCTTCCCGGTTTCCATGACTAAATCGACACACTAGTACGCTAGAATCGGAGGTGCGCAACTATCCAAGGGAGCCAAGCTTTTCTCAGTACAATGGAACAATGGTTCATTGAAGTGAGATTTTGAATGCCGGCTAGAAAAGATGCTGCTGGTTTCGTCAAAGACAAAGCCGTTATTCCGAAGAGCATCAAAGAGTAGTATGTCTTTTGAGTGGTTGTGCTGATTAGATAGGAGTGGTGCAATATTGTCGACAACACTGATATCGGCAGCATTCCAGTAAGCGCGTCAGACCAGCATAAATAGCGCAGAAGGATTCAAGATAGCACAGCTAGCTTTACAACGCGAAACACGTATATGTATTTTGTTCTTTGTCTATCCCAAGTATGGATCGACAGATTGAGGAAAGTTCCCGAAAGGCGCTCAGATTTACCGTCCATATCAATGGTGGAAATATTCAAGGATCCTAGACTTAGTGCGCCCATGTGTTTCTAGAGAGGCTTTTTCAGTAATGGCCTAGTTCTTTATCTTTTTACTGACAAAAGACATTGGTTGCGCACTGACAAATTCCAGCTGTTGGGACCGCGGAAGCTCCCGAAGCCCTACACTGAGATGCAGAGCCCAGAAGCCCAACAGTGCTACTGGCCATGCCTGCTTCATCGTTTCACATCTGCCAGTAAGAAAACTCCCAGGATTTCGCGTTGTAAAAGAAACCTTGCCACTTCAATGACCTGACCGACACACGCGATATCGCGAAGAGCATCTTGACCAGTGCGAAGAAGCCACACCAGGTGTTCCGTGAGACATTTATGCACTCAAATTTTGTTGTACATATGCGAGACGCATAGTTCACGCCATACGTGGATCTGCACCTAGCAGGCTCGCAAGGTCAACTCGGACATATAGTCCTCGACCAGTGGAGTGGACCGGCAACAGCTTACGTGTGCTCTGCATGCTAGAAATAACCGTAGCGGCTTACCCAACATAAGTACACCGCGATACTACCGTAGAAGATCTGTGCGTTCTACTTGCAGTCCGCCGATGTGGATCGAACGTGGATTCGCCAAGCACAACCTCTCCATGTACACACAGGCTTTGTCATTGCAGCAAAAGAAAACAAGTGCAGATATCCCCACAGTTTGTCAGACTTGGATGATAGGACCGGACAAGCCCCGTCTACTATAGATCAATGCGTCCCATTTAGGCATAGTGTATCTAGTACATGCTGTACGCAGTAGTCTCAGCTGCTTACGAACGGGCAGTCGTCTTTGTAAACCTTGTTCTTATTTTACTGTCGTTACCCGTACTACCAGCCGTAGCTGTGGCTATCTGATTTCAGCACGCAATATGCTGCAAATGGATGGGATCTGTGCAGATTGCAATGCGATAAATACGAGTCCTATTTTTGGAGTCTGGAAGGCGGCTCAAAATATGAGCTTCTCAAGATCGAACAAACGGAGGACTCTTTCCGTGACCGAAACACTGATTAGAGATATCATTACAAACAACTTAGCAATGAGCCTTTCATGAGATTTGACTACAAGCTACAGCATCAAGCCCAGCTTCAACTGACTATTAAACTTACGTGTACAACATAGTATACCATCAGCAGCCGCCAGCCCTCTTCTAATCCTGCAAATCTAGCACAACCCTGCCCTGCAACTTACCCTCTTGCATCTCCTTGAAAACATCTGTCAACTTGTCCATCTTCTCAATTCTGAAATGCGACTTGACGACGCCCCTCGCTGCGAAATCCATCGTCTCAATCGCCTCCTTTCTGCTCCCTACCGCTGACCCTACAACCTGCACCGACTTGCCGATCAGCAGAGCAGGAGTCGCACTCTTAATCGGCATAGGGTCTCCCTCTGGCATACCGACGCAGACAACACGGCCACCGAATCGCAGCATTTCTGTTGACTGTGCATACGCGGCGTTGTTGCCAGTGCAGACGACAACAGCGTGAGCGCCAAGTCCATTGGTCAGCGATTTCACAGTGTCGACAACGCCATGCTCGCCATCTACGGCAACAAAGTGCTCGGCTCCGCTCTCCATGACGAGGTCTTTCTTGCTGCTATGATCCACGCCAATGACGCGGTGACCGATGCCCCGCGCGCTGAACTGCACAGCGAGATGGCCCAGTCCACCCCCGGCGCCGGAAATCACGACCCAAGTCCCGGACTCTGCATTCGTTTTGCGCAGTGCCGAGTATACGGTTACGCCGGCGCAGAGTAGCGGCGCGGCGGCGTCAGAAGCGAGGGCATCGGGAATGGGTGTGACGTAATTTGCGGGGGAGAGGACGTACTGCTGAAAAGTCCCTGGGGTGAAGTATCCCGAGACTTTCTGTTCAACAACCAAGTCAGTAAGCAAAATAGCTGCAGCTCCTTCTACCCTTTACGTCCTCCAGGAATGTGCCAGGTATGAGTAAAGGCCATCTAAGGAAGCAGATCAAAACTTACCGCACTGGAGCAACAAGCATCAAAGCCTGCCCTACAAGCCTCACATGCTTCGCATATACCAGCAACCCACTTGATCCCCACTCTTTGCCCCAGTTTGACACTAGCATTATCCGTTCCCGGTCCCATCTGTACAATCGTTCCCACGCCTTCGTGTCCACCAACTTGCCCCGCTTGCGTGCCAACCGGCAGTGACTTCCACGAGTTCGTCATAACTCCGATATCAGAGTGACACACACCCGAGTGCGTCAGCTTGATTAGGACTTCGCCTTGCCCGGGCGAAGGCATGTCGAGCATTATTACCGCCGTGGAGATTGTGCCTGGCTTGTCGTAGATGACAGCTTTGTATTTGGAGGGGAGTGAGGGAGTCGTCATCTTGAGCTACGGTGGTCTTGTCTTATCTCCTTGTGTAGATGTCTATTTACTACTGTGAGGAGAATGTATCGAAGAGGGAAGTCTTGAAGCTGATGGTTGTCTCGAGGACTTGAAAAAGAGAGGAAAACGTTACGCGTCCTTGATCGAGCAAAGCGCCCAGAATCCAAGCAGAAAAGTTGAATGGAAACAGAAAAGAAAAGCCTTCCCAATTCAATACTTTCTCTCTTATACATATCCTCTCCTCCAAACTGCCGGTCTCCACTTCCTTCCCCGTACTACATCGTAAATAATGACCGGGGGTTCGCTCAGTTCGTACTACTCCACCTATATACTTGTAAGAATTTGCTGACACACTCGCTCGCTTCTCCTTCCAACCCAGACCACTCCTTCCAACAAACCCAGACCACTCCTTCCAACAAACCCAGACCCAGCCAGTAACCAACCCGAAATCTCCCATTGCAATTCTACACAACACCTCCCAATACATCTTCAAAACCTGGAAAAACAAAAAAGTAACCCCCAACATCAAAAGCCGAGGTCTACTCCCCACCACACCCATACCCCTTCCCCTCCACCTGACCTAACACTAGCAACCTCCCCAATGGGTCCCACCATATTCCACCTTCTAGCCCCTTGGCCCCCAGATAGCTCCATCCACCTGCGCCATACCACACACCTTTACCCCGCACCCCGCACTCCAAAACAAGAAAGAGACCAAAAAAAAAGAGCGCCATGCTAGCCTCTCCACTAAACAATCGATTAAGCACAATAAACACTAGAGGCAAAGAATAATAGTAGGGGTACGCATATACGGCATCAGCATACGCAAGAAGGGGGGGGGGGTGTTTCGGACACACGCACACGGACGAATCCAAGCGCGAAAAGCCTCAAAGGGCAAAAGGGAACTAAGTAGTTGGGTTGTTTCCCCCGTTTTGCAGGTGCCCAATACTTAGGGGTTGCGGCGGAGGTTACGTCATGGGGTGTGCGTACGTAGATAGGTACGTATACGGGTGGTTGTGTGAAACGGGCTTATAGGGATTAATTAGGGGTGTTTAGGGAGGGTGGGGTAGGCAAGGGGGTAGGCAAGTAGAGTCAAGGATGTGAGGAATTACGCGTCTGGCGGGTTGTTGTCTTGCTGGTTTGTGTATACTTGATTTGAATAGTGATTGCCTCTCGTGTGTGTGTCGAAGGGGGAGGAGTGTCTCACGATTTAAGCTTAGTTGTTAGTGCGTAGATGGGGATGCGGGAAAGTGAGGGGAGGGTTTGAAAGTAAAGTGGAGGTAATGACGTAGGTATTTCAAATGGTGAATAGAAAGATGCGACAGACTAGTTGCGAAATCTTATCTGCTTGGCTTTTTTTTTACCCTACTAACGAGCATCAAGGCAAGAGACAAGGTTTGACTACAAAACAGGTCGAGTGTATGACCTGGAAGAACATTTGATATCAAGACGCATACACACACATGGACAGAGAGATAAAGTTCAGATATAAAACATCCTACAGACAGTCTTTTGTTTGGAATACCAAAACCTGCTGACACTGTCTAATGATTCCATTAAAAGCTAAGCTAGCCAGCACATAGAATGTGCCCAATTGGATGAAACTCCTTCTTTCCATGTATTAAAGGAAGAATAAGCATCTTTTAAAAGTGGTATAGTACAGAATCATCTCGCGCATAGAAGCGTTATAGGGCGTTAGAAAGTAAAAGATGTAAGGCTGGAAACGGGTAAAAAATGAACGAAAGAAAGACTACCAAACACCTTTGCACCATGAAAAATGATGCAGCTTTTGTCCCGTGCTAGAAATGAGTGTTTGCGCCATGTTTGAAGAATTTACGCCCCTTGGTTGGTGATGAAGGAGCTGGCAAGAAGATCATCTGCACTGGGACGCTTCTCGTGGTCGATGAGGAAAGTGTCAGCTAGGAACCTCCTAGCATCCTCGCCAGCGTTGTCGGGAATGGTTGGGCTGGCATCGCCGCTTCCACCAATCTTGAAGATGGCTTGCAGCTGCGTGCAGTTGGGGTGGGGATGACTTCCAGTAAACATCTCCACAACCAGGCAGCCAAGTGACCAAATATCGGCTTTGCGGGTGTAAGCCGTTTGTCGAACAACCTCAGGGGCCATCCAGAAGACGGAGCCTTGAAGCGAAACGCGCTGAGCTCCCTTCTTTCCGCCGCCCAAGGTGGAGGCCTCGATACGCTTGGAAATTCCGAAATCCGAAATCTTGACGGAGCCCTTGTTGTCAACAAGAATGTTGGCACCCTTGATGTCTCGGTGAATAATATCCCGTGAGTGAAGGTAAGAAAGACCAGTGAGAATCTGGCGAACAAAGTTTTGGATAAGAGACTCGCCAAGAGGACCATAGTTGACAAGCATGGTCGCTACGGAGCCACCAGGGACGTATTCGAGGAAAATGTTGAGATGGCTGTCGTCTGAGTTGGAACCTAGATATTGCACAATGTTCTTGTGCTTGAGCTCGCGAAGAAGGCCAATCTCGTGTTTCAGAGCTTCGACCATGTTCGTTTTCTTGTGGTCCATCTGAGAAGCGCCAGCTACAGATGGAAGCTCAACCTGCTTAACAGCCATGAGCTCACCAGTGACGGCGTGCAGCGCAAGGTACACGCTGCCAAAGGAACCCTGTCCAATGAGAGCACCCTTCATGTACTTGACGTTATCCCAGGAGTCTTGCTCCAGGTACTCTGCAAGCTCGTCATCGGACTCTTCGCCGTCTTCGGCTAGGGCTTCCGACAGGCGTTTGTTGAGCGAGTCGCCATTCTCGGTGTTGCTACTGCTGCTGCCGGCAAGGCTGCTACCGGCATCGTCAAAGTAAGATTGAAGGGTTGTGTTGCCGTCCGGGTCGGTAATGGCTAAGCTGTCTCCGACACTGTCGCCGCCAAACGATACATAAGACTTGCGATTTGGTTCCAGAGGCGACTCTTCGTCGAGTGGCTCGAGGACAGAAGACGCCAAGGAGTCTCGGTACCCACTTTGATGAGGCAGTCCGAGGCGCATAACGGATAAGGGTCGAAGGGGGCGGGCCTGTGCACCTCCTTGGAGCCAGCTATCGGCGATGGACGGCAGTGGTGGAGCGTCTTTCAAGCTAGAAGCAACGCTAAAATTAGACGCCATCGATAGTCGGGATGCCGCCCGACTGAGGCGATGTGATCGGCGTATCGACATCCTAACGGTCTTGTCGATCTCATCTTTACCGACATCTGGAAAGTAGGAAGTAAGGTCGGAAGTAATGAGCTCACTGGGTGGGCGAGCGCCATAGAACTGCTTGAGCTTGCGCGCGCGTGCTTGGAAATAAGGTGACCGCGAGGCCTCGGCAGGCCCTTCGAGGTTCTGAGCTGTCGAGTTGATATGGCGTTCTCGTTCTCTGGCTGAAGTCGGTGATAGGGGGTAGCTAACGGCGGCAAGGGATTCGCCTGTGAGCTTTTCGATCTTGTTTTGACTGCGGTTGCTGGCGGGTACGTAGACGCCGTGTGGTTGTTGGTAGTTTTGTTGTTGGTAGATGCCAGCAGCAGCCTTGAGTTGATCCTCATCAGGCTCGCCCGCATGGACTTTGCGGAGAATTAACCGGCCGCGTTCGTGTCGGTTCGCGTCCTTGACCAGTCTGAAAAGCTCGATATCACTCAAGCGCTCCGATAGTGACGGGTCGGGATCGGAGCTGTTGAGAATGTAGAAGCAGTAGTTCTTGACGTGGGCCGTGTTGAGATGTCCTTTTGTTAATGTCTTGAGCATGACCTCGTCGGCAGTTTTGCAGCCCTCGATGTTGACAACTGAAGTGCGTCCACCATCGTAGATGACACGCACGAGAGCCTTGTCATGGGGCAGGATGGCGCTGTTGGTAGCGCTGTCCATGCTGGGGCTTGCTCGGACATGGTGGGCGAAGCGAGCCGTTTGGGGTGTCTCTGTAGGTGTACTCCTTTGGTTCCGGACGAGCGGGGGAGCAATGTTGACAGAGCTGCTTGAAGCACTGAGGGGATGGGCGCCGTATGTCTTGTTGCCTCCTTCCTTGGGGCTGTTCAGGCCTCCTTGGCGTTGTGAGCGCAGGTTACGCGTCTCTTGGTCAACAAGAGGAGAACCGGGACGGGAGGGCGACTTTGAGCCGTATGCGTAGCTGCTGAGGTCCGAGTTTGTGATTTGCCTTGACATGCGCTTCTCCGTCCGTGAACTCATGGGGTTGGACAAAGGGGGGTTTGGTCGCGCCGAGTGCAGAGGACGCGGAGAGCCGGATGAGGGAGGTGTGTATGCGGCATTGTCCAGGGTAGCGAGCGATTGCCTGTTCGAGGTGCGTCGAGAGGCCTTCTTGTACTCCTTGTTGCGAAGCTGCTTTGCTTGTGAGCCGATGCGGACGCGGTCGCCGACTTTTTTGATGCCCATGTCCTTGAGATGGGTCTGGTCCATCTCCATCAAGTTCTCGCCATTGATGTGGTTGACTGCGGGGAAGTGTCAGCGGTGAATAGTGGGTTTGGAGGAGTAGCGACGTACGCTTGAAAAGCTCGACATACTGGGCACAGTTGATGCGCTTCAGCCAGTCACCAACCTTGTCCTCATCCCAATGCCTGGACATGTTAGCTGGGGGGTGGTGGTGTTTGGGGAAGGAGCAGATGGCTCACTTGATGGCATCGGGAGCATCGTAGATTTCAGAAAACTCAGACTCAGTAGGCGAGGCAAACATGCTTTGGTCGGCGCGGGTGGCGGAGGCATGTGTCCGGTAGGAGTTGAGGCTAGCGTTATACTGGGCCGAAGACTGAGAAGCACCTCCGCTGACGGAAGGCGCTGGGTATGGGGCCTTTGAGGCGAGCATGGCCATAGCGTGTCGTGGAGGGGGTCGAGAAGCAGTGGTACGTGGGGTGGTAATTAGCAGGTCCGTCGGTCGGTGGTTCGGTCGTGTTGCGCTATCTACTACTCTATCTCATATATGCATGATGGGACGGTACGCGTGGTAGGATGACGGGTGTGTGTGTGTGTGGTGTGGCAGGTGAGTGCGGGTAGGATGGGAGGGAGTGTGTCTATGTAGGCGGTTGTGGACTGGCGTCGTCTTTGTGCACTCGAGGGGGGAAAAGGGCGTATCGGGTGTCTTTATTGCGGCGGCGGGCGGGCGGGGTGCCAGGATGGCTGCTGCAAGCGTGGATGGGAGAAGGGCTCAAGAAACAAGACACGGGCTCGAAACGCTTGACCTGGCAGCCCCGACGGTCTTTGTGGAATGGAGCGGTCGCGCGAGCACGGAGACAGCTTTTGGCACCGGTGCTGGCCAGCGTACGAAGTGAAACGTTAGTGAGACGGGACCGTGCGCCTATCAGCAAATCGGATAGGCCCGAGCTGGCGCTGCTGCAGCCATGGGGCGTGTCCAGCGCATTGCCTCTGGCAGATGTTGCAGGCCAGACGGCAATTGTCGCTGGAAATCAGTTTGCCCGGGCGAGACGACGGGCGTGCCGGGTGTGGTGGTGGATGATGGATGTGGCGGCGGCAGCGGCAGCAGTGGAGGAGGAGGAGGAGGAGGAGGAGGAGGTGATGAAGACAAAGGTTGGGGGTGGCGGGCAGGCGCTTGCAGAGAGGAGGAGCCCTGCGTCTACTACTACCACTACTACATACTTACTCCGACACAGGCAGCACATGATAGCAAGCTGCTACCACGACTACGACTACGACTACCGCTACTTACCACCAGTGGTAGCAGGGCGGAGCCGGTGGCCCGCGACAGCCAGGCATACTCAGTGGTCAGGCAGAAAGGCAGACACGGGCAGAAAGGCCGGGAGCCGAGCAGCGAAGCGAAGAGCGGTGGATGCGGTGTGGTCGGGAGAAGGTAATTTGCCGTGGGCCGTTTAGGAGTTGATTGCAATGCAGGGCTGCGGCTCAGAATAGCAGTGATATGAGGGCCTCTCCTTTCTGCTCATCTCATCTACTCACAGTACACACACACACACACACATTCCAGCCTCTGTCTGGGGTGTGGGTGGGCTGAGTGCCGATCCCGTGACTGGCGCACGTGCCCCTGCTGCCCTGCACCTGCACCTGGGGCCACAGCCGCACCCGTCCCACACAATGTCAACTCGTATCCTCGGGGCCGAACCATCAGGTACCACTACTTACTCGACATACCTACTTACTTACTGCACTCACTCTGACTTGCAGCCGTTGGCCGTGGCGCTGCTGACGGGCGCGTAGCCTATTGCGTCCCTGGCGCTGCTTTTGTTTTAATTTGCCTGCTCTACTTACTTACTGCCAATGTTCCGGGCCGTGTTGCTGCCGTATACAGCGTATACATCCATCCATACATACTTATTTGCAACATGTCTCTGGTAAACAACAACAAACGGCTCTGCGAAATAACAATCGTCAGTGGTAAATGGCCCATGTTCATGCCGTCCGTCGTCGCTTGTTTGGTCCACCGTCTGCTTTGTTTCTCATAAGTGAGCGGACATGCATATCATGCCTACCCCCGGGCGCGCAAAGGCCAGCCACTGGCACACGGCCACAGTTGAAACAACAACAGCCAAAACGAGCCCTCGCACGCCGCGTCATGGACGCCCTTTGCGACCAGCTGCCAACCACAAAACCAAACAAACAAAACTGACAATCGCCGGCTCTCCGTCATCGCCATGCTACTGCTGCCGCTGCCGCTGTCTGAAGTCGTGCTCCTGACTCCTGACAATTCCGGCAATCCTTTCAATCTCCTCGTGTTCCCAGCTCGGCTCGACTGCACTGGACTTGACCACACTGGGACTTTCTTGCAAAAACACACTGCCATGACGTTCTGCTTATTATGACGCAAGCCACACCACCTCTCCCGCCCGCCTGTCTTGCCCCAAGCCCCTCACGGCGCCTGCTTCCAACCAAGATAATGGATGGCCCCGCGCTGCCTCTCTGCCCTATCTAATGGCACAACCCCAACTAACTCGGAGCCCTCGTTCGGTCGGGCTTCTTGTCCTTTGTGACTGCTGACGCGCTGCCCGGGATACCGCTGCTTTGTAGTATACAACCCAACGCCCAAACTCCACTCAGGCTCTGCCGTGTTTGCTTCCACTGCATTCTGCCTGTCGCCTCATTTCCCCACTCGTCCTCTGTCATCTTCTCTACCAATCTGCCATTTTCGCCTGTACATGGCAACTCTGCTATAGCTCTCCCACTTGTTCGCGCGGCGTTCCGCAACCCGCCATCCACACAAGGCTCCTGCACTACCCAACCTCATCTTGCAGCCACAGCAACCATGGCCTATCGCGACCACCCTGACTCCGCCTACGACTCTTACCCTTCTTCCTCTGACAAGCAGCAATCTCACCGCGGAAGAAGCCCAGACTATGCCCCCAGAACCAGGTCCCGTGGAAGATCAAATGCTCCCGACTATCAGCCTCGTGACACAAGCCCTGCCTGGGACCGCCGTACTTTCGACCCGGCCTCCCAGCCCATTCAGCAGCCGCTGAAGAATGCCATTGGTAATGCTTTTGAAAAATCAGACGCAGCCCGTGTCGTCGACCCCAATCTCATTGCTCAAATCACGGCCGAGGTGAAGAAGTCGGTTCTCGATGAGATCAAGTCAGGTGTCATGGCTGGTACGACGCAGCCTCAGCCTGCACCCGTCTCGTCGCAGCAATGGGTTCCACCTTCTCCTGCCTCGACTTCCAATTCCATCCCACCCCGCGACGTCTACACCCCTCCATCCCCCAAGCGCAGCGATTTTGCCCCCCATCACTCCCCAGATCGAGGCCCCCTGCATACCGATCCACTACCAGATACTAACCACGATACGCCCACTGCACGATTCGACCGCACTGTCCCCATGGACCGAGAACGCCCGCCCACCCGGCCGCCTGCTGCGCCCAGAATGGCAACTGAAGACTACACCCCTATTGAGAAGATGTGGCAACGCTTGTTCGACTCTGATGGCCAACCCTTGCCCCGCCTAGGCCAACTCCTGAGAGGTCTAGCACTGCACTTGGCGAGTACCCTGACTATCCGCGGAGATACCCAAGGCTAATATCCGCACAGATTGAAGACTACGAACCAAAAAATAGTCTGGTCATTTCCCCTGCCAAGATGCTTAGGTTCTATGAACAAGTCAAGGTCAAAGACGAAATTTATCCATGGCAAACAATATTCGGCAAAATATCGTATTCTTCTCTATCCAAGATTTACCGAGACATGCGATGCCAGCATCATCTTATTCAACAACACCCGGCAGAGCAACCGTACATTCCGGCCCTCACCCCCGACGGTTTTCAAGAATGGATGACTGCTATGATCCAGGCATATCCCGACACCGAATACGAGCGGCTGACCAAAGCTATCCTCGACATGCCCATCAGCAATGCAGACGATAGGAAGGAACGATTTCCTAAGGAACTTCCTCGCAGAATGTTTCCTACCGCCGAAAATCTTCACGCGCAGCAACGATGCGCCGCTGCGCTTTCCTCAGAGGGCGTCGGGCCACTCCGAAAAGCCCCAACATTCCCACCACCGCCTCCAAAAACCCAAGATACCACTTCGAATGGGCCGAAACTTGAACGGGAGCGGAGCCCATATACTTCCAAGCCAGAAATCAGGCCCATGGACATTGACGACGAGTCTAGGCCTACATCAGTACCCATTGAGCGAGAGCGCAAACCGTACTCGGCAGCTCCAGGTGGTGGCAAGTCATATGATGACATGAACTCAAGCGCCTACTCGGACACTGCAACGAACGACAGGCGCAGACGTGCGCAATCAAATGCAGGCCAAGCTCCATGGCCATCTCCCCCCAACGACAATTCCTACCAACCACCTCATCACGCTCGCACAACCTCAACAAACACCCGACAACGAAGCCCGAGTTTCTCCAACTATGGTACTCAGTCGGATCCAAACGTTCGTGACATTCCAAACAACTGCTATGGGTCGAACATGTATGAAGACGAGGCTCGTCGCTTTAATAAGGACTATGATAGTAAGAAGCAAAACCGACGCCGTAGCGGTACCTCTGGCATGGACGGCTCTTTCGACGCTTCTTCACGACCTCCCTACCCTGATGACGATTATCGAGCACGAAACGGAAGCAACGGATATGACAACAGAGGTTACGACTCGCGCCGCTACTAGATGTACGGAATGCCTAAAACAAGAATTTATGAAGTTATGATATATACCCAGAAAGTTATCTTGTTATTGCGACGAGTCTCCCGTTTTTTGTTCTCCTTTCGTTAATGGCGTTTGTGGAACGTGAATGACTTTGATGGGAAAACTTTTGACCCAAATTGTACCAGTAGATATTGGGCTCGGAACCTTTGTATATTTTTGATGCAGTAGCTGCTCTATTTTCGAGATACCAAAAGAGGATGCGTTTAACCAATTTCATTCATTACTTATATGAAGAAGAAAATGACTAGCGGGAACTCGACTGTTGACAAAAAAACTTAGTCTGTCATAACCTTGTATTGGTATGCTGCTCAAGCCATTTTTGGATAATGGAGTTTTTATGCGTGCCTTTTTTTTTCTCATAACGTGCATATGCGAAAAAGAATACATTTTTACTCCACACACGTACTAGTTTGTACTTTTTCCATAACTAGTGCATATTGGGCCGGGATTTAAAATGCGTGCAATATCGATAGGTACGTTAGCGTTTCTACCATTACATCCGGAGCCGTCTGTTGGCCAAAGAGAATATACCTATGGTTGAGTACGTAAGAAAGCAAGTTCACGTGATTCTTTTTTTCGTTTCTTATTGTAAAAGGAAAGCGCTAGGGTTCATGTTTGAAGAAAACTATGTGAGATTCTATGGTATTTCAATAATCACCATGTACTCATAAGCACTTTGCATGTATAAAAGTAAAACAGCGTACGCAACGGTGGGACTAAGGTACTAGCTAAAATGCATGTTGTACAATTGTTGTCACAACATCAACCTCCCGACTTGTATGTAGCATTTGCTGCACATGTATATCAGTAGTGGAGCAATATGTTTCCTTGAAGAAGATCCTATAAGAAATGGCTTTGCTCAAAATTCATAGCATGAGATAGGTAGCATATATTACATAATCTACCTTTGGGCAACAGTGTGTTGGTCCCCAAGTGCTCCTTCCTTCACTTGCTTTTCTCACCTACGCACAACTCACCTGGTACTGCCCACTCGACTAGAACAGCTAACCAAGTCAAGATAATGGGATTTGAACAGAGGGGATCCGGGAAACGCTATTCAAGTTGTACAAATATACAAAAGCTTCTGCCAGAAACAGAAGATTATTATAACAAACTACACTCCCCACTTCTCACACAACCTACTCATCACCAGTCTCGAAAGAAATCCAGTCACCATGCAGCTATCGGTCTTTCTCCAAATCATCTCCAGCAGCCTCGTAGCTGCCCAATTCGGATCTACCATTAACGATGGCATGCCGATAACATGCGGAACTGGTAAGTACATATACACATCTCCAGCACACACCAAGTATCATCACCAACACGTTGACCCCAAACAGGCTACATACCATCCCTAACCTGCGACACACCCAATGGCATGTGCTCCTGCACATGTGACAGCGGAGCCGTCTACCAAAAACCCGAGTCCTCACTCAACCCCGTGTCAGACCCGTTAGACTTCTCCACCCCACAACGCCTCGCGACCAAACCCTGCACGGGCGATGTCCTCATGCCCTGGAAACACATTGATGTGCGCCGTACAGCGGGTACGGTACAGGATTCCACGATTGGATCCATAGTCATCGACAACCTCGAGGACAGTATTCTCCTCGTGGCTGATGGCGCCCATAGGTGCGAGCGGTTTGAGGTATACGTTGATGGTGTGTTGATGGGAGAGACGTCGGGAGAAGGGCCCCGCGATAATTACAAGTGCGACGCCGTAGAAAAGTGTATGAAGGAAGGCGCTGATTTTGCTTATTTTACTCTTCCGCGAGGTGAGTCCTTCTTTCTTTTTACAAGCCGTTTTCTTTCGACGATGCTCTCGTCGATTCGTCTGATATCCTAGCCTGAGGATTCGCCAAAGCTAACTGTATCGTCTTTTTTGCAGGAAAACATACTATTGGTACCAAATGGGTCAAGGCAACCGATGCATGCAAGGGCTGGCCTAATGGCATTGCAAATATTCAGACCTACAAGCCCTGCAAGTAGCTTTAGAACAAGGAACTTGGATGGAATTTTCCATCTTCCTCCATAAAACGCTGGCCTCATCCAACGAACTATGCTGCGTGAAGCGTATCTTGCGTGCTCAGAGTTTTCTGGATTACAATACGGCACTGGAGAAAAAAACCGCAGCTGAGTATAAAAGTCGACATCATGCTCGTATACGAGCACATCACACTCCTTAATATATTACATAATACATATCACCGCGTAAGCTCTTGCAGCTCCAATCAATCGATCTCATCGATATCATACCATAAACCCACGTGGTACTTTCTCCATATGCATACCAGAGTAATAAAAAAATATTTTGACTTTCGCCACCCCTATTCGCTTAAAATGCCCCACTCTTCCCTTCTCTCTCTCTCCATCTCTCCCCTAAAAAAGCAGAATTTCTCACAGTAAACAAATCAATCCTATATGAGTGTTTCGTGAGAAAACGGATCAAGTATCCTAATCACCGCATGAGAAATTCTGTACATGTCGACTTTGCCTTGCCGCCCTCCATGTATATTCCTCACTTATACACATGTTGATACTTTTTTCCCTTTCGTTTTAATATTGGTTTGGGTTACTTATATTGCCCAAGTCGAGCTCATTTTGCGCATCGGTCTTGGTTTGGGGAGATTGGGTGGTGAGGATGGGGTGGTGTGGCCCATGCGTACGTTTTCTCGTGTATGGATTAGGAATGTTGGTTGAGCGTGGTAAAGTGTAGCGTGTGTTACTATTTGTCGCGGCGATGCAGCAATTATGTTTTGAAACGATGTGTTAAGAGTCTTGTTAGGGTGGGTGAATAGGGAGAGTGCGGGTGGTGGAGGTAAGGGAAGGGAAGTGGAGTAGAGAGGCGCAGGGCGGGTAGTAGTGGGCGGGCGGGGCGATCGGCGGGTTATGGGGTAAGCGACATACTAGAGTGTTATTCATGAGTTGGTAATTGTAAAGTATTTTGCGGCGAAATGGTTGCGTTGGTGTGTATGTTATATACATAATAATCTAATAGTTTTGTAATGGCTCTAGTGAAGAAGAGAAGATGGTGTAGTTTATGCCGTTATGCGTGTGACCGTAGAATAGTAGTAAAGGGGGGCTTAATCGATGTTTGAATCTTGAGCATCATTCCGAATGATGCGTTTGCATTTGCATGTATAACTCCCTAAACTCGCGGAATCTCATATATTCTTCGTAGAGATCTCGTAACTGGTGTCCTGCACCCGGGTGTTGACCTTGTGCGATCGTGCGTCTGGAATTGGAAAAGTCTGTGGGCGGCAAGTGTTGGGATGTGGAACAAAGCAAGATGAGGATGAGGGAATAGTAGTAGTGATGCGCGCTTGCGTACATGTAAATGAGCTCCAGAGCCACCGTTTCGCTTTGGGCGAGGTTACTAGGCCGATCAAGATGCCAAAGATTGCTACACAGACACCGACTAGTGTTAACACGGCTTCCTTGGACCATCCGGGAGTGGACCTGGGTGTCGTGGGTGCGGCGTTTGCAACAGCTGTCATGTCGAGGAGGTGGAATAGAAAAAGATGTAGTATGGGTATCATTGTAGGATGTTTGTGGTGGGGAGTACAATATACTAATCGTTCAAGAGTTGTAGGTCTGAAGCTGATGCTCGAGTGTGTTCTATTATCTTATGTGTGCCCAGTGCAAGAGGATTTCATATACTAGTTTACTGAAGACGGCTTGGTGGAGAACGCGTAAGATGCAGGCCTGACCTCACCGGCCAGGCTCTGGCAGCGCAACGAAGCGAGTAATGTGCATAGAGGGGGCTGTGGTCGCCACACGGACACTCCATTCACCTGGCCCAATGAAATTCATGACTTGCAGGGTGCGCAACGTCGAAGCGTCAGGTATGATTGCTGTCGCATGAGTCGCTCCTTGCCTCTGCATCATCTTGCACAGCCGTGTTTGTATCACTCTGCATTTCCAACTTCTCGTGTCACGTGTTTTGACAGCCAACTCTCTATTTGCATCAGAGCTGCACAAGGTCATGCAAAAGCAGCACCTTTCCACCACCTCGTAGCGCTCAATACGAATACTACCACCATAGCACCGCTCACAATGGTGTTGTATATGACGCTGTACCTGCCAACCGTCCCAAAATATCCTGCATACGACTCGGGAGTCATAATCAGTATGCACTGCTTGTGTGGGTGAGAAGATAACAGCTTTGTTCACAATCATTCTCAACCCCGTAGGGCAGAGTGCTGGGAAAACACCTTAACAAATCATGCTTACCTCTCTAAGCCACCTACTTGACAAGTCCAAAATGATTGGTGGGGCCGAGTATGTGACATTTGATATTTTACTACGAGGCTTTCAAAGTGTTAAGCGATTTTGCAGAGGAGTCCTAGCGTACTACCGCCAGTGTTACAAATAACAGTCGATTCGACTGAACTCGGGTATGATGTTGGAAAGAGAACAGATCTAGGACTCTATACTAACTACAAAATTCTTGCATTGTAGAATTTCCAGAGAGTGCTGGACTGTCGTTGGAAAGTTGGTGTGAAAGCATCTTTGTATGGATTTTGAAAGTCTTCAAGAAGAAGCTCGAGAGAAATCAGAATATAATAATACATTGTACATTCATCAAATAGAAGAGTATAAGTGTTCCAAAGTAGGTGCAAATCCAGGTAGTCTGCCTTCAGAGTATGCAAAACGTTGTTCCTTTCGGCTGAACCCAACGTTTCATAACCGCTGTGACAGCGGCACACTACTGGTCGTTGGTTTCGATTTGCCCGATTTGCCTACCGTCGGTAATATATCCTCGTCCGGCTCATAGTTTGCGGGATTCCTGCCAAAGCTATCCTGGACGTGTACTTGATTCCGATATCTCGACTTCCATCGTGGTAGCTCCCCATTCTGTGCCCGGCCTACGCCCATGTCTCTCCACCGCTTTGGTGGCTTGACTCCCATCTCTACCAAGTTGGACCATATCCTCTCTCCGCGCTTGTTCCACCGCTCCATTCTCTCTTCGTACTCTTCGTCCGAGGGCCGCCACTTGCTCTTCAGTATGCGGCGGATGGCTTCCGGAGAGACTTTGAAGTGATTGGCGAGGACGGGTGTGGTGAATTTGTCGGGTTGCGTACTGTTCAGATGACGTATGCCTTCCATAGTATCGGGCGACAGCTTCTTGCGTGGGTTCCATGCTTCGCCTCCCAATTTCTCCTTCAGGGCTTCCTTTTGCACCTGCCATGCAGGGCGTTCGTTCTTTGTTTGGACCTCTCCTGTAAGAGCATCTTCGACTTCGGCATCGACATCGGGCTGCGCTTTTGTTTTTCTCGAAGACGGCCGATCTATTGGTTCCAGTCGGCGTGAATCTGAGCGGAATCGCGATGGTTGGGGGTAGATGAGTGGCCGGCCAGTAGGAAAAACAGGCTTTAAATTGGCGAATGACTGTATAAAAAGGCTCAGCGTCCGTCGTGTGCAGTTGTGGCAGCTCATGGTTGTTCCAAATTGGAGATGTGAAGTCTCTCTTGTCTGCATCGACGACTTTCTCGCACGGGCCCCAGGACTAAATGTCTACCGCCACTGGCAGACTAGTGCTAGCACGATTCATGATCAGCCGCGACTTGCCCCAAATGGTGACATCAATGACCCTGTCCAACGGTTAGGTGCAATGGTCAAATCTCGGAAACCACCTCAAATTTACGATTCCCCAACCGTCAGAGCGATGACCGAAGAGCCAAGCGGCGACATGGATGTGGACCCCTCACCCCCATGCGGATTTAGGGCCTCGGTGTCATATGATGGTTCCTCCACTTCCGTATGAATACATACTCTGCTTTCTCTCACGCTCACTGTTTCTTGTGGTAATATCGCAGCGCGTGCGTGTTTATTGCATTCTGTTTTGCAGTCATGGCGTTGCCCAACCCGTTTCGGAGGCGTACAGCCAACACTAGATAGTACGTCTGGAAGTGGGAGATCATCACTGACTTAGACTGACCGTTATCAGTTGCTGGGGTTATAGTTTCGAATGGACGCCCGAACATCTTACTCAAGAGCAAATGAAGCCCATGAAATTTTCGTATGATGTGCTTGCAGAGGAGTGTCTCGATCGCCTAAATGCCATATCGCCACCGTACAAGAGTGCTTTGCCGAGAAATGATACCACCAGGACTCAGATGGCATCAGCGCCTGTCACTGAAGACGAAAAGAAAGAGCCCCTGCCCGTACCAAAGCGGGATCTCTATGCTTTACTAGAGGAACATCACGAATCTGACCCGAAACTCGCGGAGCTGTGGCGACAAGTAAACACTGTGCCGGACTGGGTGAATTGGGAGCAGATAGGCAGAGGACAGGATGTTTTCTATCGTTACGGAGGACCCGCTCTGACTGGCCTCACTTATCAGTCGCTGCTAGGCGGTATGGGTGCTGCACGAGTCGTCGAGACGTTGGCACGAACTGGAGGCTTCAGCACAAAGGTAGCAAGAGGAAGACTATTCGAAACAATGCAACACATTCTACAATGCACAAGGACGTTGGAAGGCATACAGCCCGGTGGAGAAGGCTTTGCCTCATCAATCCGCGTCCGCTTATTACATGCTGCAGTCCGGCAGCGCATCATGAAGCTGGTGCGTGAGCGGCCCAGCTACTTCAACGTAGACGAATGGGGCATACCAATCAACGATTTGGATCAAATAGCCACAATTGGTACTTTCTCGTCGACACTTGTATATATCAGTTTCCCACGCCAGGGCATCATCCTCCGCCAACAGGAGATCGACGACTATTTCGCACTATGGCGCTATATTGGTTATATCATGGGCACGCCCGACGAGTTACTTTCGACTCACACGAAAGCAAAAGCCATTATGGAGTCCCTTCTCTACTATGAGGTTCAGCCTTCGGACATGTCAAAGGTCATGGCCAACAACATTATTTATGCGCTCAAGGAAGAGCCGCCCACCTTTTCTTCAGCAGATATGCTGACAGCCAGCGCCCGTTGGCTAAATGGCAACACACTGTCTGACCGGCTTGGCTTGAAGCGTGTATCGGCGTACTACTGGTCTCTCATGGCAGGCCAGTGTCTCTTCTTCATCTTCTACTGCTACACCTACCGCCTCTTCCCCAATGCCGACCGCAGGAGGATCGAGCGTGCAAAGGACATCTTCTGGAATCTGATTATAAATTCAAAGTGGGGGTTGGCTGGTACGGAGACGAGGTTCGATTTTAAATACGTCCCACAGTACGATACATTGACTCACTTGGGAGATATTGGTGAGAGGAAGCAGCAGCGGTTCAGTAACGAAATGAGGAACCTGAAAGCGTTGGGTATTGCGGTTGGAGCGCTGACGTTAGGGACGATTGTTTCAGTCAAGATTGCTTTGCATGTTGTGGGAAGGGTGTGGTGAGCTGTGGAGGTGCTTCTGTGGGACAAATAGATGTTAGAGTGTACAGCACTAACCCTGCACGGACTGCGCCATGCCGTACTTGCCTAACTTGCAGAGAGTGTATTGCGCATCACGTGCACCATTACGCGCTCATTTCACCTTCACCTTCTCTTTCTCCTGCCTTGTTCTGCGATGCTTGATCGCTATCAACAGGCTCAATCGCCAGGACCTACCCTTCAAATTCACACAAAACACATCTTCCTCCTTTGTATTCCTCCGCTGTCTCAAAATTGAAGACTGGCTCCAAGACATCCTTCCAATACAATACTGCTCCCAAACCCAGTCCCACATCATCGTTGATACACTCATTCGACATGCGCAAACGAGCCCCTCGCATCTGCCCTCACAACCCCTCACAAGATGGCGTATGTGGTTGTCATGAATTCTGGGAGCGTAGCAAACAGCCTTCCTCTGATACCGGGGTTACTGCAGATGCGACAGTAGGTGGTGAGAACATAATAGTAGAGCAAGAAAGAAAGAAAAAGAAGAGGAAGAGAGGAGGGGAAAAGCAGCGTAGAAAGGAAGAGAAGAAGAGAATGGAAGAGGGAAAAGAGAAGAACACTATGCAAGTTCTGGTCGATTATGAGCTGCCTGACGACGATGACCGTCTGGACTGGGACACGGATGAAGTGCGGAGAATGGCGGGGGAGGTTGCGTGATGGGTTTTTGGTAGGACAGAGCATTGGATTTCAAGACTTTACACATGGATGGTTTCATCGGCCGATAGGAATCTGCGGACAGCTGTGGAAACAGAATCAACAAGGACAAGGCTGGCTGTTTTGTATCAAGTGGGTTGGTGGGGACAGGCCATGGTTCGTCTGATAGCAGGGTAATGCTAGAACGTCATGTTTCATATTGAATGACAGGAGAAAGAGGCATACAGGGTGACTGGAGTAGAGGAATAATGTTGATGGCAGTGATGTAGGTGCTCGAGACAAAGGACCACCAGGGCGAGGAGAGCACGGGCCTAGACCCTGGGCCGGCGCGGGCATGACGAAGCCGTGGAAGCTGTTGTTGGCTCATGTCAACCCAATATCAATCTCTCCCCGGACTGCCGACGATCGACTGCTGCTCGCTGCTCGCTGCCATTGCCGCCGTTCACGATCAATTGCCAGCAGCCGTCATGCCGCTTGCCTGCCGCGCCCGATGAGCTGCCTACACGACCGCAGCCCGTGCCGCCCACCCTCGTGCTCCTGACCATGTCGGCATCCAACATCCGGGTATTCGTACAATGGAAGGACTCTACCGTGTTTGCGGGCGAAGACATCGAGTGCACCATTACCTTCAAGAATGTAGCCCAGCCTGAAGGCCGCAATGGCACCCCAGCCACACGACACAACGGCTTTGCGACGGGCGGGGACCGTCAACGCAAGCTGCCCGTTCCGCCAGTCCATTCGTCGACAAGGCCCTCTGTGTCCCGCAAGTCTTCATTCACCTCCCAGCTTCCACCTGCTCACAGCCGCGGACATCGGCCGGCGCTGTCCCTCCACACACCATCAACGCCTGGGGGACACCAGTCGCCTGCCACACCGAGCGCAGCTCAGGCCAACAGCAGCACGGGAGGGCAGAAGCATGGTAGATCCGTATCCATCATCTCCCTAGGCACAGAGGCCGCCACCGAAGCCAGCCACGAGAGAGGCATACCCATCAGACGGCCAGCCAGAGGCCATGGGAGATCAGCCAGTCTGCAGGTAGTGCCGGGCAGACCGAATTCGTATCCAAGTACGACAACCGCAGATAGCACAACTGCCACCGCAATATATCTTTGGCTGACACGACAGCAGTTACCTCGCCCGGCCACCGATCAGCCACACACCCTTCTCCGCTTGCTGGCGACGCAACTTCGCCAAGCGCTCGTGACACCAGTGACTTCGCCTTCCCTGGGCGTCAAAACAGGAGACGGCCGGGCATAACAACTACCCCAAGCACCCCAGCGCTCCCAACCCCCGGGAGAAAACCCTCAAACTCCTTCTCCAAGAATTTCAAATTCCCTGCCGCTCCGCCGCCGCAGGAAGACGCTGCACATCCACCACTCAATGGCAGTCCTACGAAGAAGCCGCTACATACACCGCGCAATTCTCCACAGCCGCCCATCGACAACCATCGTCCTTCAACCAGTGCCAACCTTGAGGTTCTCTCGCCTGTCGCTAGGATAATATCTGGGTCAAGCATGATCGAAACGCCGCGTAGTAGTGGGGAATTCTACTCAATGAGCAATAATTCCAATGAGACCATGGCTTCGGAATACACGGCTCATCCGTCATCGCGACTATTACACCGGCCCCAGCACCAGCGACGGCCATCACACTTGGTACCATCTAATAAGCAGGCTCAACCAGAATCTATCATGATGGGCTACGCACAAATAATGGGCACCTTCACACTGGACGGATCCTTGATCAACCAGGCGCCTTTTGAGGAAGTGAAGAGGAAAGGCGTATTGGGTGGTCAAGGTGGAGGCGGAGTCGTGGGTATTGAGAAGACGAAGCGCGAAAGCGGTCTCTTCGGTGCGCTAGGCTGGGGCAGCATAGGAGAGTCACTGGGCGGATTCCTGGGCCCTTCAGAACCATCAAGTATCCGAGAGATGAGAGGTATTGTCAGCTCCAAGACCGTTCCTCTCATTTCTACCCCACAGTCAATCTTGTTCGTCGACTTGAAACTTGCGCCTGGAGAAAGTCGCAGCTTCACGTACAGTTTTACCATCCCCCGCGGTCTGCCCCCGTCGCACAAGGGACGCTCGATGAAGGTAGCATACAATCTCACTATTGGTACACAACGCGCAGGGTCAACCAGAGAGCAACAAGTGAAACATGTGGATATTCCTTTCCGGGTCTTTGGCAGCGTGAACAGTATGTCTATCTACTGTCATTCCGCACTTCGCGCCATACTAATCATCTTTAGATCGGGGCGAGATCCTTGGCCATGACTTGATGTCTCCGTACATTCTACTCCGTGATCAAGCACGAACAGCGGCTATTGACCCTACATCAACAGGGAACCTCTCTCCGACCAAAAAGGGTGCTCATCGAGGAAAAGCCCAAGAGGATACTTTCAGTGACTTTCTTGACTATGTCAACAATCTGCTAGAGCGGCCCCAGCAAAATACTAATATGGGCTTGATGTCACCTACTGACACTCTTCCTGGCCGGTCTTCGTTTGCCGAAGAACCCCAGACTATGAAGGAAGCCATTGATGCCGCCATATTGCGCAGCAACCTGACTGGCGCAGCAAACCAAAGCGCCAATCGCTTTGAAATCGCTCGCAGCGGCCGACGTGTGGCTGTCATAATGCTCGCTCGGCCCTCTTATCGACTCGGCGAAACAATGACTGCAGTCGTCGACTTTACCAACTCGCACATCCCGTGCTACTCAATCCATCTCTCACTCGAAACATCCGAAAAAGTGGACCCCGCAATCGCACTGCGTTCCAATGCCTCTATCTACCGAGTTACAAAGAAAGTCCACGCCTCATTCTCCGAAAACGCACTCTTTGCTCAGAAACTAGCCTTTTCGCCCACCATACCCCCCAACGCAACACCAGAATTCATTACATCTGGTGTAAGCCTCGAGTGGAAACTCCGCATCGAATTCATCACCCCACGTCTGACACACGAAAATGGCGAAGAGGCAACATGGGATGATCTTCTAGAAGAAATATCCACAGATGACCGCGGCGTTATACTAGCTGCTGCACAACGATTACCAGCTGAAAGCTTCGAAGTCCAGGTCCCGATACGGGTATATGGTGCTGTAAGTGGAGCACCTGAATCGCCTGATGAACAGGGATACCCCGTTTGAAAAAAAGAAACAATGGGGACTGTTTGGGGAAAAAAGGGGGCGGTAGTTATCATTCTATGAACTTATTGTTGCTACGGGTACAAACAGAGCAAAGAACAAGAATCCATGTTTAGAACTACCAACATTCTTGTAAAGCCTTGTATCTGGCTTGGAGATGCTTGCTGTATGGATTTTTTCTTGAAATGTAAAATCAAGGGTGGAATTTACTTACGGACCAGGGGAGAAGGTAGAGAAAAAAGGCATTGGCTGGGGGGTTTGGGGAGAGATGTAATGAGCACGCATCTTTATTTTTCTTTGTAATATACCAGCTTCGTAGGCGAGCAAATGAACAGGAAGACTCCGACAGTGAAAAGGGAGGGTTCATGTTTAATTTCATGTGTTCGGTATAACGTTTTGGATTAGACTTTGTATATGACACTGTCTTGTAACGATTTCTTTCTCTCTCACGAGTAACTTAACGGCACCGCTGTTGACGTCGTTATTGAAGATGTGGGCATATGGATCAGAGGGAAATAGAGAACGAGGCAATGTTGTGCACAACTGCATAGCATCAAGTTTAGGGGCCCAGAAATGTCTAAAGGATTGTAAAACATAGTATTGTCAGTAGAGGTTTCAAAGTTCCTTGTGTTCAACTACCCGATTACGCATTACTTCCGGCCGTTGCGTCATGCAAATCCCAGGAGTTCAGAGTTCAGCTCAGATTGATGTCATTGATCGTCATGTTGGTAATAGTATGTATGGAATCTGCAGTCCATCGCCCCCCAAAAAGGTTTTCTTCATGGTCGATAGTCACAAAGTAATGTTTTTCCCACTCTTTCGCATTCGCAGTTCATTGGCACTCTTTCATCGATATCGCTTACAAGCCACCGGGGCCTGCAGCTGATTGAGCGCTAGCACCCGCACCAGGACCCATGGCTGCGTGCGTTGCTTCGCGGTGAGCTTTCTCGCGTGCCTCGCGCTCCCTGGTCTCTGCTGCAATCTGGTCTTCGGTCTTCTTGTTGCCTCGGGCAATGAGTTTCTCGATGAGGCCCCCCTTCTTGGGTGCGTCGGCCTTATCCGACTCTTCAAATTCTTTCAGGTAGGCAACACGCTCGTGTGGAGGCATCGCTGCAAGTTCAGAGTCGATCGAGTCACGGTTTTCTGTTTTCGTTGTTAGTGATGAGGTTGAAGTCTTACGCATGCTCAACCCTTCGTTAGAAATCGATGAAAGGGACAACAACTTGCGGATGTGAAGTTTTCATGTAACATGTGGTATTCATTACGTACCCTCAATAGTACCGACATGACCAGTGCCGGTAGCAAAGTCGTTGTCAGGCTGCGACTTGCGGCGACCGCTGCCAATGTGGAGCTTCTCCTTGATTTTGTCCATTGCTGATTGGAAATTCTAGGTTTGTTGGCTAGGGAGTATTCGCTGCAGGGTTGTTTTATGAGCGTAGATGTGTAAACAGAGCAAAGGTTAGGTGTCTGGGGTGTTGTCTAGGGAGAAGGAGGCGTGGGGATGAGGGGTGATGGCTACCAGCTATGCGTGGCGCATACGTCATAGGTTGGAGGCAATCAAACTACCAGCTGCCTTGTTATGAGTGGATCTATTGAGGCACGGTTCATGATTTCATTTACGAATGAACTAAGGCCACTTTTGTTGCGGCTTGACATTCATACAGACATAGTTCTTTTGGATCGCATGTCCTCATTGGGTTACATTGGACATGGATCCCCGATTCGGCCCAATGTGTGCGGGAGCACCTGCATGGGTTTAGCTACCACATCAGACTTGAGGGAAACATGGACGGTAGCGAAAAGTGTTGACACTAACGCTTATGCACAATTTCTACCATTTTTATCCATAGGTGACGTGTGTGTCATGCACATGTTTGCTGTTCGCAAAACTCTCCTCAAGTGGAGAACACATCCATCCGGTCGGCCCTGTTATCCAAGAAATCGGAAATATCCGAGAAGAAGCCTTGAGCACATGTACAGAGGCTCGATAGTATTATGTAATATTATCGGTATATACAAAAATATTGAATGCCGATTCACCCTTCGTTTAAGGGCATAGAAATAGGATATTACTGGATTTACACTCTCGCCAGAAATGCATACAACCCCGACCTTTTCTACATGTAAGTGGTATCTCAAAAAACATGACAACCAAACGCCAATTGTATGCTGAAGAAAATGCCAACCCAATCATCAATACCTGTACTGAGAGATCCGAGGCGTAAGTGGTGAAACTAAAACTTGTGTGTTCGAATCGCTGGGTGTAATTGTGCTGTCACTCAGCATCGTGCTCACACCATGGCTGGTGCTACTTTCTCCATCCGTGTCGTGGTGGTAAGTCGGCGGCGGTGCTTGTACCTCCTGCCATTTGGGTGTTATTGGTATCATCGACTCACCATGCAGCTCTTGTGGTTCGTCCGTTACCTGGACGACTGTTTTTTGATCTTGTGGGTAGGCATGTCCGACTGCATGGTCGTTGGCAGGAGATGCAAGCTCTAGCAATGGTGTACCATTGAGTTCTTGTGGACCTGGATCTTTGAGTGGTAAGATACTGGACGACATGTTGTTTCCAGATTCGATTTCGGAAATGTTTTTGCCTGCCAATTCGTATTGTTGATTGTTCGGTGCCTGCTTCTTGCCGCGTCGTTTACGGAAACAGAAGAAGAATGCTAAAATGGCAATAACGATACCTGCGACTGCTCCGATTGCTATTCCGACAATTACGCCGGTGCTGAGATCTGACGATGAGGATTGGATTGCTGGTAAGTCGCTTGGTGACACGATTGCAATGACTTCGGCAGGAGGTAGGGGGTCGGGAAACACTGCTTGCGCAACCGTAAAGTTTGCCCGCTCATAGTCGACGATCAAGTATGCCTCCTGTAACAATGTTCGGCCAAGTACGTATTGCGATTCATTTGCGGCGCGGCGGATCGGGAAGTAGTTTGTGGCATTTTGGTAGAAAGGATACGAAGCTTGCAGATCAAACGCAGCATATGGCAGTTGGATATTGGTGTAGTTGGTCGTTGCACCGTCTAGCGAGTTGGTAAGCTTAATGGTAAGCGTCGGGTTCTTCGAGACCAGTTCTTCGTGGATAGTATCATTAACAAGATAAAGGCCTGTTTGGGGATCATAAGTGAGTCCAAAGGCGGTTTCGAATTCATCGCAAACACTCTCAGGCAACCACAAATGTGGCACAGTTGAATCGATAACGGAAAAGTGTGCACCAGAAGTGAGGGAGTACGTTCCATGCAGCGTGTTGGTGGCCATTATTGAGTTGACACCGACGGTCAGAAGCCGAGAAGAGTCCTGGGAAAATGTAAAAGACAGGTTGTCAGTGACGGTGTCGAATCGTGTCGCATCGTAGCCCCCAAGAATTAGACTTCCCAGGACAGACTTTAATCGGTATTTTGCGCCTGCCGTATACGCGTAGGAAAAACTGGGTATTTGTTTGTTGTTGCGTAATTGATAGAGCGTCGAATCGACTGGCTGGCTTTGGCTGTTGAAGCTGGATTTGACCTGGCCGAGCCCAAGCATTCCCAGATAAAAGTCAGGATCCGCTATAGCAGAGACGATGGAACCTGTGAGGGATAGAGACGAGCCGTGATCGGCAGCGGCTCCCAGGGACACAACGTCAGTTCCGAACAGGCCTCGTCCGGTGTAGTTGAGGCCCTCCTCCAAATCGACTTCGAACTGCCCTATCGCTGACCATGTTGACGACGCGTTGACCTGGAAGCCGGTGTTTTGCGCACTATTGAAGATTTCGATTCCGCGAAGCTGGGGACAGTTTGAGGGGTCGACTCCAGCCAAGCAACCCTCTGGAGCAATTACATATGTGACGCCTGCTTTGGTGCTCGGTATTAGACGGAAATCCTGGCCGGGCGACCCAACACTGACTTTGAAGGTGCTCCAGCTGCCATCAGCACCGTCGAACTTGCCCGAGGGAGGAACAGTGTAGGGCGCGGGGGCGCCCGTTGCCCGCGCAGCGAGACTCATGATGCAGGAAGGGTAGGGAGGTGAGCAAGCAGAAGCCCATTGAGGGGAAGGGCGCAGGGCCTTAGTCAGTGGACGAGGTGGGGTGCGAGTGACATGGTGTGCCGACCCCTTGGTCGGAGAATTATCAACCCAGTCTCAGTTACCAGGAGGCTGGCGTCGAAAAGTCGCGAAGGTTTGAAGGAATGAGATGGATGTGCAACGGCAACCCGCGGAGTGGCTCCATGGCTCCCGAGACGACGATCAGCGGCCGTGCTCATCATCCTAAGCTTACTGGAAGCCTGTCTAGTACGAAATGTAGGGCGGTGAATACGAGATGGCATGAGAGCGGCACAAGGGTGAAGTCATGTTGAGGGATGGTCTTCTGGTCGTGCTGGGCTCGCAACCAATAGGAGGTGGCGGTGGCGGAGCTCGCTGCTGGTCATGTCAGCCTCCATTCACTTATCTGGCACAACCACCCTGCCGTCTTGTTCAATGCCATTCCTGTTGAGCTCATGCCGTTGCTGCCAGTGTCATGTCCATATCCACCGGGCGACGCTTGGCAGTCTGGGGTAGTGGCTCGAAAATGTCGCAAGCCGCCTGCCTGTGCCTCTTCAGACGCAATACATATCTGTGTACATAGTAGTATGTCAGTAGTACGTGCCTACGCACCAAATGTACACGCATACACAACTCAGTCATGGCCTGGACTGCCCCTCTGTTTGCGCTGGCGTAACGCTGCCGTCGCTGCCCTCTTCCATTGCCACGCCCGAATTTCGTCGGCCGCGCGGATGGCGGTTCCAAGGGGACGTAATCACGTGGATAGCTTAGGACAGAGTTTGCCATGGCCCCAGTGTCAGCGTTGTCGATATACTACCGATTCGGGCTTGTAGCTAGCAGCAAAGTTCACTTCGGCAGTGGCAGAGCATATGGAAATGGAAAGGCCTGGTACCAGGTGAAAGGCGCTGGGCTTACTGGCAGCACGTTGTCGTCGAGCACAGGTAGAGTGTGAGCATTTCCTGACACAGCAGCATATACAGGACATGTAAGTACATACGCGTCCACGGCATGTCGCTCTGCCAAGGTTGGTGCCCACCAGGAGAAGCGCATGGACCGCCGTCATTCAGCGCGGCATATGCACTTGGTCTGCCATCATCAAACCTACCCGATCCGAGCATCACTCGCTAGTTTCCTCTCGTCGCTGCTACGCTGCAACAACGTCTTGCTTTGATCTTTGCACTGTCACTCGCTTTGTGTAAGGGGAAATCATAGCAAGATGCGCACATTCGCTCGTTTATATGTGCCTGTCTTGTTCGCCATTGGCGTGGAATCCAGAGTCAAACATGTAATCAGTATGTACCCCATCAACTACACTGACTCTCTCTTTACCAGTCATGTTTCCTCGTGACTAATCATTCCCAGGTGGTATGTTGCAGCACCCAACTTTGTAGGTACACAGCAGAAGGATTGATCGCCCTAGACCTCTTTTCTTGGAATCCCTCTCCTCCGGTTGATGCTCCACATGAGGAATGGGACGCTCCCGAAGCCCCACAGCCTGCATCTCCTCTCCTCGCTCCGGACAATGGTCAAGAAGCTGGATTGCCCATGACACTTGCTCCTCATTTTGACGCGAGCCCTGGGCATGCACCAATTGCGCCCGGTCCCCGGCCTTCAGGTCCAGTATACACAAATACGACGCCTACAAGCAGCCCGACGCCAGTGGAACCTACAGTAATCACTTACACTCCTCCTTTGCCACCAACCTATTTACCACAACTTAACACAGGCAACCAAACGGCGTGTTCCACATGTAACTCATCTTGCACAGGCTGCTTGCTTGCAGCCAAACGTCCTATAACTACTTGGTTTGATTCTACAGGGCTTTTGGTACGCTGGACTAGCACGGTTGTGACCGAGACCATCGTTACTGAGTACATCACCTACATGAACAACGGCACCATCGACACGGTCGTTACCCAGGAGCACACTGTCAATCAAACAAAAACCGTTACAGGCAGTAACGATGAAATCATTACTCACACTACGCCCACGTTCACTGTAGAGGTTACGGATGGGGTACGCCTACAGTTCGATGCAGGACCCACCTACGTTATCTACAACCATATATTTGGTGGACCTGACCAATATTTCAGCTTGCGCTTTTCCCAGAAGAACCAGACTTTCGCGCAATGTGTGCCCAAGGAGACTTCGCTAAAAGACTGGAAGCCACCCAGGACTGCACTACAAGACTGGACCCATTTGGTAGTAACTCACACGGAACCACTGCCAACGACTACTAAAGGCCAATACAATTTCCCGTTACCCACCCAGGTCCTTCATTACCTGGAGCAAGAACCAGCCATTCAGTCGCAATTTCGGGGTCTGGATCTTGCTTCATGTTCCTTTGAGAGACCCAGCCTCAGTGATTCCCTCCAGCTATCATTGGCCCCTCCTGGTGTCCCTCCTAGTACCCCCTTATCTACTAGTATGGGGCTGCCTCCCCCTCTTGCTGCCCCACCCCCGTCTCAACCGATATTAGCGTCGCCAACAACATCGACTTTCCTCTCGACAACGTACGAGTCTACTTCCGTCCATAATACGGTGCGAGGTTGTTTGAGGTGCCTCCCTGACTCCCCGGTGTCGCTCAAAGCTGATTTGCCTTCACCAACTCCTGCGGGCAGACCCGACATACATAATTTTGTACCCCCGCCAAATGAGCTCAACCAACCAAGTGACAACATACCTAGGCCTTTGAATGTGCCTGGACCAACCCCAAATGCGCCTGGACCGATTGCAAGCCCGGCTGGACCTGTCACAGGCGAGCCTGGTAGACCAGGTCACCAAGATCAAGACTTTTCGAATTGGCTCCCTCCTGTGATCGTCGTTGGAGGCCAGACACTCAGACCAGGGCAAACTCAAACCATCGATGGAGTCCCTGTTATCATTCCCGGGAATGGTGAGGGAGCAAGGATTATTGTGGACGGTAGCACAGTTGCTCTTGATGCAGCGGCAACACCAGGACCTCCCGTGCTCACTGTCGGTGGGGGGACAATCGCAGCCAATCCACAAGGAGATTTTGTCTTCGGAACAGAAACTTTGAAGCCAGGAGGTCCACCGGTCATTGTCAATGGAAACACTGTTAGTCTTGGCCCTGGTGGTGTTGCTGTTGTCAATGGCGCCACACAGACTATTACTGCTGGGCTTCCGCCCTCTGTTACTGTTCCTCCTGCGTCGGTTGTTGGTGATCATACCATGTTTACGACAGTAGTCGGGGGTTTGACGGTCGGTGTTGTAGCGCCTGGTCAGGCGGTAGGCGCAGGCAGTTGGGTTATGGTTGATGGCCAAGCAGCTTTCGTACCCGCTCCTGGCCAAACTGTCACGCCCGGTGGAGTTCTTACCCTTGCCGGGATTACATATTCTCTGCCTCAAGGCGCACCGGGTGGTGTTGTTGTGATCAATGGTCAAACAGCTTACGTACCCGCTCCTGGTCAAACCCTCACACCCGGCGGCGCTCTTACCATTTCGGGAACTACATACTCCTTTCCCGAAGGCGCACCAGCCGGTGTTGTCGTGATCAACGGCGTTACATCTACCATGACTCCTGATGCTGTTTTAACACCTGCTCCTGCGCTGACGATCAATGATGTCACATACACACAAACAGTAAGGGACGGAACAACAGAGTACGTGTTAGGTGACGGCACGACGCTTGCACCTGGTTCTACGGTTGAAATGGATGGAACAACATACTCTTTGGACAAGTCAGGTACAGCCTTGATCATCAACGGGCAGACGAGCACTGTGCACAGTCTCCCGAAGAGTAACAGTGCAAGTGCTACCAGCTCAAGCATGGCATCTGTAACGACAAGTCGCGACGCTGGCGATCTTATTGCGAGTGGTGTAGGCCAAACCAGCAAAGGTGTTGGTGCCTCAGTACAGCATCCAGGCATTGACAGATGGGTTGAGAGCCTGGTCGTTGGCGCTGCAGGTTGGTTGCTGGTATTATTTTAAAAAGTGATTTGGGTGGTCAGACTAATAGCGTTCATGGTTTGGTTTGTATCGTAGCGCGGCGCTTTGGGATCGGAAAAGGATTTTGGGAAATCCTGGATATACATCATGACTTGGCATGGGAGAATAGATTGGGCCAAGACACCCTCATTTGGAGCAGTACATGTGGTTATATGGCATGTCATACTTAAGGTAATATCTAGTATACTGGATCGCGTTTGATGAAAAGAGAATAAATGAATATATGATTTAAGATGTACGTTTATGCATAAGTGAAAGCCGTTCCTATTTGATGCACTAGAATGATATGAGGGAATATAGTGGACTGAAATGCTGCTCAGTCACTTGCGTCGTACAGGTTATACTGATGGAGAAGGTAGATTTGATCATTCGGGTGGAGATTTTGATCGACTACTAGTTTGTTGAAATGCCTCACCTGGTACACAAATATGGTCGGGTAGAGCGGGCGCAATTCGAGAACATGAGTTCATCACGAAATCTTTGAAGAGTCGACTCCAATGCATGACCCACACTACAGAACAAGAGATCTGACACTACTTGGCTAAGCTATTTGCTCCTGTACACTATCAATTCCTTAGGTAGCCCTGATGCCGGCGTTGTGTTACTTGAGAAAAACCAAAAGCACTGAGTTCGGCTCATGAGATACGGTTATTACTCTCATCACACGTCTAAAATCTAATTCGATGACAAAGATAGTAAAGAAGCGGGGAGGTTGAAGTTGTGGTGAGAACATGGTTCACAGCCGAATCGGGGATAGTCGCAGCCCAGTGCCGAGCCCGCTCAGAAACCTCATCGCAGCATCCTCATCAGCAACCCGCGATCCCGAAAGCTGCCCCCCATCTCCACAATCCATCTCCTCTCTACCCGCCATGTCTGCAGCTCGAGCCTTCAGCACCGCTTTCCGGGCCGGTGCGCCCCGCGCCCCAATTGCTGCCCGCTACGCCGCTACTCGAAGCTACGCCGCCGCCGCTCCATCTGGCTCTGCCATCAAGCCCCCGGTTGCCCTCTTCGGCGTTGACGGAACCTACGCGAGCGCTCTGGTACGACTTCCACGAGTTCAATTGGCCATTTAGCAATGGTTGGGAGGATGCAAAACAAAGGGAAACAATGGGAGAGTTTTGGACAAGAGGAAAGCTTGGCTAACATTTTATGTGTGTTAGTACACCGCGGCTGCAAAGACCAACGCCCTCGAGCCCACGGCCAAGTCTCTGTCGAACCTCCAGGGTGTCTTCCAGAAGGATGCCAAGCTCAACGAGATCCTCCATGCGCCTTCTCTGTCTGTGTCGGATAAGCAGCAGATTGTCCAGGAGCTCCAGAAGCACATTGGCAGCGCTGACAAGGAGGGCATCGTCAAGAACCTGCTCAACACTCTCGCCGAGAACAACCGATTGAGCGTGTTGAAGGGTGTTGTTGAGAAGTTTGGCGTACTCATGGGTGCGCACCGTGGTGAGGTCGAACTTACCGTTACCAGCGCTGCGGTACGTAGAAATTTCTAGATATTGGAGAGTGTCCCGAACTCGAATATGATGGAGGGCGGGAGAGAAATGGTGTTGATGAGATCCAAATGACTGACAAAGAGAGCAGCCCCTTGACAACCGGACAATCAGCCGCCTTGAGACTGCCATCAAGAACTCGCAATACGTAACCAGCGGCCAGACGCTTAAGGTTGTGCCCAAGGTCAACCCAGAGATCCGTGGTGGACTTATTGTCGAGATTGCCGACCGCACGATTGACTTGTCTGTCGCCAACAAGATGGCCAAGATGAACAAGCTCCTCACCGAGGCTTTGTAAGCTGATAAGAGTGTGTCTGTGCATACGATGAATGGACAGTGAGGGAAGGGAGATGTGTACTTTAGATGAGTCTCGGAAAAAGAGCAATTTATTACCGTCGACCACCTTGATTTATGCAGATATGAATGAGGGAGTGATTTGAGTGTGTATGATTTGGGTGGGTGGGTTGTAGTGTTAAAGTGACTGGTGGTTTACAAGTCAGAGAAGTGACACAGTGACTTATCCCCAGCATGTTCGATGACCTGACATCCTTACTCAACCTTTGGTCTAGCAGTCTCCCCCTTCCCACACTATCATTACCCTACCCCGTCCCCCTTTCAGACAGATACACGAAGTCCCCCCTTCTACTCCCCCTCCACCTGTTCCTTCACATCCACCTCCACCTCCATCTTCTCCTCCCCACCACCCCCCTCTTCCTCTTTCTCCTTCCCTTCCTTCTCAGGCCCCTCCCTCAAACTCGCATCAACAACCCACCCATCATCATACTCCTCCCTGCGCATCGTCGCCCGCCCAACCTCCATCTTCGTCGCCAACCCCTTGAGCTCAACATCGCTGTACTCGCCCGAGTTGAAGCGGTACCAGAAGAGTAAGGCGCTCATGTGTGCTGCGTTGTTGACTTGGACTGTACCGTGATTTTTGAGTTTCTGAAATGTTTGGTGTCTTGTGGTTAGTCTCTTATTGATGTACAAGTACTTTGTCCTTTTCTCTTCGTTGGGGCTTTTTTTTGGGGAGGGGGAGGGATTGGGGGAAAAGGGCAAAACGTACGACGATGGTGGGAAAGGTGAAGAAGATTTGGGGTGTTTTTTCGAGTTCGGCGATGGTGAAGGGGCGGGCGGAGGTGGAGGCTAGGCTGGGGACTTCGGTGATGGAGGCTACGGGTTTGAAGCGCGGTGAGTCTTCTTGCTTCGGTTGCTGCTGCTGCTGCTGTTGTTGTTGCTGTGGGTGTGGAGGTGCGTCGTTGGTTGCTGTACTGGCTGGAGTCGGAAATGACATTGTGGCTACAGATGGTGTGGAATGAATATGCCTTGTGGTATTTGAAGTGATGCTTGGTAATGGTGATACTGTGTGAGTGATGTTGTGGACAAGAGTGGGTGTGAGTGAATACGTAGTTTGGTTTGAAACTGTTGGGGAAAGAACGAGGTGGATTCATCAATTGTGGTTCAGCAGGGCCAGATGGGTACAACGGAACAATCAGAAGAAGAGGAATTTCATGGAAAAGAGGATACCCAAGAACAGTTTGCAAAACAACAATGTATACTGTCCAGTTCTATTGTAGCTTACAGTAGTTTCTCCCATGCTCTACCTGCCAGCGACAGAGACTCACCTCAACAATCATGCCCAAGAAGCCAGCAATGCAGATGCCAGCCGAGTCACTTACACTTGTCGCACCCAGACTAAACTCCCTGTCCTCCTTGGGCACATTATCGGTTATCTCAGCAAACGTGCTGACGTAAACAAGGCCGCCTAACAAACCTTCCCAAAATATGATGATGCAGACAATGTAGTAGCTTGGGATGAATGCAAACATGGCGTGCAGCGTGAGCAGAATGAGATTGCCGACTTGAAGAAAGGAAGGAAGGTAGAGATGATGGATGCGTATGAAGGGCGTTGAAGAGCGTGAGATGAAAACACCGACCTGGTAGATTGCATTGTAGGTGCTGTAAAAGGAGCGGTACTCATCAAAGGGGGAGGATTCGAGAGGGAACAGCAAGGTAGGCGCGACGCCTTGGTTGATTGTGTACTCGGCAATGTAGACGAGGAGAAGAGGCAGCATGCTGGAGTGTGTCAGTTGCAAGTGGCTGGCTAGGTGACATGGGGTGGGTGACTTACTAAGGAAAGAACAAGCCTCTTGCACGGTTCAGATTGGCCTGGAAGCTACTCAGCGCACTACTAGCAGGCTTACTGTTGGCGGAGCTAAAGGTGCGGCCCGAGGCCGAGTGCATGGAGGAAGAGAGCAGGTCATCACGCTCCCTGGCCTCTGTTGCTTCTTCTTCTTCTTCTTCTTCGTCGGCGGCGTCTGGTTCTTCATCGTCGATGGCTTCGTACTCGGCATGCTTACTGGTGCCAGCGCGAAGTGGGCCAAGGGGGAGGACAAAGAAAAAGCTAAAAATCATAACCAGGGGTAGGAAGGAAAAGACAAGCAAGCTTGTGCGGGGATCGATGCCGAGTGTGTTTGTCGCAATGGCGTATGCGCCCGCACCGATCAAGCCCGCACCACCCGTACCGGAGCCCCAGGAAGCCAGTGCAAAGTGGCCGTAGAAATGGGTGAGGCCGAGGAAGCTAAGCTCGCCACCCCCGCTGCTGAGGCTGGCCATCATGACGCCACACATTTTGATTGCGATCGTAGCCGAGTCCTGCAAGGGCGGGGTGAGGGCGATGATGAGCATGCCGGCTGCGGACAGGGCGACAAAGGCGACGATGCGGACATGGTAGGGGATCTTGTGTATGAAGTAGGGGGCGCATAGTTTTGTGAGGAACGAGGGGAGGACATCGGCGAGGAGGACAACGCCCTTGGGGACGTTGGGGCCTACGAGATCGAGGGCGGCGGAGAGGATGATTACGTAGAGGACGTTGTTGATGAGGCCTAGAGCTGGTGAGCGGGGGTGTCTGTAGGCTGGATATTGGACATGCAGGGAGATTGCAGGAGGGCGAAGAGGCATACCAAACAACCAAAAAGCCGCGCACACTCGCGGATCAGCGCCATGGAAGACGCGCCGCAGACGGGCGCGATAGAGGGCCCACGAGGAAGCAGGAGAGCCAGGCATGGGGAGGAGCGACATGTATCTGCGAGGGGGATGGCGGCACTTTACATATCACACACACATGCACACGCATACATGGACTGGGGAGGGGAGAGAGGGCTACAAGGCACGTGGAGCGCAGTGGATGGATGGTGGTGGTGGTGGTGACAGTGGTAGTGGTAGTGGTAGCGGTAGTGGTGGTGAGGGCTGCAGCTGACGATGTGGCTTGGCATCTGGCGGTCTGGGAACCATTCAGGAACAGGATGCATGGCCTGCTGGTCCGAGGTTGCATCGACGTTTCTTTTTTGTGCGCGAGTCGCCATGGCATGCACCCACCAGGGCAAGACGGCTGCTAGGGCGTTTTGCCATGTGCATGTGTATGCACACCCACACCCACACCCACACACCAATGTGGGCGTGGCTATGTACGCATCATCCACCAGCTGGCGGGTGTCGGTGGGCACATGGTTTGCATCTGCTGCTGCTGCTGCTGCTGCCATCACATCATAGCCAGCTAGCGGGCGTGGGCTGGGGGCCCCTGGTAGGACAAGATGCACGCACATGCGGGGCTCTGTCGGCCTCCTGCTCGCCTACAGGGATGCAGCCACTAGCGGCCCTCTCGCCGTGCGGCAGCGCTTGGGTCCGTTGCGCCTTTCTCGTTTCCTCGCATGCTCGACCTTTCTGCTGGTGCTGGTGCCGATGCCTTTGCTGCCTATGCCTGATCTTGTCCTCTCCCTCTTCTCCGCTTCTTCATTCTGCTACCTGCTTATCCGCCGCCCCTCTTCCATCTTTCCCCTCTCTGCTTGGCACCATCCTCCCTCCCTGCGCGACGATCAACAGAGCGGACCCTGTCATTCTGTCTTCGCAAAGCCCCTCCATTGCCTGCTATACATAGAACCGCCGAGCCCATGAGCCCAACCCTACAATGAACCGCCCGCCGTCTTTCCAACGCCCGCCAGATGGTCCCATGAACAACAACCACCAGCACGCCTCCTCTTCCTCCTCCCAGCCCTATCCCGCCTACCCTCCCTCCTCGCCCTCGCAACAACCTTCGCACGCGCCCCACGCCGCCGACCCAAACTCGACCTCTCGTCGCGACACATTCTACCCTTCGGCACCGCAACACGCTCGCCATGGCAGCCAGACACGGCCGGGAGGGAACAACGTGCCCCAGGGCCAGGCAGGAGAGGGGCACGCCCAGGGAGCTTGGTCAAACACAGGTACGGATCACTGTCTATCCATCTCTCCAAGAGCGCACCAAGGCGCATGGACAATGGCTGCCCTCGCCTGCAATTATCGACGCATAATGTGCATACATCGCTGAGAACTGGTCGGGTGGGTGGGTATTCGACAAAGAGACGACATGTACCAAAGGGCATCGCCTGCAGGGACAGGGTGCATGCCACGTCAATTGCGAAAAAGCACCTCACCGCCTGTCGCCCGTCGATTGTAGTGCACACAGCGACAGGCCATGGTTCCCAGCTAGCAGTTACATTTGACGGAGCGTCGCAGCCTTCCAGCCCGAGCCACACAATGATTTGAGCTGCGCACTTTGGTGCGCGCCAGTTGTTTGGTGGAGCGGGCATGGGTCTGGCGAATTTCATGGCGCACTCCGCACATGTGGCTCCTGGCTAATGCAAGATCGGCGGGCCTCTAAGCCTGTTTAGAAAAGTCGCGACTCACCGTCCAAGCTTGTGCTGATCCATGTCTCTAGCGCGACCGATTCACTATGAAACCCATCACGTCCAGCCGGGCCCTTTGCCAGCCATGACCACTCCAAATAATAATAATCCTCCCCCCGCCCCGTACGCCTTCGACGCTGCCCGCACACGCTCGCTGAACGGCGCCAGTCCTCCCCATCCTTACGGTACTACTGCCCACCCGCCCCCCCGCCTCAAGCACCTAGTCACACCCCCTCCAAGCTTTTGCTCAAGCTAACTCTGCACCAAAGGCCCGTCTCGCGACCCTCCACCGCCTCCATCCTATGCGCGACCGCAGATGCCTCCCCCATCCTCGCCCACCCAGCAGCATCCCCATGCATCTCAACCACCGCGCTCGCAATACCCTCCCAACTTTGCTGCCGCTAGGGAGCTCCCAGGCCTAGGCCAAGCAATGCGACCGGGCACCAGCATGGCCATCTCGTCCTTGATCGGTGGCGGGGGTGACACAGGCGCCCCCATCCAAACAACACAGTCGCCATCATCACCCTCCGCAAACGCGCCCTCATCAAACGGCCACAGCATGCAGCCGCCCTCACCGCGTCGCGCATTACCATCGGGCCCCCGATCAGACTTTGCGCCCTTTCGCCGCCAGCAGACGCCCGAGCGCGGCACGTATGGAGCAAACACCTCGCGCCCCTCTGATGCACACCCTTATTCATCGGCATCACCTGGCCAGTCCTACAGCAACCAGGCCTCGCCTGACTCTGGCCGCCAGTCGCTTCCACCAAACGCTCCGCCTTACAAGCCCATGAATTTTCCTGGCCAACGTCTCTACGCGCAGGACCCGAATCGCCAATCCGCTGCAAACGTCCCGCCTCGGCCGAACAGCCAGCCAAATAGCCCTCCAGGAAACAATGATCAAGAGGGAAGGGTTGTGTACGACGCGTTTGGGAGCCGGCGCGATGCATATGGTCCGCAGGAAGAGCGGCGACGAACGTTGGGCGAGTCGCATCATGCAAGGCCAAATGCCGCTGAGCTCCTGGCAGGCGGTAACCAAGGCGGACCCGAGAGAGATAGGGCTGCGACCGTACATCCCGTGTCACAATCTACATTCAGCCCACCGCAAGAGCATCGCAACATTTCTGGCTCATCGGAACCCCCGCGCAACTTGTGGCGGCATTCAGCACCATCGGGCCCTGGCCGCGAACTTGCCCACGATGGACGACAAGACGAACCTCCGCCATTGCACCGCACGTACGGCCCATATCCTCCTGCCATGCTGGGAGTTGCACGCTATGGTGCTCAAACCTCCGAGGAGATGCTCCGTCGCAGTGTGGACCACCTGGGGCACCGTGTGGTAGAGCAGTACCATGCTCCTCCTACCTCGGACCCGACCACCATGGAGCGCCACAGAACTGAGCCACTTGCTCGCTCATTGTCTTCTGGAGGGAGGTCTCTGTACGATCAGCCCCAGAAGATGGGTGAGGCCATGCAACACTCCAAATCCCACATTGGCTTCGGACTCGAGGCGAGCAGACGAACCGGTCGCGCCTCCCCATTACCGCAAGCAGTCCAGGGTGCGCAAGGACAACCCCTGTCGATTGGCAAAGACCCGGGAATCAAGAGCGAGTTTGGCCGAATGTTTTCAGGTTTGGGCAGTGGTTTAGGATCGTCTACACCGTCGCGAGGAAGCCCCATGCCACAAAACGGAGGGGGTTCGTTCGAGTCAGAGAATGGCGAGATGATGAGAAGAATAGGCTCTCAACAAGGAAAGAAGCCAAAGCGAGCAAAGGACGAGGAGGGTATCTTTGACATGGACAGTCCTGATGGCAGAGGAACCCCTTTCGGCTCTCGCGGTGCTAAACGGAATAAGCATCATCACCACCACCACCATCATCATCCCCCGCCTCACCAGTAAGTCAACCATGCTGCTCCCCCTTTTCGCCTGTTTTGCAAAGTTCATGCTAACAATTTAGCAGTCATCATCATCACCACCATCATCACCATCATCAGCACAAGCCTGAGGACGAAGGCCTACCCGCACCGACGACCGCGATTCTCAACGGCCGACCAACGCCCCTACCCCAATCAGGCCCCGGGCAATCTGTCCATCATCACCACCATATTCAGGGGAATCCCCACCATCACCATCACCACCATCATGCGCCCCGCCCGACCATGCCTGTGGCACTTGCAGCACCAGTCAAGATTCATGACATACAGCCCATCTTGGAAGAAGCTGCCAAGCGACCCCGGAAACATCTTGGGTCACAATTGTACCAGGCCAAGACCGAATTGCCAAAACCCAACTCATCGTTGGACGACCAATTTGGTTACGCCTCGAAACCCCAGCGACTGCCGCGCTTTGACGTTAATCCTATCAACTGTACTTTCACAATCAGAGTGCCGAGATACTATCTGAAACCACGGCAGCGCCAGCACATTGTGTTAGAAAGGCACCTCTGGGGGGCGCGTGTATATCGTGATGATTCCGATCCTCTAGCTGCTGCTATTCACTCGGGATGGATTCGTGGCGAGTGGGACGATACCGTCGATGTTGCCATGCTCGATCCACGTATCACTGCGCCCAACGACCCGTCGGATGCCGAAGATGTCCTCACCAAACCCCCCGCTGCGCCTGTAACCCCGCCCGCCGACATGGATTTGCAGATTGAGATTGTCATCTTGCCCCAGCTTCAGGAGTATACGGGGTCGGTCGAGTATGGAATCTCGAGCCGGAAGAGCAAGGGACATGAAGGTCTTAGCTTCATGATCAACAAGATTCGATGGGTAGAAGAAGGCATTGGCAGCCGAGGACAGGACCGAACAGCAGCAGCATTGAAACGCCGACTAGACGCCAGTGCTGCACTGCTCGCCCTAAAGAGTGGGATTGTCGATTCCTGCAGGGTTAATGGCATGGCAAGACTACACGCTTGATGTTGAGTCGAGTAGGCGCAACCTCTCGACATATAACGGCCGTCTCGGATTTTATGGCATATGGAATTTTGTAGCATGCAGTTGAGTTTGAGCATTGCTAGATACCCGCATCTTTTATTTTTTGCTCAAGGTTGGCGCAGTATTTGCACATAGCGAAGGCGAAGAAGTTTGTGCTGCTATTTTTTTTACGACAATACAAAGAAGTGTTTGTTAATTGGGTATACTGAGAAGAAGAAGATAAAAGCAAAAAAGTATCTGGTAGCGTTTGTAGTGATGATGAAATATTCATAGCGTGATTTGATCCTGGTGTTGGCGTTTGTGCACGTGGTTTGGGCAGTGGAAGATAAACACATCCCGCGGGATTACACACGCATACATGCAAGTTGAAGGCGATAGCGGTGTGAGCTGTTCCTGCTTGGAGCACAGATAAGGCAATCGGGCCTTGTGAGTCTAGATACTACACTTGGCCGTCTTGAGGCGAGGATCCATTCATCAACACTCGAACACGCAGCAAAGCAATTACCTACTGAGTGCACAATATTCCTCTGGCAGCCAGACCCAACGAGACTGCCCCGCCAACCTGTCCCACCGCTTGCGCCACCACGCCACAGCACCATTAGACATAGTGGGATTGCGCTGCATTGATAGCAAAAATGGGTCATACTAGAACCTACTCCATCTCAACGGTAAGTAAGCTCGTATTCCTTGGGCCGACTGCAGGCTGCCACCATGGCTCTGGCCTATTTTTGCCATGGCTGGCATGAACTTGATTAAGAAATTTCACCCTCTTTGCGACGTTCCGGCATTCGGCGGCTTAAGGCATGTTTCTGGACTACCCCCTAGCCATGCGACTGGAGCCGTTGTCGTCATGGCGCAGAGGACTATGGCATCATGGCACACGACCAAAGAAAAAGTGCGTATGCGTAGCAGCGCGACTGTTTGGGGCCACCTAGCCAATGACACAGGGCCAGCAGACCGAGGCGCTGGCCGACAGTACTGTACGCATCGCGAGGCACAAGCAATCGCGCATTTTGGCATGGTCGCAACAGCCATCCGTCCGTCCGGGGAGACGGGCTCAATTGCAAACGAGAATGCCTGGCTGTCGAATAAGAATCTCGCAGCAGTGTCTGCTCCACTGCGCCCGCTAGTCTGGAGCCGCAATCCGAACGCTTGCTGGTGAAAAGAAGGACAACGGCACCGAATGCGGGGAATCGTTGTCAATCGTCAATCCATCGTCCTTTCGCTTCTTGATGGCCGGACCGAGCTCACGATTCTGCAACACAACACCCCACGCCCTTACCGCTATTGCTTCAGCCCAAACCCACCACTAAACGATCTGCCGCTCGGGAGCCTCTCCCCTTGACCGCCCAATACTTGTCATTGCCGCCTCTTTGGTTAAAAAGCCGCATTCCGTCCCTGCGCCATCGGAACACTCTCGGGCTAGATTCCGACCTGTTGCTTTTCTCTACCTTCCTCTTCTCTTTCTTACCTTGCCCGCCTCTTTTCGTCACTGCATCTGAGGGAGCTGGACTCGCCGCACAACATGACGGACACCAATGGAATATATGCGCCAAATATGCGCGCTGTGCCTGCCGGCGATTTCGTACGGCCAAGCAGAAAGACTAACGGTGCCGGTATACAGGCTGAAGACACTCGGATATGCGTCGTCATGGTCGGCTTGCCCGCGCGAGGCAAGAGCTTGATTGCACAGAAAGGTATGTCCCCTTTCCACATGGGAACATGCCGCCCCTGACCAAGCACTTTGTAGTTGTCCGCTACCTACATTGGCTATCAATTAAATCCAAGACGTTCAATGTTGGGCAGTATCGTCGCACTGCAACCCCTAACCCCTCGGCCGAATTTTTCGACACATCGAACCCAGAAGGAGAGCGCCTCCGAAAGGCAGCCGCCGAAGCAGCTGTCAATGACATGTGCAAGTGGTTTTCCGAGGGCAAGGGATTGGTCGCGATTCTCGATGCGACAAACTCTACAAAGAGCCGACGAAGATGGATACAGGAACGATGCACTGCGGACAATATCGAGACGCTCTTTGTCGAGTCCAAATGCGACGATGAGGAACTCATTATGAGCAACATCTTGGAAGTGAAGACAACCTCTCCAGATTACGTTGGCCAGGACCCTGAGGCTGCCGCAGCCGATTTTCGCAACCGCATTCGAAACTACGAAAAAGTCTATCAGACAATTGATGAGGATGAGCGTGACCTCACATATGTCAAGCTCATCAATGTTGGAGCACAAGTCATTATCAACCAGATCCAGGACTACCTCCAGAGTAGAGTTGTGTACTACTTGATGAACCTGCACATCAAACCACGATCTATTTGGTTATCGCGAGTAAGTTAGCACCACAATACTTTGAGTTTAATACTAACTATGATAGCACGGCGAGTCGGAATACAACCTCACAGGGCAGATTGGAGGAGACGCGAACCTCTCAGCCCGTGGCGACGCTTACGCGCATGCGCTCCCAGGTCTCGTCGCAAAGTCGGTTGGCGATGGCCGCAAGCTCACAGTATGGACATCGACCCTAAAGCGAACAATCCAGACGGCACGCTTCTTGCCTTTTGAAAAGTTAGAGTGGAAGGCGCTTGACGAACTCGACTCTGGTGTCTGCGATGGACTTACGTACGCGCAAATCGAGCAAAAATACCCGGAAGACTTCAAACAACGTGACGAGGACAAATACAACTACCGCTATCTTGGTGGAGAATCATACCGCGATGTGGTTATTCGGCTCGAACCCATTATTATGGAGCTGGAGCGCAGCGAGAACATTTTGATTGTTACACATCAAGCCATTTTGCGATGCATTTATGCCTACTTCATGAATGTACCGCAGGAACAGAGCCCCTGGATGGAAGTGCCTCTGCACACGTTGATAAAATTGACACCAAAGGCGTACTCGACACAGGAGGAAAGGTTGAAAGCCGACATTCCGGCCGTCAGTACCTGGCGAGGAAAGGGTACCAAGGCCGAGCATCAGCCGGCGAATGGTAGCACTTAGCTTCATTTCTTCTAATTCCTGGACAAATCTGCAGCCCGCATTATCCAGGAGTGACTGTTGGGAGAAGCGTTATGAAGGGGCTGGTGAATAGTTGTCAACAACACTATAGACGAACGAGGGGTCTTTGATGGATTGTAGTTTGGCTATTTCGGCGTGTGCGTTGAGGCATATGGGATAGGTGACATTTCTGCGGTTTGGTTCAAAACATTATTAGAAGGGCAAGCATTCAGAGTAATGGGTATAGATTGGAGGGAGTCAACATTGCGACCGTAACGTTAGGAGGGCAGACAATTGGTATCACAAATAGCAAATACTTGGATAGAAATTCGAGTAGCAATTTTTCCATTGTTTTGGCGTGGAAGTTGGAATATAAACAAAGGTGTTTGAATACGAGTTTGATCAACGTTCTAGAAAGGTAAGATGTGTTCCGTTACCTAGGTGTCGGTACATTAACTGCCCACCTTCCCATCTCAGCCTCTCCCGCGGACATTACAAGCAACGGGCTGTGCCGCAACCCCACTTCACCTCCACAACCAAACGACTTGCTGCTCCTGCTCCTGCCACCACTACTCTTACCGCCACGGGACAACCAGCACCCCTACACACTTCTCGGTGAAGCAAGAGAGAGAGAAAAAAAGGATCAGCCCACAGCAATGCAACAATGTCACCACCACCACTACCAACCACCAACCCAAGTTACCAGCACCAGCCTTCCACCTCAGACACCCCCATCCTAGACGCCCCCATACCAGCCTCATACACGACCCAAACACCCACCGCACCCGCACCATCCCCCGCAAGCGTCACACCACACGCCGGATCCCCATCGCACCCACGCCACCAGCAGCAGCAACGCGGTCCCCCACCTCCCTTTGACCCGCGCAGCGCGCACTCGAAAAAAGAGGAGGAGCTGCGCCGTAACTTGCAGGCGCGAGGCAAGAATTATGATATTAGCGGTGGTGGTGGTGGAGGGGCGGGGAAAGCGGTAGGGGCGGTACAGGCAAGTAGGGCGTGGGGGTATGAAGAGAGGCAGCGGAGGGATGAGGCGGCGGGGATACTGGAGAGTGAGGAGATGGTTATGTGGATTGCGGGGGTGAGGAATGAGGTTTGTTTCTTCCCTTTTTCCCTGATATCGTGGAAAGAGCGGGCTTTTAGCCTTTTGGGTTTGAAGGTGGGAAGGGTTGACTGACGAATGGCACAGAGTATAACGCAGACGCGGGCGTATTATCGTAATGTACTACTTGGGCTTGAGTCGTGTGCGAAGGAGAGTATTGTCTGGCGGGATGAGTGGGAGGGGTCGCAGCAGCAACAGGGTCGCGATGGGGAGGCGCTGGGGAGTCCCGGGAGGAGTGGAAAGGGCAAGGAGAGGGAGATTGCGAAGATGAAGAAGAGGGTGAGTTCGGGGGTGGGACAGTAGAGTGCGACTTAATGGGCAGAGAAGGGGAAGGGGAGAGAGCCAGTATCATGATTTTTTTTCTTTACAAACAGCTTTATACCCACTCATGTACATAGATACATCTTCACATCACGACTTTTCTTCTTCTTCTTCTTCTTCTCTGAATACAACCAGATCCAAAGAGGCACGTTACTCGTTGCATTAGGTACTTGCGTTCGTAACCTGTTTTCTCCCCTAGGCCCAAGGGGATATATATGGGGTTCATAATGAATGAATTCCCAGAACCCTTCCTCCGATTCTTTTCCTTTTTCTCCAATGTATGCCCGAACACCTCATATAGTACGCGTTTCCAAGCGCGCCAGTTACTTACATTGATTTCAACAACAACAACAACAACAAAAACCAGGACGAACGCACGCCACAGCTCCCCATCTCTTCATAGTGGCGTTTCCAAGCTGACTCTCAAAAAGGTCTATCAAACGCCCCATTCCCATATCTCCCTCACATTCCCTCTTCCATGCCGACATTGCGCCACCATGGCTTATCACCCTCACCAGCACCCTTCTCTGCAAACATGTCCTCTGCATCGCCAACCTGTCGTCTCTCACTAATTTCCCTGCTGACCTGGCCGCTCAACTTCAACTTCATAGCCTTGCTAGCCAGGAATGGGTTGTATTTACGCGAACCGTTACCCTGCGCCATTCCTCGGGATGATCGGATGAGTTCGCTCGATGTCCATCCGCCCCTCATGACAGGTAATTGCTATTGCAAAGGCTCCGAGGAAGAAGAGAGGCGGTTAAGGTGGAGGTAGACGTCGGTGCCGTAGCTGTAAAAAGAAAGTCAGCTTCAACCCTTTTCAATGTGGCAAGGAGCCAAGACATGTTGATACATACCCTTCCATCGAGATCAACTTCAAATCTCCACCAAAGTACCGTGCATACAACCGAGAAATGGGGAGGCCATAGCCGAAACCAGCCATTGGCGCTTTGAAATCGTTCTTGTTGAAATCTGGGTCCAGGTTGGGTGTTTGGTCCACAGTCGTGTACATGTATGTCCAGACGAGCGGAATCGACGATCTTGGAATACCACCTCCTTCATCTGAGATCTTGATCGTAATATCCTCTTTGCCCTCTGCAACAATGACTTTAGTCACGGGGAATGCCTCCTTTTCTTGACCATGTCTCTCTACTACAGCACGCAACGAGTTCTTCAAAGTCTCGAAGAGCATGTGCGACAGATGCCCAGGCACATACATGAAGTTGATCTCGGGGTTGCACACAAGCTGCACCTTTGGAGCGTCGAATAATCCGTAATGATCTTCGCACACAAAGCGCGCATTTTCAATAGCCTCTTGCGCCAGTTCTTGTACGTTTGTCTTGGTGCATATGATACCAACGTAGTTTGGATCACTCCGTGAGCGTTGGTCGGTGAGGGCGATGTGCTGACCGATGAGCATCCGAATTCCGATACGCGACATGTAGAACCGGTCCAGGAAAGCCTGTATGTTATGGTCAATATGCATCCGTTGCCTCTTGCGCTTCCACTCGAGGATGCCCTGCGCGACAGTAGTAACGACGCTGTCATGCCGCCGTTTGATCTTCTCCAAAGTCTCGGCAAACTTTGTGTTGTATGCGCTAAGCTCTGGTGGCCAATCCTGGCCGTCGTCTGCAGCGACATAGTATCTCCGGCTTGCACCCTTGACCTCTTTGGTGATCCCGTTGCCATTGCCGTTGCCATTGTGGTTTCCATTCGACGTTGGTGCGGATCGGTACTGTCCAGTTCTGATGCTTGGGTTTTGTGTCGGTTTACTCATCAAGTTCTTGTCGCCGCTCTTTTTCGCTGGTTTCAGTAATCGTTCTTTGATCTCGCTCGAGAGTTGTGGTCGTGGCAGTTCGACGAGTTCCTAGCGTTGTGAGTCAAGCTATTCAGCGAGCCGTTACCGCACATACCTCGAATGACTGCGCGTACCAGTCGCGCACTCTGCAAATGGATGGCATCTCATTGAGGCCATCGGGGAGGTCGTTGAGCTCTTGCACGCGATGTGCCAACCGTATGGGAAGTTCCTCAGAAAGGAACTGTGACGCGCGGAAAAGGGTTCCCGTCGATGGCTTCTCGCCAAATTGCACCATCTGCCGTAGGGACACGCCTGGAATGGAATTAGAGAGACACTTGACACCAAGACTCGAGGATACGGACCAGTCGCCGGAAAGTTGCTATAGTGCTACGCAAGGATTAGCAGTGATGGCATCGTGGGGTGCGTTGCCTACCTTGATGGTTTCCATCAGCCTCTCGCTCCGCTTCCACGACATGATGGCAGTTGTTCAAGGCCGTAACGGCCTTTGTCGCTGTGTGCTCGCCAAAGTGCTGTGGTCGGTGGTGGTGTCCCCCGTCCAAGCTGCCGAACGCCCCCACTATGACGCTAATGGACGGCGATGAACCGGCCGAGGTAACGGCGCGTGGAATGCTGTGCTGGGGCGGTTTGCGACGAGTCGTCTTGAGTGAGAGGAGGGAGAGGTGGCACAAGAGCACATGTAAAGTATGTATGTGTATGGCTAAATGATGTGATGTACACGGAGTTCCCCGGGAATGCCACGACTGATTGGAGAGCACTTGCGCCTTCCCCCACACTTTTCGACTTGAGCGTGGAGAAGCACGCGCAGCAGCGTCACAGGCAATCCGCGTTCATGAGCCTCTCATCCCACGCCTGACGAGACGGTATTGGTTATGACACGGCCATCTGTCTTGTTTTGTTTTCTGGCGCCTGCTGTCGCCAATGCATGGGATGCGACAACGTCAGTGTATCGCCCTCGACAAGCACACAGCTCCAGCCACATGATCCTCGGCTAGTTGTCGGAGGAGGCGCCGGCAGAGCGCATGTTCCTTGCTGCATGTTCCTCAGCTCCGAGGATGCCCAGACACTCGCGTGAGCCGCACCATATGGAGCTAGGCGAGCGTAGTCCCATAGGTACACATGATGCAACCGCTCTAAATACGGTCCCTGTGGTCAAAATTCCCGCAACGTGTCAGAAAATTTGTCCGACTCCCCATTGGCCGCCAGGGTAGGACCAACATGTGCGGAGCCTTTGCCATCGTATATCACCCTTTTCACAAATCAAGAGCAGCGCCCCGAGGGACAAGAAGAGTATAAGTGAATAGAGGAGAATTGTTATTTCGAACGTGCCGCCAAGTTCCAAACCAGGTCTATGCTGCACCACATCGAAAAAACGCCCTAAAATCATACACCAAACATAATCTACATGGAACAGTAACGCGCTAAAACCGCGCTCACCGCCTCAGTCGTTCGTCTATCATCGATGTTGATACAATCCAAAGAGATCTTGGGTCGAAGAGGTATTAGAGAAGGGTCGTGGAGCGTCGGAGAGTGGGGTAAACGTCAACGTGGTAATAGGACGCTTATTTGGTCTCCTCCTCAAGGAAGGTGATCAGGTCGTTACGGTCCTTGGGCTTCTTGAGACCACCAAAGGCCATCTTGGTACCGGGAATGTACTTCTTGGGGTTCTCGAGGTACTCAAACTGTGTTGCGTTAGCATTGACTGTCGGGTCATGTTTGTCTTTGTACGGCGTCACATACGAGAGTGTCGTGGTTCCACTCAATGCCCTTTTGCTTGTTGGCATCGGTGTATGAGTAGCCAGCGACGGAACCAGTCTTGCGGCCGAAGAGGCCGTGTAGCTCGGGGCCAATCTTGTTGCCCTCACCGGCCTTCAGGGTGTGGCACTGAGCGCAACGGGTCTACAGTGTGGTTAGAGAAGGTTCGGCGAACGTGTGATGCGACGAGGGGTATATCCGGCGTCATCTCAGTGTATTCGTACCTTGAAGAGGTTGGCACCCTTCTTAGCATCGCCTGCAAGGATATGTCAGCAGTCTGCATGACGATAAAATTTATTGTACTGCCAAGCGAGCCATCTTGCCATGTCGCAAACCTGCCATATTTCACACCGCCTCATGAACTGCCCAAATCTAGCTGGCTTGTATTCTAGGAAAACGCTGCTTCTCATAGAGGCCAGTTCTCCATGTGCGCGCAGGCTCAATGGGCGTTGGAAGCAGGAGGCAAGGCGAGGCAGGCAAAATGGGAGACGACCGATGACGTCCGATTGGAGTCAGAAAAACGTACCCTTTTCGTAGCCCATTGTGATAAGATGAGAGGTATGAGGGTTGGTTAGGTGGTAGAGAGGTAGTGTTCAGGAGTAAGAGAAGAGTGAGACTTGTGGAGTGGTGAAAGGAAGCAGCGATGGAAACTGGAATGAGCGACAAAAAAGCTGGCAGAGGCAATGGAAAAAGCCAAACACGTGACTACGCTCGCGTCAGGGCCCGTCATGCCATCGCAGCTAGCGCCTGCATGCGGCGAATCAGAGACGCAGTAAAAGTCAGGAGCAAAGGCGGTCGGGTGGAACCGGTCCGAGGACGCCTGAGCTGGGCAGGCAAGAGCCTCTGAGCTGAGCCAGGGCCGTCTTTTGTCCAGCCGCTTTTGCTTTCCTGGTACTCGGCAATCCTGCATCATCCCATCAGTCGATGCCGTCATGACGTCGCCCGCAAACAACCCTGGGCAGCTGCCAGTACACACGCCAAGTCCACGCACATATCCATATCAAGAGTACATAGATGTAGACCAAAAGCAATCATCCTCCCCTACTTACATACACTACTCTGGCTGTCGGGTTTCCCAGGGTCTGGTCCGTCGGCTTCCCTGCAGGACGCCGGCTCTACATACCAAATACGATGCCGCGCAAGGGTCCGTAAATCAGCGTGACATCTTCACGGTACCGTCCAGGTTGATGAATGCCGGCTTCTCGTGATCTAGAAAGCAGTACATTAGTATTACATTCCCCCGCCAGCATCACACTCATCTTGTCTTCCTACCAGCAACCCCCCACCATCCGTTGTGAGCCAGTCCCTTGGTTGACATCATTAAGTTCTGCCCCGCCACACCTCAACCGACAGGATGGATCAGATTCCAAGTATCTTATATGCTGATGAGAACTTCAAAACATGGCTGATACTCGGCGCTAGCCGAGGCATTGGCCTAGAATTCGTCAAACAGTTGCTCGCGAAGAACGAACGCATCATAGCTACTGTGAGAGAGCCTTGGGCCGGGCATGCCAGTGGCCTGTGGGGACAAGCGGGTGGCGATCATGGCCGATGTCAAATGTACACATGCGATATCTTGTCTGAACAGAGCATCGAAGTACGGAAGCCGATTGCATTTCGTTCCTGCTGCGAGACTGAGAGGGGCTGACACTGTCAGAAATTCGTCGCGCAACTGGCAGCACAGCCGAACCTGAAGATCGACTATGTAGTACTAAATGCAGGAGTGCTAAGGTACCCGAATGTAAGTTCGACATCATGCACGTATGCAAGGGGGCTGCACTAACCGTTACAGAGGGCCACTGAGCTGTACGTTCCTCGTCGCGGTCACGCTTTTCTGGTTGTGGCTAAAGCGTGCATTTGCAACAAATCCAGTATATCCGGGTGATGGTAGTCATGGTCGAGATCATGGATGCTGACTTCAGACAGATCGTTTGATGAATTCGCTTTCCATTTACACACAAACACCATCGGGCCCATCGTCGCAGCACAGAAGCTTCTGCAAACAAAAATCCCCATAGGCACAATTGTCTTCATGTCCAGTGACTCGGGTTCCCATGGCAAATTTCTTGAGATGGAGGATGGGTTTGCCGCATATGCTGCGTCCAAGGCTGCACTAAACATGGCAGCGAGGCACATGGCCGCTGAATTGAAGCGGAAGGACGACGATACAATCATCTTATGCATGCATCCAGGTGAAGTAGCGACTGACATGGCAAACATTGAAATCCCATGGACTATAGAGGGTCTCATTTCACCAGAACAATCGGTTTCAAAGATGATTGAAGTGATCACGACCAAAGGCATACAGCACAGCGGCACCTTCTGGACATGGGAGAACAAGGTCAGTTTACCTGAGTCTTTTCAAACCTTTAGTCATGTACTAATATCTACGTTTCGAAAGCCTTATATTTGGTAGCATCGATGACACTCATTATGTTCCCGTCTTGAATCAGTCGCACACTTGTACCCAGATTCCAGTTGGCTGTGCTTGTGCCTGCTTATCAGATTGTGTATGAATGCTGATTCATAGTTTTTATCGTGCTTCACACTCAAGTCAACATAGAAGTTTATAAGAATTGAGAATCAGTCGAATTTATTCGGAATGCCCGTATTTTGCCTGCCCATAGCCGTTTCGCACACCTTTGCCATGAGGAAACGCGACATGGATTCGCACAGACGGTACCTATAAACGCGAATCTTTCAATCTGCAACCCATTATATGAGAGACAAAGTCGTTGATGTTTACCTGAGCTTGTGCTATCAATCTGCTCAAACGTTTAGTAGTAGTGGTTTTCGCCTGGGCTACCATAGATGACTTGTGGGTGCTAGCCGTTTTTTAGCAAGCATGCACGTGCACTCTGAACCAAAAGTACGTGCAACCATCCTCATTCCATAATGACACTTTTCCTTTCGAAACTCGACATGTAGATGGTAGCCATGTCCGAGGGTGCACATGTTTTATCGAGAATGTTGATTTGTGGCTTGGTTAACGTGACGTCTCCACAATGACTTCATCGGGAAGCTACTTTGACAGTTCACCGACAATATTGTTGTACCAAAGCCATCGACAGCACAACCGCGGGTCGGAACATCAACTCCCCGAATCACTATTAACAACCCAGAATACGCAATGGCTGCCTCCCCCGCCATGACAGATCCGCTTGCGGCTCTTCCGCCGGAGATTGTCCTCCGCATCCTTGACTTCACGCCTGTCTCTACACTAGGCTCTCTCATTTGCGTATCACGTGCTTGGCAGCAATTCATCGACCATACCCACCAAGACGCCATCTACTCCTCTCCCTCCAAAACAGTACAGCCACCAAAGCGTCTACAACCACACAGCAGCGCTCGCGATTTTTCTTTCCTTGAAAACTCTACCAGTTTTTCTAAATTCTTCGACAATGTCACATCTTGGAAAGACTTGTGCAAGCGCCAAACCTTGCTTGAGCGCAATTGGAATGCGCCACGGCCTGTGACTCGCGAATCTGTCCTACAGGTTGGCAATGATGCCATATGGCGGTTCAAGGTAGACTTCAAACGTCGCTTGTTCATATCTACTTCACATGCTGGTGGCTTCAACGTTACGGATATGGACTCAGGCCGCCTCTTGTGGCGGTTACCTTCCGTGCTAGATACAGCAGAAGAGCATGCTGTTAGACCATACGCGCATCTCGAATACCAAGATGGGACTGCAGTGTTTGATCGTGAGGGTGATGCACTGGAGGTATGGCGGATAGATCAAGAGGGCACCGAAAGAGGAGTATTCAAGCGTATTGCTGTCCTCGATCATGATTGTCAGACGAGAGGATTTCAGCTTTCGTATTGGACGTTGGTAGTCGTTTCGGTGGAAGGTCAGGGCTTCGTGTATGACATGAAGCAAACCCCACCGAAGCTCACTACCCATCTTACCATCGAGCAAGATGCAGTAGGCCATCTGGATCAAAACGAGGATATGGTAGTTTACTCAATGGGCATACGCGGGTATCATGTGTATGATAAAGAGTCGGGAAACTGCTTAGGCCATCTGCAGCCATCGCATTGCACAGACAAATACTGTGTGCATCGGCTACCACCCGTAAACGATCCCTCTTTCAGGGAATCAATGTATGGATTACGCCATGGTCAGACCAGGCGGATCTTCCCTCCCGCCTCGCCACGTAGAAATCGCTTTACTCCTATTGAGCTCGGTAAGGGCCCCCTGCCGAACGCGCCTGATGACCCAAATCACCCCAGGAATGGCGAGGATGAGTGGGGCGCCGGTATGCTAGACCGCGATAGCAACCTCTTCGTTGGCTTCTCCCGCCTCGGTCGCGTTTTCATATGCTCCGATATTCGTAAGGCACTTGAAGATGGGGCTAAGAGCATGGCCAGCTATAGCCAGATTCTCGAGTGTGATTCCGACGGATCGGACTTTGATCTCGGCGGATGGTTATCCGTGCGAAACCACCGCGTCATGTTTGGAATCCAAAATAGAATATATGTCGTCGCGCTAAACGCAGAAAATCGACTTGACTTTGAAGACGGCAAGAACAGGAATCGAGCTTCATACTCACTCCTTACGGGCTCGACACCTCAATTGATGGTCCCAGTCAGTTTCATGGCATTGTATGACGATTGCATTATGACAACATACGCTGTGAGTTTAATCCTTCTATAAGAAATGGCAATTTTGCAATGTTTATCTAACATTTAACACAGACTATTGGCCAGCGACAAGAAGACGATGGGCCCGGTCGCATTTTTCCGACAAAAGCAATACGCATTCTTAGTTTAGCACCTTCTCTTGACAACAGCGATCATACAACTACAGATTTGGAAGTGCAAGCGCAGAGACCGCGGAATACGCTGATGGAGCTTTGGATGATGTTTAATGATGAGCCGAGCGATGGAGAGGATACTTGGAGGACTATAGATGGACATGACTTGGATGATGAGTGGGAAGATGAGGAAGACGAGGGTGAATGATTGTCAGCAAGGAGTTTGATGTATCAAATGTCATGTATTCAGGAAAACAAGCACAGATGTTCAAAAGAATTGTTAAATGGTTTCCCATTATGATGTTCGAGGTTCTTAGTACGCGACGCATACTAACGCAAGGCAGTTTTGCGGGCCGGTGTCGTTACTCTCAGCTTGGCACCACCAATCAAAGTAAGAGGCACCCGTGTTTCTTGTCTTATGCAGGCTCGATCAATTGACCAATACGCGAACAATCCTTTTTGTCTTGCATTTGCTTCCTTCCCCCATCGCTGTGACATATCTCTGTCTTATGCAGAATTGTGAAAATTGTGAGAAACGAGTTCTAAGTCCACGCCACTAGATAACCTATATCCTACGCGAATATATTGATCAACATCGCTTATTGATCCACTAGCTTTTGCAAGGGGTGTGAAAGGCGGGAGGAGGAGGGGAGAGAGAGGAGAGAGAGAGGGGTGGGAGGTGGGGGGTAAAGGAGATTATATCCTATCCGTGGACAGAGAAAACACTCGAGCATGGACACTAACATTATTAAGAAGTCACGTGGCTTATAGAAGAGCCTCAGTATCGCCCAAACTTTGCCTTATTTTTTTTTTGAAAAGAAGGAGACAGCACCCAGCACAACCCGGGAAATCTTGGGAGGGCCGGGGGTAGTGTGCGGCTGCATACACAGGTTGCAGAGGTGGTGACTCGAGGTGCTTTCAGCACTTATCATTTACGCCACCAAAACTTGGCTAACGGTTGCCTTCTTTTTTCCTGCTTTTTGCCTGATTGCCTGGTGGCGCCCCACAGAGCCTTCATGGATATACAATCTATGTCGAACTGCCATACCAGTCAGTATTCGCAACCAGATGTAAGAGCGGCACATGATAATCCACACCACCAAGCCTGCCACTCATATTCTTCCCTCGTTCAAGCAATGCTTCCCTCCCGCGCGTTTAGTTCGTCTTCTCTTGTACCTGGACCTAGTCAGGCAACTGCCATACCTTCTTTGTCTCGACCTTCTTGGACAAAACAGGATGTGTTAACTCTTGCTGGCGTATGCATAGCTATGATCACCGTGTTACTCGCATTATTGAGTGTCTTGACGTCCCCGCTCAGTCTACGCAAGTGGCTGCGCAGACCGTTTCATTGGATCACACGACGGCTGCGGCCCAGTGAGTACAGTCACGTGACAGAAAGTGCGAGCTGATTGGGTGGACTAGATACGGAATCCCTACCCCTGTCATCACCATCGCCTTATCCACCAATGGTCATCGAGAACTGGAAAAATACAGATCCGACAGCGGTGCGCCAACTATGGCAGGAACGTTACAATGAGTCGTTGAGGGTGAGGCGCGGGGGATTCTGACAGCGAATCAAAAGAACTGGATACAATACAATACGGTCTGGATGATTACCTGGATAGCGTTGGAGTAAGGATTCCGTGCGACGCATACTATGGGCGTTTATTTGGTGGGCTTTGCTTTCTTTCTTGTTTGTAATAAGTAGTATAGGACTTGAAGTCATACTTTTTTCGCATTTGATCCATCGTTCTTATGTCTTTTCCCCGAGTGTCAGCGTCATCACCACACCTACTGCGCGCTGAAAAAAAACGAGCATGTTAATATCGAGGCACTACCTTCTTCGCCAAGCCCTGAACAATCTAACAGCTTCCGTCTCCCATTTAGCAATAGCCAGTTAATCGGTTAACCTTGAAATAAGCTATAGTTGGTATGACGCATTCCAACAACGTCTTCGGAACGCATAGAACGTTGTTCTCCTACAGCGTGCTGTATAACATATGGCTAGAGGCTACAGGGCGCCATGCACATAATATACGGAATCACCGAAGAACAAACTAGTCCATGGGGTTACATTAATCGATCTTGGGAGCCGAGTTTGCAAAGAAGTAAGCTGTACGACCATTTACCTGGTATTGATGTGTGATATGCATACCTCGAATACGAGGGTCGCTGCACCACCTTTTACATTTCTTTAATCCCAGTGCCAGCATTGTAAGATGGTGGCGCATATCGATTGGAGACGCAGCGGATGCCAGCGAAGCTGTTTCCATAACAGCATAGATACGCAGAGATCTCTTGTCGGCACAGAGGAAACTGCACCCTCCAGATATTGTGCGCGCGTAATAGAGACAACTAACTCATCTACAACACCGCTTGGGAATCAGGAGAGAGCTTCAGAATAACAGTTCCATTGCAACAAGATCCAGGAATGACGATCCCGGTCGTTACTAAATATAGGGCGGGGTGCCTGGATGCCGGGTGCCTGAAGACGGAGTATACGATGCAACCTCTACCGAACAACACGCCTCGAAGGAGTGACTGCTGGTATCTTTTGAGCTGGGTTTTGGGGACAACCGATTGTAACAATACTTTTACTGGGAGTATCTCGTAGTACATAAGAGAAGGGAAGTCGACACAATGGATGAACACAAACCACTTTCAAACGCCTCTATCCAAGCAGTTCTCTATCTACGACTGTGTTAATTATCAAATTGTCAAATACCTCCAAGATGCAATTCACCATCACTTCCGCTGTCACTCTCCTCGCATTTGCATCTTCTGCAGCTGCGTCTCCTCTTGCGGCCCGTCAGGACGCGCTGCAAGATTGGCAGGTAACAGACCTCGCAGTTTCTGTGCCAATGGGACGCCCCGGAAGTTATCCTTGGGGTACCCTTAAGGCGAACATAACCGACCCGAATGCGATCAACCTTGGTACTTCGAGCGATGGCAGCCAGATGATAGTGCCCGCCGGAAGCAAGAGGGTGGTAAGTTTCGCATGCTGATCTCTTCGTTCGATGCCATACTAATACGAATACTAGAATTGCGAAGCCAAATGGTACATCAATGGCGATTCCCCCGTCGGTCGCGCATGGCCTTGCGACGCAACCTCGAACGGCTACTGGTTTATGCACGTGTATGAAGGTACAAATGGCTTCTCATCCAGCAATTTCGACCTCAAATTTACACGCGTCGCGGAGAAGATCTATCTGGATACTCAGTATAAGGCAACCTCTGAGGCGAAAGGGCATTTCGACAGCCGAGGAGCTCTTGGTGGTGTTTGCAGTGCAGGTGAGTGTAATTGGGGGCTTCTACAATCGAAGAAACCTTTCAAGATTACACCTTCGAAGGTCTGAGTGGAAGGGAGGGCTTCTCGGCAATGTGGTGAGATTGAGATGGTTGTGCCGAGGTCGGGTCGTGGATGCTACCGATTATCCCTAATGATTGTGTTTGCTAGAGCGTAGAACCATAATGTTTAGTATTAGAAGTACAGTAATGCATGGCGGCGGAGCGTATATAGAACTTGTTGAAGATGTGAATCGAGTAATATAGAACTTGTTCCATACCTACAAAGGTCATTGTCTCGTATTTCATCTTGCCCAGCTATGTATGCAGTCATGACGATGGATTACGTCTCGTCTCCACGATCAGCATGACCAAGGTGCCGGCAGACATCATGTCTGATAATAAGAATGCCTCAATATCTCAGAGAGCCAATGCTTGAGTGCCGCGGCGAAACGGCAATTGCTTAGCCATGGTGATGGTGTGGTACCGGGAGCGGCCGGCGAGCGACCGGGAGTGGACTTGTTGTGCGAGCCTCAACATCACATCCTCCGTTAATTGCCGCCTCAGTCCGTCTGCAACCTGCGCCATCCATGTAATCAGCTGCAAATAAGCACCATAGCGGTATCGCAGCAAATAAATTGTCTTGAAATGGTTCCAGAATGCGTGCTTTTCCAGGGGTTGTGATGCTGGTGGGACAAATCAATGCCTGCGTGCAGCCCTTATCCCCGCATTTGAGCTCCGGATCTTGGCATCGTCACAAGCTTGAAGCTCCTCTCCGCCGAAGCAACGCCTTTAGCTCACCATTCACATCAAGCCGACTAGTCTGCATCAGTCGGCCGACCAAGCAGATCCTCGGCCCAGGCATTGAAGATGGGTGACGTCTGCATCATAAATAATGTCTATCAGCCGTCTGACCTTCTCCGCACGCTGCATACTTGAACCGCATTTCCCTTCCATCTCACCTTGTCATCCCTCGTAGCTCTACATACACGAAATTTCATTCAAGTACATCTAACAAATCATAATGGCCAATCCCGAACGCATTCTAAGAGAGGTCAACATCCTCGGCGACCTCAATGATAAGAACCGCCATATCCTCAGCAAGGATGCCTGCGTCTTCCTTGCACTCCTCCACCGCACATTCAATGAACGCAGGAAAGCCCTTCTTCAACGACGAGTGATTCGACAGGCTGAGCTCGACAAGGGAAACCTTCTCGATTTCCTTCCAGAGACCAAGCACATTCGAGAGAACGATGCTTGGAAGGGCGCACCACCAGCGCCTGGTCTCGTCGACAGGCGCGTCGAGATTACTGGCCCAACTGATCGAAAGATGGTCGTCAATGCCCTGAACTCTGATGTCTGGACTTACATGGCTGACTTTGAGGGTATACGATCTCTGCTGAACCGTTTGAGAGTTTCATCATTAACATTCTGCAGATTCGTCCGCACCAACATGGGACAACATGATCAACGGTCAATTGAACCTGTACGATGCCATTCGCAGGCAGGTCGACTTCAAGCAAGGCGAGAAGGAATACAAGCTTCGCACAGACCGAACACTACCCACACTCATCGCCCGTGCCCGAGGCTGGCACCTCGAGGAGAAGCACTTCACCGTTGACGGTGAGCCTATTTCCGGTGGTCTTTTCGATTTCGGACTGTACTTCTTCCACAACGCCCATGAGCTTGTCAAGCGTGGAACGGGCCCATACTTCTACCTGCCTAAGATGGAGTCGCATCTTGAGGCTAGGCTCTGGAACGACGTCTTCAACCTGGCCCAGGACTACATTGGTATGAGGCGTGGAACCATCCGTGGAACAGTCTTGATTGAGACCATCACTGCCGCCTTTGAGATGGACGAGGTATGTCGAAAACCTGTCCAGAAAGAAAATCCATATGCTAATCATGTTATAGATCATCTACGAGCTTCGTGACCACTCCTCTGGCCTCAACTGCGGCCGTTGGGACTACATCTTCAGCACCATCAAGCGCTTCCGTCAGAACCCCAACTTTGTCCTTCCTGACCGCGACTCTGTCACCATGACGTCGCCCTTCATGGACGCCTACGTCAAGCTTCTCATCAAGACATGCCACAGGCGTGGCGTTCACGCGATGGGCGGCATGGCAGCCCAGATCCCCATCAAGAACGACCAGCAAGCAAATGATGCTGCCATGGCCAATGTCCGTGCAGACAAGCTCCGTGAGGTACGCGCTGGTCACGACGGCACATGGGTGGCTCATCCGGCGCTCGCAGGCATTGCGAGCGAAATCTTCAATGAGCACATGCCCACTCCCAACCAAATGCACGTCCGCCGCGAGGATGTCCACATCACTGCCAACGACCTGCTGAACATGAACGTACCTGGCAAGGTCACCGAGGCCGGAATTCGCAAGAACCTCGACATTGGTCTTGCCTACATGGAGGCCTGGATCCGCGGCGTTGGTTGTGTACCAATCAACTACCTCATGGAGGACGCTGCTACCGCCGAAGTCTCAAGGAGTCAGCTTTGGCAATGGACAAAGCACAACGTCCAAACTGCAGAGGGCAAGAAGGTCACAAAGGACTACGCCATCAAGCTGCTGCAGGAGCAAGCCAAGGCATTGAGCGACAAGGCACCAAAGGGAAACAAGTACCACCTTGCTGCCAAGTACTTTGAGAGCCAGGTCACTGGGGAAGACTATGCTGAGTTCTTGACATCGTAAGTCACATATCTCTCCAAGTTATAAGAATCACGTACTAATAATGTTAGTCTCCTATACAACGAAATCACAAACGTAGGTCCACCCAAGGGAGCCTCCAAGTTGTAAATCGCGGTGCAAAGCCTATCCTTTTCCCTAGTTGTAATGAGCATTTGAAAAGTGCCTCTGCTATTTTCTTTTTTGCTAGTTTGTAACTGTATACCACACATGGCTATCTTTGAGCTAGACATAAGAATTCGCGCAAACTGTAAAGCGCTTCGTTATCATGTACTGCTTACTTGCCCAGTGTTATGCCGTTCTTCCCCTTGAAAGTAGTATCGCATGTGTATTGATCAAAGGCTGACATTGCTCCTCATCACTCTATAGACCGGCTCGCCCGTCGCAGCGTCGAAACTGTAAGAATACACGTGCAACCGAGGTATAGCCCAGATCCTTGGAGAGAGAGGGGGATGCATGGTCGATCATACAAGAGCGGTCCTGGTAGGCGAACGCGGTTCATTTGACATGTGAAAAGCACTTGTGGGCTGGAACTCGTTTGATGTTTGCATAGCTATCGATGTGGTCAGTTTGATAATACTTCTTGTAAATATCATTAGTTGGTTTGTTATTTCCGTGGTACCCGATAATAGTCATTCATCTAGCTTGAGAAAGGTTGTGATAGTAGTGTGGGTTGTAATTATAGAATGGCTTGAAGAAATTTAGGACGGCGGACTAGACGACATCACCTAGTGCAAAAGGCGACCCACCAGCAATACACTTCTATGTATTGGACAGAGCATATACGTGGGTAGAAGGTTAACACGAACATGGGTCTTGGCATGAACAGAGAAGACGAAGAAGAATCTGCAGAGTAAAAACTCGCTTCACATGAACATTGAAAACCATGATTCATAGTCTCGTGGTATCTAGAGAAGTGGCGTTATCATGCCGAGTGCATTCAGTGTCCCGCGACTATGCAGACCAGATACATGACTAAACACCCATTTTGACCTGACCGATGCACCGAAGAAGCCCCAAATATCACCTTTACTTCCTGAGGAGACGCTGGTAGAAAGCAAGCTCCTCACCCTCGAGGACGTAACCGTCGCAGCGACCGCTCTGGCCGGGACGGGAAGAGACAGCGGCGTACAGACGACCGGCCTCGAACTGCTTCTCAACAGCATTCTCAATCTTTCCACTGGTCTTGAGGCGCTCGGCCTGCTTCTTGGTGACCGAGTTGGACTTCTTCTTGTCCTCCTCCTTCTCACCGGCCTTGGCCTGCCTCCTGCGGCCGAGCGAGGAGCCGTAGTGGGCCTCGTACCATTGCCTGAAGGGAGCGGCATCGATCTGGACGATAGCGGAGCGGGTCAGGGTGTTGGTACGGACGAGCTCGTTGTTGGAGGGGTGGTAGACGACACCGATGACACGGGTCTTCTTGGCGATGCCCTCAGAGCCCCAGGAGAAGTTGCCAGACTCGAGACGGAGAGCACGGAACTTGCGGTTGCCGCCACGGGTGCGGACAAGATGGATACGCTTAGTGCCAATACGGGTATTGGCAGGCTGGCGACCCTTCTCGAAAGCCCTGAAGCCATGTTAGACATGACTAGAGAAGCGATCGGGTTATGCATACCTCTTCTTGCGGTAGTATGCGCGCTTCGCACCGGACGCGGAACGCTTGTGGCGAGAGTCTCGTGAGATACTGGGAATTGTCAGTGGATGAAGTCAAATGACGGGGGAGGAAGAGATAGATACCCCATGATTGCGGTTGTTCAGAAGACTGCTGCCCACAATCAAATTAGCTTTTGTTCTTCCTGTGTGATTTCCGAAACCGCAGCACTGCTCCGCTCCGCCAATACAGTCCTTTGCATTGTATAGCCCATAGCAGAAGTATTCATCTCGGAGCGATTGAAGTGTTCGCGTGCGACAATGTCTTCCGTTGGCGTAGGCATACAGCTGGGTCACGATGGCGGAGCGGTGTCGATTTCGCAATGCTGAACGGCTTCCATGTCTCGAGTACAAGGCGTCCTCTGTTGCGTACCTGTTTTTGGTCTTCCGGTGCAATCTGTGTTGTCGTGGGGTTAGTTGGCGCTTGTCAGAAGAAGTCGGGAAATTCAAGGTGATTTTCGAGTTCTGAGCGTTGGTGCCAAGGCCACGCTAAACAATAAGCGAGCAGGTGCGCTTCTGCGCATCTTGCCCCCCACCATTCACTGCCCCATCCTATCCAGTAACCTTTTCCACATTTTCGCATCCCTGTATCGATAAGTCCCTCACGACAGAGCAATCGTTCATTGAATTGTCCTGGGAATTGGGCAGGTGATGAATGCATAGCGCAAGTAGCCAATGTAGCTTGTCACTACACGTGCTCGCTGAGATCGCTCCAACTGTCCATGTCAGCATCATCGGGGTTGGGCTTCGTAAGCTCAGTATTGCCGATTCATCAACTAAACTCGTACCACAATATCTATTGCAGAATTCACCAACGGATGGAAATGAAAAAAATACTCTGCGCATGGCACGTGGCTTTCGTGTCAAGCACTCTCCGTACTCTCCTTATACCTGGCCATGGAGTCCTTGCGAACACACGCACAATCATCATTGGCCCCTCCACTTGAGTCTTCCTATGTATACATTGAAGCCAGCCACCATACAGGATTTGGAATTCGCTAAGACGCTTGGGAAAGACCGATGGTTGGTAAGCACTCAGCTGATGTATGACATCTTGTTTCCACGCCGGTTAAAGCTATCTCCAGGCTACCGCATCTAAGACTTTAAGTAGTTATATAATTTGGGGGAAGTGTGAGGACGTGTAGTGCCTCTCTTCTCCTTTCCTGTCACCTAAGCCATGAATTTTTCAAGCCCTCTTTCCGAACAACTATGTTTTTCACTCGCTATGATACTGGCGGGCGGACAAACGTTACTTGTTTATATCGGATCCTATGCTCATGCTTAACGTGGGTGAGAGTTGCTCAAGCGGGTAGCTATGGGGCCTCGTATTCATTAATTCATTAAAGTTGGTTGGGCTCACCCAATCTAAAACCAGCATTCGGTTACAGGTCAGCGGTGGCAGCAGAAAGCCTTGGGATGGTGGCGCCAGGGTTAATTGAGATATTACATTCAGCGCCATCGATCACTAACTAAATGTAGATGTTGTCTTCTGCTAAGTTCAGGTTTTTAGATCTGTCACTACCATTTCCTCATCAAACCCGATGTATCCATCACCAAGTCATACCACTCTATCCTGTCCTCAAGTTTGTATCCCTTCAGTACCCGCACCACCGAATTCAATCCCTACCATACCAGTGCAGACCTCATACCTGGTGATCATCCCCACCAGCACAACACCCGTAGATGCAACGGCCACTTTGATTACATCCCGGGGCCATGCCACGAGAAGTGTACCCATGCAATCGACAAACCAAAAGCCTTCGACCAATAGCGCCAATCATATTACAGATAGGGGACCCCATGGCCATCATGAGATTACTGAACCCAATTTCAGTGCTACCCGACAATGTAGAGGATGTTCTCCAGTGGTCGAGATCACAGCTACAGACTGATTAGATACACCAGTTGAGGATCAGCATGGCTCTACAGAGCGGCTGGACCCTGCTCCACTGATCACCCAAGCACCTCCAATCGCTACCGTTTCTGCTGGCTTAGCGACTGTCTTTGTTGAGCAGGAGCTAGTTGGTTATAACTTTGTGATAGGAGGCTCATATACTGTTGCTCCCGGTAAGCCCGTTACTGTGGGTAACACGCCTGTTGAGATCCGAAATTCAAATAGCCAGATGGAAGTGGTTGTCGGCACAATCGCAGTATCTCTATAGCCAAATTACCCTCAAACAACATACGGGCCGCCGCTAGAACTACCACCAATACTTACTATGGGCACCACAGCAGTAATGCCAGACTTACGATCAGAGTATGTGCTTGAGGGACAAACGCTTGTCCCTGATGGAGAGCTACTCACCATCTCATGAATGACGCTCTCTCTTTCGCCTTCAGTAACAGCGCTTGTCGTTAACGGAGACATACAGCGTCGCTCCTGTAACCGGCAGCATTTATACCGTTGTGATACCAGCTGCCTTAACCTTCAGAGAGCAATTGCACACAGCCAATCGTGCAAGCCACATCATAATGGGTCCAGAGACCACTCTTATACCCGGCGGCAATCCAGTGACTATCGACGGGACGTCGCTTAGCCTTGAGCCCAGTAGGCCAGCAGTTACGGTACAGGGCGCGTCTATCACTCTACAGCCTATAACAACAATTATCACATTAACGAGGGATTTGATTTCGTTCGAGACGCGGTTTAGCGGTGAGTGTGGGAGGGAATCCACCGCGCATTCCACCGGGGAAGTGTAGTGTGTTCCGATTCCACTGTGAAAGCGACTAGTGTTCGGGCAATACGGCATCATCGTGTTTCATCCGATGGTTGGCTAGGAAGTGTGCTTCTGTTGATTTTGTGGGGTGTAGCCTCTTCCGCTTTGCACCTATGGAGAGATGTACTGGAGCACATGGCATCGTGGGAACTCGCTTGCTGGAAATTTACTGTGCGTCAAATGGCGTTGGATCAACAGCATAAAATATGGAAAACACAATTTCTTGGTTTGTCGCATCGTAATCGCTTGTGCAGAGATCGATGTGTTGACAGGAAAAAACAAGAAACCCCTTAAAAATTTGCAATTACTTCTGCGAAGTTGAGGCAATTGTCGAAAATGTCTCATGATCGTCGTGTGCCAGCCAACCGTGCACAGAATCAGGAGACGGCGCAATAATAGACATGACGAAGATCCTGGAACATGGTACTCTAGAGGACTCAACAAATGTTCTTCATGGCCACATCACAACTACATGGTACCACATATTCGTCATTCAACCGGTGACAGGAACAAGTCAGCCATGGTCAAAAATTTGCATCACCAAACCTCCAAGGGCATTCGTCTAGCAGTTAAGGGACATGAACAAAAATAAATGCGCAACTTTACGTACAAACATCCACTCGCAATGCCATGGGCGGCGTCTAGACTACTTAATACCGATGCAAAATTGGCATCCGACGGGCAACTCGACGGCGGAAAAGCGCACGTGTTGGGCGAGGGCGACGGTGGTGCGACAGCCAATAACAGAGTTTTCCCCCGCCATGCCTCCAAAGGCAGTCTTCTAACAGCTAACGGCCATGAGGTGAAAAACTCGTGATCGCAGCGTCCCCCTGCGCATGCGCTCTGACATAATTAGCCGCCTGCGGGAAACGATCCGGCGGGCCCTCCGGAAAAGTGCAGTAGGGCGTGGATCATCTTGTTGTCATGGATGGGTGGGTCACGTACGCCCACACGCCCTGTGAAGGACCTTGCTGACTGAATTATGTGGGTTTGTCAGCCCCTACAGCCAATGGGAATATTGCCTTGATCACGGAACTTCTCCGTATTCTTGTAAATGTGTGGAAGGGCGCGTGCAAGGCATGCTGAGAAATTTTGCAAAGAAAACGTCGGTGTCCAGGGGGGTGTCACGATGCTTGGCGGGTGTCATGGCGAAGATTCTGGGGGAGTGTCTGGGGAGTATAAAGGTGAGGGTGGGTACGGCAGGATGAAGAGCATCAACTCAGCAAAGCATACCAGAGCATCAAGCACTAGCCTCTACTACTACTACTACTATTACTATTCTCGTCAACTTCGAATATATCGAACCAACAACAACAATCACAATGCCCAACTTCCTCAACACCATTGCCAGCCGCGCAAAGGCTCACCACGAGAGCGTCAATGCCGCATACAACACCTACTACACCGGCTCATCACCTGCCTCTCGAACAGCTTCACCTGAGGCTTCCCGCAGCTCCTCTGTTGCCAGCCCATCCGCACCCAAGAACCCTACCAATGCCTCCAAGGCCTGGAAGGCTCTTAAGAAGCACCACCGCGAGATGAACGAGGCCTTCGCTGTCTACTACAGCCCCGGCAACTCTCCCTCCGCCTCCAGGAACGCATCTGCCGTCTCCAGCCCAAGGCACAGTGCCGACGCACCCAGGAACTCTAGCGTCAGCGAAGTCAAGGAGGCTGGCCCCAGGAACTACCAGAAGGCGTGGAAGGCTCTCAAGACCAGGGCTATCGAGCACCACAGGAGCGTCAACGCTGCCTACAACCAGACCTATGGACTGCACATGCGCCAATAGATGCGATGCCGATAGGGGTCTTTGAAGAGAATTGGAGGTGGAAGTAATGGTTGACAGACGAAAGGGAAACGGAAAACAAAAGTGCTTTTTTTGGGATAGCAATATACCACTGTGGGATTCGGTAGCTTGGGAGTTTTTTTGACATTAGAAGGACCAGATCAGATGGATCTGAGTAATACACGGAGGATTGAATACCATTTATCTTTGCAAAGGATGAAATACTGAAACTTGGTGATGTTTGAGTGATGACAATGTGACTGAGAGACTTCCAAGAGAACTGATGTTTGAACAGAAAAGCGAGAACATGAAGAAATACCGGATATTTGTGAGTCTCTTCAATAGTGTGTGACCTGAACAAAGGACCGTGTTGATGTTGCTTTTTTTGATTGAAGGGAGTGCGTTAGCGTTGACAGCTCTGGGAGTCATTTATGCCTCGGATTGCAAGCATCTAGATGAGTCTTTTACAAAGGATGAACCTGACTACCGTATCGGTATGTTTCGAGACTTTCGGTGAAAACATGATGACAACTGGCGAATGGTGTGAGATGAGGGTGTTTTGTGGTGGTGCTCAAGTATGACAAGGCGACGGGCATGCATTTCCGAGACCTCGGAATCCCGGTGCATTTCGACCAATCAACGACTTGTGCTTTCTAATTATGCCCCGTGTCGGGATTTGCAGTGGATGACATAGCCTTGAACGAATTTGGTTAACATTCAGCTACCAGTACCTTTACCTTTCAACTCACACGACAGGCGCACCCCATCTCCCTACGTCGCAGCGCATTTCCATATCCGGCCCTGCGATCATGTCACTACCTCGTACCACTGGAGCGCTTGTGCGCTCAAGTACATCCTTTCTACGATTCGCCGCACCCCCGTTTGCTCCCCGCAGATGCCCGCAATGCTCCCGGTCCTTCGCCTCATCGCTCCCCAGGCGCCAGTCAACCAAGCGCCAAATGCAGACGGCGACCGCATATCACCCTTCGTCATTATATCCAGAGCCGCCACCACGCAATGTTGGCGTACCCGACACTTCAATCGCTGGTGGAGCCACCGAGGCAAAGAACACAACATTACCACAAACACCTCCGCACGACCGCAACGCAGCCTCCCAGGCCGAACAAACCACCGTCAGCATACCTGAAGGCGAAGCACAAAAGCCTCAGCAGGTCGCAAGCCCTAGCAAACCACTTCGGCCACGCCGATACAACTTTGGACCTCGAAAGGCGACAATCAAGCTCTCGCCCTCCGCTGTGGCGCACTTGCGCGAACTCCTCGAATTGCCAGAGCCCAAGCTCATTCGAATAGGCACAAAGGCAAAAGGCTGTTCGGGTCTCGCATATCACCTAGAGTATGTGGACAAGCCAAGCCCGCTGGACGAACAGGTTGAGCAAGATGGCGTGAAGGTGTTGATTGACAACAAGGCGTTGTTGAACATCATTGGTAGTGAGATGGACTGGTTGGAGGACAAGCTCAACGAGCGATTCATTTTCAAGAATCCAAACATCAGTAAGTTTTTTTTGGGCACACCAGGAACAAGCGCTAACAAATCAATAGCTGAGCAATGCGGGTGCGGAGAATCATTTAGTGTATCATGATACCCTTACGAGTCGTTTGTCATACTATAGAAGCATTACGGGCGTTGCATATCTGGCGTTACATACATTCTACAATTCGACGCATTATTACTACGCTATACATTTGAGGCTATTACACCGCAGTTTCACAACTTTCCAGGCTCGTAGTCGAAGACCTTCACACCATTTGCCACTTCGCCGGCAAGTTTTACAAAGTCTTGATGTGCTGGATCCTTGTAGACGTAATAGTCGCGGTCTTCCTCGCTCTCGAATTCTACAACAAATCCGTGGGTGAAGTTACCCTTGTAAGCGTAAGCAACCGAGTTTAAAGTTGAGGCTGGCTTTGAGGGTAGATATACAGAGTGGCCTTCAGGGCTGTTGTTCTTTCCCCCAGAAAATGATTTAATGTAGGGCTTTTGGGAAGTTGGATGGATGCACTTGTCCTTGAGTGCAAGCATCTGTTTGCATGCCTATAGGCTGTTAGATTTATAATCACCAGTGTACATGCTGATGTTTAGTACCTCTGAAATCTGGTCTGAGGAAGCAGTAGGTTTCCACTCAAAGAGAACAACATGAATTATCGTCATTTTGAATTATCAGCGTTCAAAAGTATCTGGGTGTGAGTCAAGATGCATTGATCGCGACATGATATCACAACTGAGAGGGGCACTGTCTCCCGGCGGATGGGGCCTCGGAGGTAAATGACCTCAACGTTGCTAAGCTCCGGGCTGCCGCGTCTCGAGCCACCAACTGCGCAACCGCCGCAGATCTCGCAGCCTCAGCACCAGAGATGCAAAGCATACGATAGCAACGCAAACCATGTCACGACCGCCATGAAATCTTGTAGACTTTATGCACATGAACCATCGCTTTCCTACCACCTCATCTCCGAACCCAAGCGCAACCTTGCACCATCATGGCAGCCAACGCGCCCGTCCTTCCTGAACAGCTCATATACTTGATAATACGCTTTACAGCCTCCGTTCCCGACCTACCCCTCTCTATCCACACGCCCCGTGTCATTGCGACCCTCTCGCTCAAGCAGATCATCCGTCAACACCTCCCACCCGAACATGCCTCGTCGCGATTACGCCTAATCTATGCGGGCAAAGTCCTCGCAGATAATGACCCGCTATCTCGATCGTTACGGCTCCCCCCACCGCCGCCACCTCGCAGCAGCAGAAGCGGGGACGCAACAGCAGGCAACAGCAGTAGTAGTACCGGAGATGGAAGTAAGAGCAAAGGCAAACAGCCGCTGAGAGAAACACCCGCCGTACAATACGGGACAACGGAAATACCTTCAGAGGCGAAAAAGTACTACATACACTGTTCCCTCGGCGATGCGCTCTCCCCCTCCGAGCTCGCCAGCGAAGCCACTCTCGCCCAGAATATAGAAATCAGTCTGAAATCACAGTATGACGCCTCGTCCTCTGAGCTCCGCCGCAAAGGCAGCGGAGCAGACTACAATGCGCGCAGACGCGGGTCTACTGCGACGACGGGGACGGCTGGTGGGACGGACGGCGCTGTACCTCAAGCTCAGGGTTTCGATAGGCTGTTGAGTTCGGGCTTTACGCCTGCGGAGGTAGCGAGTTTACGCTCGCATTTTACGACGAACCTTTCGTTTACGCATACGCCTGATACGATGCCGACGCCGGCTCAGATTCGTGTGCTGGAAGATCGATGGCTTGACTCGTCGGCTAATGATCCTTCGGCTTCGCTGACGGCGCCTGGTGCTACGGGTGGTGAGACGGGATGGGGCGCGGGGTTTGCGGTGGAAGAAGGTGGGCTGGACGATATGTTGTATGGGTATTTGACTGGTTTCTTTTTCCCACTCGGCAGCTTGGTGTGGGGGTTTCGTGAGGAGGGAGTGTGGACGAGACGGAGGCAGGTTGCTGTTGTTATGGGGGTGTTGATAAACGCTGTTTTTGGCTTCATGAGATGGGGTGCATGAGGTTGGTCCCTTGGTAATAGACATAGGCAGACATGGAGTTTACTGGGTAGGGTTTCATATATTGTTACTACCTGGATATCATTGCCTCTCATCGTCGTTCATATATCGTCATCAAATGCTCCGGCGAAAACGCCTCAGTTTGGTCAATTCCCATGCCACATTCCTACTCAACTTTCGCTTCTGTGTTCATCGTTGTGTCTCAAGCACTCACATCATCTACAGCTCAATGGTCTCCTTTGCGGGAGCACCCATGTAGCTCAGAGGTCCCCTCTTCACCATCAAAGTCATGACCTCGTACAAGGTATCCTACATCGAGCACGTCAGCCTACGTCTTCATACATTCCACGCACTCCACTTACCGCAGCAGCCATAGTAGTCAACTCAGCATTAGTATCGTACGCCGGCGCAACCTCAACAATATCCGCGCCAATGAGGTTGATACCCTCCAAACCGCGAATAATCGTGCGCAGCTCACGCGTAGTCCAGCCGCCCGTCTCGGGGGTGCCAGTCGCAGGAGCAACTATTTCTCGTTAACCCTTTACTCCCCTTCACACCCAGCAATACCGAAGAGAAAAGGAATAAAAAAAGGGGAGAAAGAAGGGAAAACATACAAGCAGGATCCAACGTGTCAATATCAATACTCAAATATACGGGCTTCTCCAAGCCCACCCTATCCTTAATCTTCTTGACAATGCCATCAATGCCAATCTTATCAATCTCGCGGGCCTCGACAATTTCAAAGCCGCAGTATCCGTCGTTTTCGTAGTCGGAGGGGCCGGACAGCGTGGTGCGGATGCCGGCGTGGATGTTGGAGTCGTTGGCGAGGAGGCCCTCTTGGGCGGCGTGGAAGAAGTAGGTGCCGTGGTTGATGCTGGCTTGTTCGCTGGGGGAGCCGCCGAAGACTTTGGGACGCCAGGTGTCGCTGGGTGGGGGGTGGGTTTGTTAGTAGGGTTGTGGGATGGGAGGGGGGTTATGGAGTTGGAGGTAGGGTACTACGTACAGATGGCTGTCAAAGTGGATGACGGTTATGGGGCCGTATTCGCGGTGGACGGAGCGGAGGAGGGGGAGGGTGATGGTGTGGTCACCTCCTAGGGTGATCATACGGGGAAGTGTTTTGCCATGCTTCGAGGGGCCGGGCTTGTTGGCGTGGGTGTAGGGTGCGCGGCTCAAGAGGAGGTTGTGGCCTTGCTCGATTTGCTGGAGGGCATAGGCGTTGTCGTATCTAGATATTGACCCGTTAGTAAATTCCCATCCATCTGACCTCCCTTCAATGGGCGATATAGTCAAGAGAATTGCTCTTACGATGTAACGGGAATATCACCACAGTCGATAATCTTGGCCCAGGAGTTGAACGGGTTCGCCTCGAGTGGCACATTGTAGCCGCCACTAAATCCAAGTTTGCGTGAGCCTTTGTGGGAAAAGACAAAAGTAAGCTTGTGGTTGCTCAGAGGAAAACGTACTAGAGATTGAGACGGCGAGAACCTTGCCTGATGCCACTGGGGCCGAAGCGAGCTCCTGGGCGGTACGATGTGCCAGTGTCGAACGGAGCGCCTGCATGTTATGATTAGACAATCACATCTCTATTTGTACAAATATCATCATACCAATGAAGGCAATGTCATATTGCACGTTGCTCGAGAGACACGGGTGGTACTTGAGACGACCGAATGTGGAAATTCCGGAGAAGACGGAGTCGGCCTATATCAACATTAATTCCCACAGCAACATCATTCACAGGAATTGAGTTTCTCACTTGTGTTCCGCCATCACCAGGAAGAGTGTTGTACCAAAGACTCTCATGTGGACCAGCCAATGGCTCTTGGTCGTGGTCGCCGTGCGCTGCTACTGCAGCCGCAAAGCTCAAAAGCGTAGGGGTGAACCTCATCTTGCAAAAGTTCTATCCAACAATGGAGGAGAAAACCACAAGATTTTTGATGAAGGAATCGGGTCTCTAGGAGTGCGGGACTGCAGTAAATAGCCGTCATGAGTCTCGTATCCATCACTATCAGTTATATTCTGACGAAGTCGCGTTAGGTAAACTGATGTTACATGAGTAGATGCTTGATCTATCCCTGTCCATGACGGCGATGTCGTCTGCAAGTATAGCACCTTACTGCCTTCAACAGGTTAGCATATCTTGGTGGCATCGGATCGTTGCTATCCGTCGATGTAACGAAGCGACTGGAGTCACCCTTTGCCCATACTTTGAGACTACAATGCCCTAGGCGTTAGTAGTCTTGATGGAAAGCTATCTGAGGCTCTTTTCAACTTTTTAAAGCAATCAGAGAACACCTTGATGGCTATACAGCGTCTTTTCCATTATCTCTGCATCACTTGAGGCTACTGGGCTATCTCGCATCCAACGTTGTTGATCAATGTGGAGACCACCCCCGCTATGTGCGATGACGGATGCCATGGTCAAGATACCGAGAATCGAACCAGTAGAATCTACCATGAAAAACTCCGTAACGGCTATACTCAATGGTGGAAATCCGTTTGCACCAGTCTTATCTGCAGCGGGACAGAATCGAGTGGTGATGCACACTTATGCATGCAAAGCAACTCCGGTGAGGTCATTACTTGCTTGATGAGCTGCATATTCGACGCAAATCCCTTGCGAACTTTCTGCTTGTTACGCGGATTGGCTCGATAAGAAACGAAAGACCCGAGACGGTCCTACATTTCATGGTATTCATCATCTCCGTAGTCAATTGGGCGCCTAATGAGCGAAGCGGGGTTTATTGTATTCCCTGAATTGCTTACTTGCGTCTAGATGTACAACGCATAGATGTGAACTACCGAGAGGCAGTGCAAGGTGGGGGGTAATGCAGCAGAAAGTGCGGAGGTAATGAGGAGTGAGGTTGAATCGTGGAGACCAGGGTCCAGATACCAATCGCACTAACGTCACTCGCTTAATGTTTTTGGTAATTTTTCGTCAACTCTTGCATTGGCGTCTCCGGGTTGCCTATCAAGCTCCGTACATCGAATGTCTAAGAAGCGTTGCTAATACTCTTCCATCACCATGGCTGTTGCCAGCAGGTTTGACCCCGCAAAGTAGCTATCTATGCACTGGCGTTGCCTCATTGGGAGGAACACCCAGCTCGGCCCTGTCATCCGCATCCATCCTTTCAAAAGCCTTCTTGACCTGGTAATCCCAGTTGCTCCAAGCAACAATCGCCCACTCAGCAAACCCGACAAGGTACAGAGCAATGCATTGCCCGACCCATAAGCCCGCGAGACCCCAGCCGTTGAATGCAAGCCAGATGCCCAGTGGCAAAGCACCGCAATAGTAACTGATAATGTTCACGGTAGCTCCAATGTGCTGCCGACCCATACCTCGGAGTGCCCCACCGCAACTTCCATTCAATCCGTCCGCGATCTGGAACAATGCAACGTACGGCATCACCTTGGCGGTGAGCTTGATCACATCTTGATCATCGTTGAAGATCTTAGCGTAAAAGTCCTTGACACCCATGAGCACAGCCAATACGAGCGCACCAAGTACCATGCTCAGGACAGCGGCAGTGTTTGCAGCCCTGGCGGCACCTTTCGCGTTACGTGCCCCAAGGAGATTACCAACTCGTGACGAGGTAGCAACACCTACCCCAAAAGGAATGGTGTTCATGACTTGGTCCGTAGTCATGATAACGCTTTGCGCGGCGAGTGGTATGGTACCAAGCTTGCCTGCAACGAGTGCGACGATCTCAAACGCCCACCATTCTGTGCCGACATGTATGACCCCAAGGAAGGCTAGGCGTGCAAAGACCCATAGGTTCTGAAGGCATTTTCGGTCCCAACCACCCCAGCATTGCCATCCGTCTATGAAGCGTGCATAGGCAAGCAGCAGGAAGAAGGATGCCCAGTACGCAATACCCGTCGCAAGTGGTGCGCCAAGTAGCCCCATCTTGAAGGTATACACGAACAAGTAGTTGAGGCCGGCACTGAGAGGCGATGTTATGAGAAGGACGTAAGTTCCGGGCCTCATGATTTCTGTATAAGTGAGTATGATAGACCGGTGTATTTTAGATTTATAGAAGACCTACCTTGAGCCTGCATGTATTTCTTCAGCGCCTCAAAATATACATACCCAATACCACCGGGCGCCAGTACAGAGAGAAACTTTGCCGAGTCGCGTGCAATATAATCTTCCTGGCCGAGTGCTTTGAAAAGTGGTTCAGAGCAGAACCAGACTATAGCAATTGGGATGTAGAATAACAATAGCACCAAGAAGGAGCGCTGGAGGATGATTCCAAGGTCATGGCGGTTTTTGCTTCCCGTAAAGCTGGCGGACGCCAAAGTGTCGATTGCTGTTGTTCCACCGAGAGCAACGAGCCAGCCGGTAGCCATTGCGAACATGTATGAGAATGCAGCTGTGGCCAATGCTTCTGGTGATAAGCGTCCAACGATAAGAACGGAGAATGTCTGTAACGAGTTTTGTAATGCGTATGCTACGACCACGGGTACTGATCCTTTGAGGAGTATCCAGAATTCTTGGAGAAGAAGTTGAAGGGATGTTGCGGTTTCATCGTCGAGCTCCGTAGTTTCGCCCGTAGACCACTCCTCATGCTGCGAGTTGGGCAGAAGCGATGTTCTCTCATCTGGCTGGCTATCCTTCTGATCCGACGCTCTGAGAAACCTCGGCATCCATGACCGAGATTCGTTTACTCCGGAATCCATGATTGGAGAAAATGAGTTGAAGCAAAGAAAAGATACCGTTGTGTCGAGCAAGAAGAGTTATCCCAAGGCGACCGGCAATGAGTTATGTATGTAGAAGAAAAACCCCAGTATCTTGGCCTAAATACGCAGCAAGTCACGAAGAGGCGAAAAGAAAGGGCCAACGTTGCTACACATATTACCTTTGACCTTACCTATGTGGATTATGCTCAGACGGAGCAATATGGAGAAAAGAGTAAGAAGAAATCTCTCAAAATAACCTAGATAGCCACTAGACCGGTATAGTTGCGCGAATTTTACCTACAGCAAAGAGGTAATGCAATGTAGCTTGTCACGAATGAAGCTGCCGTACATGCAGGCTCCAGTCTGGACTGACGTCGATTTGCCTCGGGCTTATGGGTAAAGCGGAGAGCGCACAACAGTCGCCTTATCGCCTTGCATGCTCTCGTATTCTTGACTAAGATCCTTCGGTAAGCTTTTATGTAGAAAAAAAAGGCCGGTATGCGGATCCGGACAAGTGCGATATGTGGAGCTGGGGTGGGCAAAAAAGCCGTTGGTACCGATGTCTTGGGTCAATTTGAGAACGTCTGCATCGACCCAAGTTTTTTGTTTCCTGACTATCTATGGCGCGAACAAGGTGTGAAATGTATGTGCTGACAGATTTATTGGGTTTTACTGGAGCGTTGAGGTAGATCGGTGTGGCCTTGAGTACAGGAGGATCCCTGCAGGAAGAGTGTAGCTTAAGGTTTAGCGAGCGTACCGTGCACGTGACGGGCCGTCACGTTTTCCCTATATACGCTTGGACTAAAGAACGTGATTGACAAACTCATGTTGCCCTAATTAGGTGCGGTATGAGCATGGTTTCGTAGATAGTTACATAAATAGCAATCAGCTAGGATCAAAGGGCGGAAGCAGAACGGTATCAAGGGTGCACGATGTGCTGATGAAATCAATTCGACCTAGGTATCCTTGCCTACAGGGAGTGGATGAAAACCGCTGGCATTAACAAGCTTTTTAAACACGCGCATTGCGCAAAGGTTAAATCCTTGTTTGGTCGAATGTCAAGGTGAAACCAAGACACACTCCTGTTTGGTCGAAGCACCGACCATATACGTACCATCAACTTGAGTGCGAGAATATGTGTGTACGAAAAGCCAAGATGTGTTCAACATGTCACGATCGAATTGAAAGCGAGTAGTGGTAGTATAAATGTGATTCAGCCAGAACCTTGACGATTTGCAATTCGTCAAGGCTGGAACTACGTTAAACATTCGTCATTACAGTATACACAAAATGCAGAACCCAGCTGCCTTACCCCTTTTCTGGAATAAGACCCAAGACGCCATAGCGCCAAACACCCATTGAGATAAGAAGAAAAAAAGAACGCAAACGGGGTATAGAACGTTACAAATGACCACAAGGAGACGTTAGACTAATGCTTCTCAGCATATGCCGCAGCCACCAGGATGTCAATGCCGCTAGCCAACGTGCAAGTGTTTCCATCGCTGCTATCTCCCTGCCAGCGACCGGGAATAATGCCACCATCTCCCTTTCGTGCGCTTCGTGCAGCATTGGCGTTGATCATGATGAATTGCTTGACTTCTTTTCGTGGCTTATACTGATATAGTGTCAACAGGCCTCGTCCGAAAGCGCCTTTGAACTGTGATGCGACTGGATCCAGAGCTCCGGATACAGGTTCGGTGAGAATACCGCTGGGGTCGGTAAGGTGTTTTGATACAGCATTAAAGATATCGTATGCACGATCGACGAGGCTGGGATCGGACTTTGCGCGCGAAAGTTCAGAGAGACCGGCTAGGATGACGCCCTGGTTGTAGGTGAAGGTTGTCCCGCCGTTGTTCTTGCAGGTGGTCGGGTCGATTCCATCATTGATCAGTCCATCCGAGTTGATGAGGCCGGAATTGCTGAACCACTCCCATTCTCTTTCAGCCCAGTTGAGGTAATCCAGTCTCTCTTGGCCGCTGCAGCGATTTGCAAGGTGTGCAGCCACGGCGAGGAAAAGTTCGTTCGCAATGGCAGCGATGTAATCGCGGTCCTCTGACCACCATATTCCACCACCACAGGGCGTGTTCCAGCCGCTGGTCATATCTTGGAAAATAGATTTGGCGCTATCCAGATACTTCTTGTCTCCAGTCAGGTCGTAAGAGGCGATCCAAGCCATAGCCCACCATCCCATATCGTCATAGAATTTGTTTGTCCACTGCTTCGCACCGTGTTGCTCGGGTGATTTGGCGTATGTGTTTGCGACAATGTTTGCTGCAACATCTTTGAAGTCTGGATCTTCTATACCAAATTGAGCTATGGCCTCAAGAATGTTGCCTGACTGCCACCAAAAGTCGTCCCTGGGGTTCATTAGGAATTGGAAGTGACGAGGTGGCGCATTGCTTACCAGAGGCCAGTATTGAAATTGTACCATGTCTTCTGCAATGTCTGGATGGAAGCAATAGCATCGTCTGTGAAGTCGGCAAAAGTAAAACTAAAGAAAGCGACAGGGAACAAGAGTACTTGAAGGTACTTCATGGTAGTGAACGAGTGTGGCAATAAGAAGGAACGACTGTAATATAAATGAATGTGGTGGATTCGGCAATTCTTTGTGTAGGGTGCCCTAATTCATAAGTAGTCGACGACGAACGAAGATGAGCCCGTCGGTGTTTGATGTTTCTAAACAAGGTAATGCCAGAAACAGAAGCAACAACAGCCTGTGACTGGTTGGCGAGTATACCAAGTAAACGAATGTGTGAGGTGAGTCCTTGGACCGAAAGTGCAAGCTATGTACATGAGGTATATGTATTTAGGCCAAACCCACTTGCACAGCACCTAGACCACCCATTGTCTTTGTCGCTGCATAGACGTACCCTTGTGCTCGGCACAGCGTGAACTATTGTTAGCAGTTGTGGCACAGCCAACATGGCATGGCGAGTCAATGTATGTGTTTGACGGCGTACGAAGAAAGCCATTGTACAGCGGCAAGTAAGATTAGGGATGTCGGAGCTTGGTCGACATAGACCCTTGTGGTAGGCGATGAAGCGATAGCTGTCTAGGAAAAGTGCGATGTGGGCCCCATGTGAAACACGGGAGATAGCCGCCGAGTGGGATGTTGCGTGGGATAAGTTTTGCTCAAAAATCTGATTGGCTACAAGTTCAAAATTCTACGCGACTAATTAGCACGATAAGGGGCGCCCCGTTGTGGCTCGTGAGGTTGAAAAAGAAGCAACTGCAGATTTTGTCCGCCTCAGACGCGCGGGAGCATGCAGGGCGGTAACCTGTTGCTGGCAAGCACTGCAAGACGAGAATTGGCGTAGTGTGAGGTCTTCATGTGGTGTGCTATATGCTAACAAGGAGCGACATGACCGGTGGATGTTGGTGTTGTTCATCAAAGGCGTCTCGACTGGAGTGCAACAAAGCCAACTCTTGATCATGGTATGTAGATGCGGTTACATGTATGCGCCGCTGCAAATAAAGCGATTTCTACTTTGCCATGTACAGCGAGAAATGAGCAGGGAACGCTTGTGGGATGGGCAACAGCGGTTTGCAGCCTGACAAGCCGGCTGAAGGCATTCCAGGCCGTGTGCTGGTTGAAATGGGTGTCGAGCGTGACGCCACGGGCCAGCGGATTTGGTGCAATACAGGCTATGGGATGAAATAGGGTACCGAGATGAAAAGTGGAATTGTTGCGACACAAGTCAAACTTGATTTCGCAGAGGGGCACGGCGGCGACGAGAGTAGCAGTGATTGCCTGAGGGGGATAAAGGTGGGTCGAGTACCGATGGGGCTTTATGTAGGGGGGTGATCGGTGATTGCAGAGGCAGGTTGTTCAAGGAGCATAGTGATGGTAGCTATGCATGTGCATGTTGATAGGTGTAGGTGTAGTGTATGCATATGGACACACTGTTGGCTGTCCAAGTGGACTGCATGTGATGGGATGACGAAGGTCACGTGATGCGCGACCCGTTCGTGACACTGCAGCTACGTCAGCGGGGCCTTTGCTTTACCCCACCATGCACAGCGGGCAACGGTCTGTGGACCCTTTTCCGCGGTGGACAAAGACTTCCAGTGAATGCATCCTATGAGACTGGGCATAGAGTAGGGTAAAGGCACATGTCCGTCTTGTGACCGGGAGGCCAGAAGCTGCATCTTGACAGGCGCGTGGCCGATGACGCGAATGCCATGGACGGGCGCGAGAATGCCATCAATCCAGCCAAGCAGACGCGCCAATCTACCAATCGAGGCGGCGTGTGGCGCCTGCAAACTGGTCTACATCCCAGTAGAGCTTGCAGGTATGTTGGCCGTCGGTTGTGGCTCGTGGGAAAGAGGAAGGCTCTATCCATCTCACCCACCTTTTCCTCTCCTGCCGTGACTGCTGCTACTGCTGCTACTGCTGCTACTACCGCCCAATTATGAATGACGTACATATGTCGTAGCCAGTCTCGATGCCTGGCAGCTGCCTATAAAGTACCGTCTTTGCAGCCCCTTGCATCAACTCTCATCACACACTCAACTCAGCTACTACTACACCTTTCAAACAACTCTTCCAACAACAACATCACCATGTCTGACTCCATGCGCAAGGGACTCGGCGAGCAGGCCTCCGAGAAGCGTAAGATGCCTCACTCCGACTGTGCCTCGAGTCGAGTATACTGACAGCCTTCCAGTCCAGCCCGACTCCACCAAGTCCAACACTGAGAAGGCATCCGAGACTCTCAGCGGAGCCGGTGACCGCATCGCTGGTGCCGTTCAGCCTGGTATGCATCTGACGCCCCAAGTAGCCCTCGTCTAAACATGTCCACTAACCACCACAACAGAGGGCCAGAAATCTGCTGGACAGAAGCTCGGTGACGCTACCCGCTCCGGCCACGACGACGCCTCCAACAAGAGCGAGGGTGTCATGAAGCAGGCTCAGGACTCTCTGAGCAACGCTGGCCAGGCCATCTCCGACACCCTCTCTGGCGGACAGAAGAAGTAAACTGCTTCTCTCCCACGCCCACGCTCTTCACGACACGACCCTGGGGAATGACGATCGATGATACGTTGCGATAGGTGCAACATGACTGTAGCTTAGAAGCCACACATATTATACCCTAACACCTAATCGAATGAAACACTATCCTGAATACCCCTTTTCTGCTGTGGTGCTTGGATGGCTGCTTGTATGTGGTGTGTTTGCTTCCGGCGACCTTATGAATCGTTTGCTTGCGCATGTTGGTTGTGCATAGTCCTTTCAGGCCCGACAACACGCCTCGTCAAGGGTCATGTGGTTGGCCAATAGAATGGTGAATGGTATGATTCAATCTACAGGTCCTCGTCTTCAACCTCCTCCATCTGCACGTGCCGGAGTGTGTTCTCTGCCGTGCGCGCCTCGTTTGATATTCCCTGCATTTGCCCTTTGGCTTCAGCAGCCATCATCGTATATTCTGCCTCTTGCACCGCTGCTTCGGCCGCCTTCTCGGCCATCTGTCCAGCACTCATAGACTGTAGCTTCATAAACGCCTCAAGCTCTTCATCCACCTCGGGCGCAATGTTTCCACTAGCCTCACCTTCTGATTTGTTCTGCTCCTTCATATACCCCTCGTCCTTTAACTTATCAAACTCGTCAGGCTCTAGCAACCGGCCCTCGCCCTTTGCCAACTTCAACTTCTGCGCCACAGCCGCAGGCATGAACTTTGTGGCTTCTTTGCGCAAGTCACGCACTTGAGGCGCAGCTTCGTACACAATCGTCGGTTTCTTGGCCTCTTGCGGTGCTTCATCGGCCTGCGAGGCGCGCGCTTGGTACTTTCGCGGGATCGGCGGTGGCGTATCGCGAGGCATGGGAATGTGCTTGACATCGTCGTCGGTGTCGCTACTGTCGTCGTCTTTTCGCTGCCCGTTTCGCGTTCGCTTGCCGAGAACACCGCCGCCTCGGCTTTCTCGGTCGCCTCTTCGACTTTGGTCGTCGTTGTCGAATCGTCGCTCTGGCTTGAATACTGGCGCTTTGTCTCCGAGCGCTGCGCGCGCCTTGTTCACTGCTGCAAGGTCCTTCTCTAGTTCCTGCAGTCGCTGCTTCTCATGTGGCCGTATCGATCCATTTTGCTCAAGTTCTTTGAGGCCGTCGATGTCCCGCTGTATGCGATGTGGGTTCCGCCGCGCGAGTTTCTCGTTGCGCTGCGCCTGGAGGTTGGCTTTTTGCTTGCGGAGCTGCTTCTGCTTCTCTGCCTTTTTGGCTTCCTGAACGGGGTTGTAGTTCTTTTCTTTTGCCATTGCGACGGATTGAGCGCGGGATTTGGTGCGGATTGAGAAAAGATGCAGTGCGTGTTGATGTTACCCAGGGAAATGGAGAACATGGGGACTGACGTAAGGTCCGTGCTCCTGAGCCGCGGCGCGTCTTGAGTCGCCTGCCAGAGTATCGCGACCGACTTTTGTCGCAATTATGTTTGCTTGTCTCTTCAGCATCGTACCGGCGTTTCAACATCATGTTTGTTCCGCGAGCGCTTAGGCTCAAGGGCGTTCGTGAGAAGCCGCGACCAAACACTTCCAACCCGTCAGTGAGCAATGCTGAGACCGATCGCGATGAAGCCCTGGTCAAGGCTATGCAAAATACAAGGACAACCTCACTCACTCCTCAACCAGAAGAGCAGGTTGACCAAAAGGCTACCAAGCCTGGTCCTAGGTTCACTGTCAAACCAGTCACCCCTGAGTACATTGCTCAACTTGCTGCTGGTATAGAACTCATCTTTACCGACTATGCGCACCAAGAAGAGGAGCGAGCAAAGTGGCTTCGGGATCGATACCGGACAGTAGATGATGAGGAGAATTGTAGGCATTGCTGGGCTATGGGTCTGTGTATAGCTAACCCAATACCCAGACATCCATCTCACGGCCATCCTTGAGCATCCCAACATCTCCTCGTTGAAACCCGAAGCCTCCCAAGTCTTGCTCCAACAAGCGCTCCGAGATCACCCCTCTAGAATAATTCAAGTGTCAAAAAATGGTTATCATATCCGTCGCAAACCCTCTTCGTATCCACCCAAATATCTGCCCCACAATTCGTTCGAAGTAGTCGATGATGATGGTTTGGCATTCTGGGATCAGCGCACCATCTATGTTGAACCGCACATCCGCAACATGTGTCAAACTCCTGCTAAAGTGGCTCAGTGGCTTACAGAACATGGCCAATTGCGGCCAAAGTGGCTTCCTGTGCAAGCCGTGCATACACTATGGAACAGTTGCGCTTTCGTAGTTCTCAGTGGCAGTGTAATGCACGAAGACGTTTGGCAGAAGTGGAGAGAAGCAGACAAGCCCGAGAACTGGAAGATTATGACCAAGGTCGAGCATACAAAACGCACAGCAGAATATGTCGCGTTGCTTGAGAAGCAGAACCCCAGGGGCATGCGCAAGACCAAAGCCGATGATAGTGAGCTTCCTCCAGTTGCACGGCCAGCAGTACTTCCCCTAGCCGTAAAGACTATCCAGGAGAATGCTGGCAATGATAGTCAACAAGGCAAAAAGAAGCGAAAGAGGCGAAAGCCGAACAAATCCGCTCTCAACACAGGCGATGCCGATGACGATGATGCAGATAATGAGCCAAATACTAAGCGTAGAGGTTGAAGCAATCATCAAAGCACGATTCCGAGCAAATGCGGACAAGTATCGCGCCTCAGAGTGCGCAAGGATCAACATACGTGCTCGAATAGTCTACTCGAGTCATCACAGGGTTATGCCGGACAGCCTCGGTTTAGCGGGCTCTACATAGTTGTACGTAGTATTCGTCTCCAAACCTACTACCCCGCTTTCTCGGCCGCATTAGCATCAAAGGCTTACCCCGAAGCCGCAAGGGCCGCTAGTGCTAGAGTGAATCAAATGAAGCGTGGGGGAGGATATAGTTGGCAAGGGAGAGAGGGAGCAATGCAGGCACCCACCAACCTAATCTTAGTTCCCAAAAAAGCAAATACAAACTTTCAGTAAAGCTGATATATGCTTTTGCACTGCCATAGATATCCCTTCTTATTTTCCTCTCAAGCGTTCTCACGTTTCCAAACCAAACTCGCTACTTGTCCTTCTTCGATAATCAAAAGTGAATTCGAGCAAAAAAGATGACAACGATAGTAGAGAAGACAGAGCATGGCATCATCTATCGAGCTTCAGATGTATATCCGACTCCAGATGTCGATATCCTTACTCTTTTATTCGGTACGTCATCTTACCCCCTTTCTCCCACCCCCCAAAAAGCCCATCATCTACATTTGAAAAAAGAAACTCCCCTTGGAGATACATACACGTATGCCAGCAAGTACTAAAACATAATGCTCATGTAGATTCGGGCATTGGGCTGGCGAAACCGGATTCGCCCATTCACATTTCAGCCGCAGATCCAAGCTTGGTGCTGACGACAGCGCGGGCGCGCGTCTTGACGGAAGCGACGTCTGCGGCGCTACGCAAGCATTTTGGCATTGGTGCAGGAGGTCCAGGAAAAGATGTGTGTTCGGTGATTTCAACGGGACATTATTTGCTTCCTGCGCTCGCGTACGGCGTTATTGGCGCGGAAGGCGTGTTCTCTGCTGCATCTACGGCTAGCACAGCTGGCGAGCTGTGCAAGCAGATTCAAGGTGCTAAGTCTAGAATTCTTGTTGCGGTTGAGGGGACGAGGGATGTTGCGATTGGGGCCGCTGAGGCGGCGGGATGGGGGAGAAATGGGGGTGGGAGAGTGCTTGTTATGAGTGAGTGGAGAGAGTGGAGTTTGAGGATTGTACAGGAAAATGGAGCGTTGGGAGAAAATTTGATTGATGAGGGGGATAGGTTGGCTTGGAGGAGGATTACCGATCCGCGGGAGCTGGAGGATGGTCTTGTTGTGCTGATTTATAGCTCTGGGACTACGGGTTTGCCAAAGGGTAAGAGACAAGAAGACTCCAAGAGGTTCATACGCGTGCTGATCCCGGTGTTAGGTGTCAAGATCTCTCATCGCAACTTGGTAGCCGAGACTGTAATCCCAGGTAACCTGGTCAAGTCATGGATATCAGCGAAGCGACCGGACTTTGAATATAGAACAATCGCTCATTTACCCATTGCACACATCGCTGGCATCCAGGGTTACCTCTTCAACGGATTCTACCTGGGCGGCCCTGTTTACTGGATGCCAAAGTTCGACTTTGCTCAGTTCCTCGAATACAACAGGAAATACCGCATCACCTTCTTCTTCACCGTGCCGCCTATCTTCCTACTCATTGCAAAGTCGGACCAGGTAACAGACCAGTTCCAGACTCTGGAGCTCGTAGTCAGCGGTGCTGCACCACTGGGCAAGGACTTGCAGTATGCAGCGAGCCAAAAGCTAGGTGGACCAGATTGCTTCATCGATCAGACATGGGGGCTATCCGAAACGACAGGAAGTGCTTCAATCATGCCAGCGGGTATGCATGACGACACTGGGTCCGTAGGCCCTCTGTTGCCGAATGTGGTTGCCCGTCTTGTTGATGATGACGGCCGAGATGTCGAGCCGGGAAAGCCAGGAGAGATTCTGATCAAAGGGCCTGTGGTGTGCAAAGGATATCACCAGAACGATGCTGCTAACAAGGAATCCTTTGCGGATGATTGGTTTCACACTGGCGACATTGCAGAGTTCCGCAACGGACTGTTTTACATTGTCGACCGTAAGAAGGAGTTGATCAAGTACAAGGGCATACAGGTTGCTCCTGCAGAGCTAGAGGCCATATTAGTGACTCACCCAGATACTCTGGATGCGGCAGTTATTGGGGTCGAGGCTGATGACGGGGTCAATGAGGTTCCTAGAGCGTATGTTGTCGCTGCTAAGGGCAAGAAGATGAGTGCGCGCGATATTGCAGAGTTTGTGAAGAGCAAGGTGGCTGGGTACAAGCAGTTGAAGGGTGGCGTGGTGTTTCTGGATGTGATCCCTAAGAGTCCCAGTGGAAAGATTCTCAGGAAAGATTTGAGGCTTTTGGCGAAGCGTGAGAAGAGTGCAAAGTTGTGAGCTGTAGACCCCAAGAAATAGATGTACGAAGGAATGCCTTCATCTGTAGAGTTGATACATGTGGAACAAATCGCACTGTTCCTGATTTAGAAGTCATGGCAATCGCAATATTGACATTTACCCCGCAGAAAAAAACACTGAAGAAGAGAGACACTTTGCGCGCCAACAAAAACATGTGTCTTGCCTGGTTTCCGGAATATGCTCCGATACGGTTTACCCTCAGTGTACACGTGTCTTGTTAGGGATATATCTCGGGGCGGGCCTCGACAGGCCTGGCGTAGACTTCCAGTCGTCTTACGAGCATACGCACGTGTTTTCTTTTTCGGGACCAGCCGCACAGCCTCGGTTTATGACATCATCACGAACAGTCACAAACTAATTCTTGGGGGTTCCCCTGGCACTGGCTCCAACTTCCTGTCCACATCCATCAGAACCATGTCACGCAAAGCGGTAATTTTTGTCAAGACTCTATTACGGAGACGTGTCTAATTTTCCTTGCAGAAGCAACACGAGCAGATCCACGAAGTTCTTGCTTCCGTAGAAAATGGCACCCAGCGGATTGACGAAATAGCAAAAATTAGAGGGTGGTTTCGTCCAAAAGATGGAAGTGGGGCGTATTCAGCCGTGCAAGACTATCTCAACGAGAGAATCGACTTGAGCGAGACGGCGTCGCTCTTGTTCGGGCCTATTGACGAGAAAATCAACTCTTCCCATCTCGACGATGTAGACTTCATGGACCTTTGGTATAGTATCATTCACTCAGCACGACGCTTGTCATGCCGCGAAAACACAGAGTCCCACAACCACGACAAACTAGTCGACTTGATCAAGGCATTCAAGGAGCACTCTATACCAAACAACGAAATCTACAACTACCTCTACAGCGAAATGACCGACTTTGGAATGGCTTGCCGTGAAGCCTACAACGACGCTCCAGTCGCTCACCACGGCTTCTTCGACCAAGAGGTGGAAGCATGGGCAAACATGAACTTCTTCTATGCTCGTGTAACGCAAAAGGGGCTGCAGGATCTCTGGATATATGCCATCTTCTCGATGCGAACCGCACTTGAAACACCCCTCTTTGACGAACCTTCTGCGACAGCCAATCAGCAATACGACGCGTACGTCCCCGCTGCCGCCGCTTGGATCTTCGGAAATGGACGTCAGCTCTTCCGCTTAGAAAAGGACCTCACACCTGCCGATCCCAAGCAGGGTAACCCCGCACGAGGCGGGGAACTGTGGAAAGGTAAGGCCGAGTTCAGCAAAGATCGATGGGCGCTGTGGAAGGAGAGATTTGCTGCGGTTGGGAAGATGGACGGCGTGACGGAAAAGACTAGGATTGCCGCAAGAGATGCGGTCGAGAGCATGGAAAGGAGCGAGACCTACGAGCCTATGCCGCGGTAGTACATGGCTTTGTTCGGCTGTCATGATATATTTTTTTTCGGCAGATTCATATGTATGCACATTGGACGGAAGGGCCTATCAAGAACTGTGATGTTACTTGCGGAAAGATGTATCCGCGTGCACGATCGTTATGGTGGTGGTATTAGAGAGGTGAAAATAGTGACATGCTTGAGTCTGGATGAATATAAAAAAGCGCCACAGTCACTACTTTTAGCCAACTCTTCCCTTGTTGGGCGACATCGCATACCTTCACCCGACACTCTTCACCGTCTCCACCACATTATGTTCACGATATCCCCCATCATCTGAAATAGATGGCGGGCCTGGTAGTGGTCTAGGACCACTCTTGCAACAAAGCACTTGCAACTACTTGAATCAGTTAGGCCAGCAACGGTCCCATTGTCGCAGCCACGGCTCAAGTTCGGATCGGGGGGCGACAGATCCCATCGCACACTAAGTAGCGCCGGCCCGAGCGCCACTGGCAACCAAACCTCAACAAGCCTAACGGGACGGAGCGGTCGCCCATTTCGAGCTCCTTGCCACGCGGTGCCGCCCTGCAATCTAGTTTTTTCCTCTTTGCTGGCACAGATTGATGGCGCCTCCAAGACGGGAGCCAGACCCTTGGTAACAAAGAAAGAAGCGTTTACCGGCCCTGCCTAGCTGCGGAAGGAAAATTTCGAAAGTGTGAAATGTTGAGCTTTCCTACGCCAGGTGGCCTGAATTGTCATTAATGTGGGACCGCAAAGCCTCGTAGGTATTGAGGCGTGTTTGAGTAGTCGGTGACTTGGAGAACGCCCACAAGGCAGAAGGATACCTCCATACACCTAGCCCAAGGCTGAGTCGCTGATGATGCAGGTCTGGCGAATCCGGCAAATGTCCCTCCTGGCGAAAAGATTGTGAGTGGCCACCGCTAGGTACAAGGGTCAGCGGGCTATGGAGTTAGTCGGGGTGGGTGCCAGTTAGCTAGACGAACGGGAGAACATTAGGGGGTTTGACCAGGTGCGGACGTTAGGACTTGGTCGAGACAAGACTTTTTAGCACTCGGTATGGCCAGGCCCTCCGCATGTCCCATGGTATAAAGTAAACGGAGACTGCAGTCTGCATGGCAAGAGAAAAGCGATCATCTGGAACTACGATTGATCATCGAAAGCATATCTGCACGCCACTTTCTTCTTTAGGGAAACCCCAGTTTACATACTACAAACCTACTCATCCCCAGAAACTTAAATTCTCTTTGATCGACAAACGATTCTCCTTCTTGTACCCTCTATATTTCCAATCCACACACTACCAACCATGCATTTCCTCTCCACCATCGCCAGCATTGCCTCTCTATCGGCCCTTGCATCCGCACAACCAGGTCCCGGCCCAGCACCAGGCCCAGCACCACCTCTCGCCCAGATGAACAACACAAACGGCATTGGCAGCACGCCTGCCCAGCGCTTCGTCATCTCGGCCGACCAAGCCCAGACCGTCATCAAAGCCGCCGTCGCAAACGCCACCGCGCTCCAAATCCCAGAGAACATTGCCATTGTCGACCCAGCCGGCATGCTCGTCGCCTTCCACCGCATGGACAACGCATACCTCGGCTCTATCGACATCAGCCAGAAGAAGGCTCGCACTGCCGTTCTCTTCAACGGCCTCACCAGCGGAGACCTCTACGCTGCCGTTCAGCCCGGCGCCCCGCTTTACAGCGCCGAGAACAGCAACGGAGGTCTTATTGTCTTTGGTGGCGGTCTTCCCATTTACCTCAACGGAAGGTTGATTGGCGGTGTCGGTGTTAGCGGTGGAAGCGTAGAGCAGGATCTCAGTGCTGCGTTTGCGGGTGTTGAGGGTCTTGGTGCTTCATCCAAGGCTTAAAAAAAGTGGTGGAATTGGTGATGAAAGCGCTTCTTTTTTTCTTTCTCTTCTTCTTGTATCCTTTTGGTGAAGGTGCTTTTGGGGGAGATATATATATCCTGGGGTTAGTTTGGAAGTTAAAAACTTTTGGTAAGGTCGAAAGATGGATTTTTTGGGAACATGATTTTTGTTGTGATATACTAGAATAGAAGGGCCGAAAATGGTCTGGTTGTAATTGGTAATACTGAGGATCGATTCACTCGGTTGAGCATAAGCGATGTCCATTTGTGGATTAATTTTATGATACTTTACTTGCTGTGTACTCTTGAGGAATGGACTTGATTCGTATGCTGCAATCAGGCCTTCTGATCTCTTATTTATCACATCGAGAAGCTAATTTAGGCTCTTTGGGATGCCTTCTCATTCCTGACATGTGAAAGCTTAGGCAAGATTGGCTTTGAAGCCCTTGAAGCCCCAAACAGGTTGGTGAAGAAAGGGAAAGAAGGCTCGTCAGTATAGTCAACACGATGATGTTGCTACCATGACGCCGTATCTCGGGAGAGGCTGACAGCAAGCTAGCGATTCATGTTCTTGACACATGACATGTAGTGTGCGGCTGTGGCGGGAAGCAACTCGTAGGAGATCTGGATACCGATATTATGATAAGCAGGATAGCGGAATCACGAAACCTGACTAGGGTTTCTTGTGTTTGCAACGCCGTGCTGTATCTTCTTTAGGATATAGCATGGCACTTTTGGCGTAGCGGTGACGCGCACATGTTTATAGGCCCTACTAAGTAGACTCAGTTAATTTACGATCGCGGGAATGCTATCCATACTTTGGGGCCAGTTAAATGCTTGATATGAAAGTGATGCTGTAACGTTCAAGCCCGAGGACCCCGGCCGAAGGCGATCGAGGCTCGCTTATTCTAGTGTACCATTCGCCTCACATTCTCTCGTCTCTAGCACTAGGCCTGGACAAAAATAGGTAAATTGTACCAGAGCCAAAAGTACGTATAGTGATGTCATGAGCTCCCGGCTATGTATACTCAAGGACGTTAGTTCGACTGGTCATCTGCGCAGAGCAGAAGCTATACTGATGCAGGCGATTCGGATGTAAATCTTAATTGCTGCTTGAGATTGGCTCCCAGTCCTCAGTTGGGATTGCGATAGCAGAATAAAATGAATCTGGTCAACATGTTGTTTGCTCAAAAAGTAAAGGAGATCACTATTGCAGTTGCATGACTCACCAGCAGTCAGGTCGGCATGGAAGTTTCCCTACGTCACAACAGCAACCAGCGAGCTTTCTTGGCAGCCCTACCCCACTAACCTCTACGGAGTTTTCGCCAACTTGAAAGGATTGGTTCGACCTCCCAAAGCCTACACGAAACGCGAGTATGCCAGAGCAGCTGTTGTATCGCTCAATCACTTCACGGATAGGGCTGGCATTAGCGGTGAGGGTCGAGACCTCACCATTCGTTTTGTGTATTTCATATTCACCGCTTCCAATCCAGGGTTGCCCAGTCAAAACATCTTATCCAACCATGCTACTTCGGTCCTCTGACCATTCCCGTGATCGTTTCTTACCAGTACCGCAAGTTGCAAGTCCAATATTCCAGCGAACAACGCACTCACAATCATGAAACAACCAAAAAAGAAAGCGCGTCGTCGGGACGAGTGGAAAAATGCAGTCATCAGTAAAGTAGGTCTGATGACCAGGCGGTTGCCAATCAAAAATGCTACAAAGGCTGCGAAGACAGCTGTTACTGCTGCAGGTGTGGTACTAGCCGGACCAATCGTGTCGTTTCTCCCACTTGGCCCCTTCACCGCCATCCTATCGTTACTAGCCACGTCCATTGCGAGCAGTCACTTGAAACACAGGATCATTGGTGGCGTCATTGCTTTTTTGTATGCAGGTGGGCTCCATGGGTTTGAAGGACAATTGCTGGCGCTGTTGAGCTACTTTAGCTTTACTTCTGCCTTCGGTAAGTCTATTTGTACCAGCAGCATCTTACTCGCATCCTGACAGGAGAGTAGATAAGCTTTCTGGAACACTTGATGCCATGTACAAGGAGTCTGCCTTCACAATTGGATTTTCTCGACCGGAATCAACACAGTTATTTCTTTTTGTTCTCTCCGAGCTCCTCGAGCTTCCTTGGGCGATACCGGTTGTCGTCCGCGCAGTTTGCAACAATGTGTCGCAACTGGCTTCTCAATCATATGCCACAATTTCGAGCACAAAACCGTCATTCGATACATCGAAACCACCCTTGAGGTTGCTCATTCAGACACTGAGCAACCTGTACACCATGGATAAATTTGCGGATGACGATGTGGAGAGCCTGAACTCGAGCCAAGATATCCAAAACAGCATACCTTCAAGCATCACCCCAAGTCTTTCGCCAGAAATCCCGAGCTATGAATGTTCGCCAGAGGAGTGGTCAGAGGAGCGAGAGGTGGACGAAGATACATATGATGATGAACCTTGGAAAGGCGGGTCCTTAAATGATGAAGAAAGGCGTACTCAAGCACTATTCAATGAGCTGAATCATCTGATCGATGAATGCGACGGGCTGAATAGTGCGCAGTGGAATGAAGTCATTGAGTTGTTGAATGGAAACGAGGGCTTCAACGTTGACCGAGGAGAGTGTATGGTCTCAGCGCATTTTGAGGATTGGGCACAGCGGGATGCAGAGATAGAGTTGTCAGTTTTATACCCCACCATTTGATTGAATATTTTGAAGTAAATGCAAAAATCTACATCTTCCACAATGTAAATGAAATAATTACTACCTGTGTTGCGGCTGCACATGTGATGATGGTATTGTGGACCAGCCACAGTGGCGGTGCGCCAAGGTTTTAACCGCTTCCGGACTAGACAGCTCGCTCGCCCACAGGTCCCAACTCCAATATTGCACACAATTCGCGACCGACGACAACCCCACGACTAACACACAGGTATCACGCCAACACCGCCAACATGCGTACCTACGACGATTCCTTCAGCGGTCAAAAGATCTACCCGGGCAAGGTGCGTTACAATGCCGCTCCCGTGTCCCGCCGTCCGCCGCCGCCAGAGGTCGACATTCCGCCATCGCGCCGCAACAAAGCGAACATCTGGCGGAGGGGGATGATGGGGATACCATAATGGGTCGGGCATTGGCTGATGGCATATACAGGGCAAGCTTTACATCCGTGGTGACAGCAAGATCTTCCGCTTCCAGAACGGCAAGAGCGAGTCCCTTTTCCTCCAGCGCAAGAACCCTCGCAAGATTCACTGGACCACTCTCTACCGAAGGGCGCACAAGAAGGGTATCTCTGAGGTTAGTCGCCGCCCATTTTCATATGCATATTCAATCTTGGGACGTGTATCCTGGAAGGCAGTGAAGGATGACATCAGTTTAAACTGGCGGAAGATGTACAGGGGATAGGGAGCATCACTGGTGTTTGATGTTGTCGTGTTGTCGTTGTCCCCCCTGGAGTCTATACAACATCACCATACAATTACGAACTATGCTAACCACCATCACCACAATAGGAAGTCGCCAAGAAGCGCACCCGCCGCACAGTCAAGCACCAGCGTGCCATCGTCGGTGCCTCTCTCGATGTGATCAAGGAGCGCCGCAGCCAACGTCCCGAGGCCCGTGCCGCTGCTCGCAGCGCCGCCGTCAAGGAGGGCAAGGAGAAGAAGGCCGCCGCCGAGTCAGCAAAGAAGGCTGAGAAGGCCAAGAACGCCGCTGCGTCCGCACGAGGCAACGCCGCCAAGGTCAGCAAGCAGGGTGCCAAGGGTGCCGCACCAAAGGTGCAGGCAAGGACTCGTTAAGCTAAAGCGGGGAAATTGGTACGGCGTGCATAGTCTGGGTTATGGCTGGTTTTTCGGAATGACTCGGTGTTTCCCTTTACTCTCTGAATCTCTGTTTCCGATAAACCTGCGGAAAAATGGAATGAATGGAAATGGCACTCTTCATGGCTGACCCTGTTTTTTTGCTTCTGGAATCGGTGTCTACTACTACCAGACACTGTCCCATTCATATACTGAAGCGTCTGGGCGCCGTAGGGCAAAATACAAATACCATGTCCTTACGAAAAATACGAATGCTGCCAACACGACTCGTGAGTATGCCCCAAGGGAGGGGGAACGCAGATGGTTGTTGTATATTCCATCAAAGCTTCCATGCACCACTGGCATCCACCAGGGGGTGATACCTAAATGCCAATCGAATTGTACAATCACTTCACTTCTTACTTGATCCACTGTTCACATCTCGTCAATGTCTCATTATCATTAAAGTTCAATATAGCTATTTCGTAACATCGTCGAAAAAAAAGAAGAAAGAATCAAGAATCAAAACGATTGGTAGCTAACGCAGTACAAAAAGACATTACTGTATTAAGTGCCCGCTACTATACCGGGTGTTGCGTATGAACAACGCGCTTGGTGGGAAACAAAAATCGAGTAGACATGGAGAAACCAAGTCTACCTACTGATGCCACACAATCGTAACAAAGGCATTCAGACACATCGCGATTTCGTGCAACTTTTGGTCGGATATCGTGTGCAAGCATGCAACATGGTCCGTCGATATCCAGTACAGCACAAAATCTGCGTATACAAGTCATAACACACTGCTGTAAGATACCAAAGGTATGAGCAATGTCAACGCACAGCTCCCGAGGCCCGTGGGCAAGACGTATGCCATCTGGTATCCAAACAGCCTGCATCATCCCATGCCTCCATCTTGGCATCCTAATCCAAGACCTCCATCATCGTGGCTTTCTTTTGTTCGTCTTCGACTAGCATGGAGCGAGCACGAAAGATGTCCTCGATAATATCGACGACTTTGCGGAAGCTGGATGCTGCTCCGCGCGTCTGGATGAAGCGCGCAAGGCAGAGATTGGCGCGGCGCCCGTGTTCGAGTACGACGAAGAGTTCAATGACAAAGGAAACCGGCTTGATCTTCAAGTCTATGTATATTTGTTAGCTTCAGGCCTCGTATAGCAATGAGAAAATGAAAAGTGGCGTTACGTTGCAGTGTCTGCTTCACCCTCAAAACTTCAATGTCAAACCGCCGGTTTTGAAGACGCCACCCACAGAATACAAAACATGCTTGCGATGACGGGCTGCACTTACGATTATTTCTATCAACGCGCGCACTGATGGAATTGGACTTGCGATCCAACGCCACGTCCTGAATGCCAAAGCGCTGCCAGTCGCGCAGCAGACGAACCAAGTCCTGTCGAACCTTGCCACGACCGACTTGCAGGCACAAGGTTTTGCTAGCAGGTTTGATATGCAGGAAGCGCGATAGCCAGTTCATCTGCATCTCAGGAGGGGCGATACGGACTACATCCTTATTGCGGTCGGGCCCCAGATCGAAGTTCGACGAGATAGAAGAGGAGCTAAAGTTGATTTCTGAAGCAATGTCAGTAGGTATGAGGACCTCAATACCCTTTATTCACTTACCTCCTAGCTCCATCGGGTAATTTCCTTTGCTATTCTTAAACTTCTTTCCGAACAATGCAAGGAAACCTTTGCGAGCTGTGCCATCGCCCTTTGAAGGTTTAGAGTTGTCATGGCGTATAGGAAACTCGCTCCCATTGCTTCCATCCGATTGCTTCTGATTATGCTTTGGATGACCCCCATTCGCTAATGGCACAGGGCTCTTTTTGGTGCGATCATCAAGGCCGTGCCATGCCTCAGGGACCTGGAGTAGCCCATTTGGTTGCTTCGTGACTTGGTTTTCCTCGTCATCATGATCCTTGTTCTTTTCATCGTTGTTTCGCCGAAACCATGACTTCTTTTTCCGGATCACAGGATGTTGCTTTGCAGGCACAGAGATATCTTTGTTGAGTCTTGCTGCAGGCAGATCATGCTGCACGTCTTGGTATAGACGAACTGTAGAGTTGCTATTCAGCACAGACAGTGGCTCAACAGTCACCTCCTTTGTAGCTTTCTTTGAATCAAGGCTTGCCCCACTTTTCTTACGGATGTTTAGAGGCGCCACACGATTAGGCGATCCGTTAACAATGCGAATCGTCTGCTGCTGGTCTGGTGCAACACGGTAACCCTGAGATCTAACAGGATCAGTGAAAACCCGGTGATGAACAACAGGATTCCCTAGCCCACCTCCACTGTCAATCTTCGCCTCTTCTGGGATCACATGTAGTGGTCCATGTTCAGGAGACTTCGTGGGAGCCGAAGCAATACGCTTGCCTCCAATCGCTGTAGGCATCATCAGGCGATCGAGATTCTCAAGGAGGTTGTGGTAACGTTCAGTAGTCTCATCCTCCATAATCCTTTGGGCGATTTCCGCACGGGTCTCTGCGAGCTTTCGCTGAACGAAGGTGTTTGGTGTTTCAGCTGGTGTAGGTGGAAGAGGTCGCTCTCGGGACAACCATTTAGCAGCTGGGGGAGTGGCGAGTATGCTGCCGCCCAGATTCTGCGTGTTTGGTAAAGATGTCAGAGGGCTGTCATAATTTGAAGCATCGTTATACGTATATGCGCCTGAGTAGACACTTGAACCGACGGATGATCGATTGAAAGCCTCTTCCATGACCTTGCCCAGCTCCATACTGACCTTCCGAACCTCACCCTGAATGTATTTGGTTGGGCTTTCCCGCTTATACACCTTGAGACGTGGAGTATCTGTACCAGCAAAAGCCTTTGATCTGGGGTTCGAACGGATAGTGCTAGTCCTCATGGCTGATCCATAAGATCCAATAGAGGTGTGAGGTCTATGAGCCATGTAACCGGTACAAGATCCAATCTCAGTCTGCCAACTACTACCAGTAGCAGCCGACAACCGACGATCGCGCAGATGCGAGAAGCTCACACCGCGCTTGCCTATACCGCTAGGGCGAGAAACAACAGGCGGACTGCTGGGCCATTGGGAGCTCATGAGTGATGACCGTGACATCGAATGCCTCTGGACAGAAAAGGCGCGGTAAGACAGGCTACTTCGGCTCGAAGAACTGCGCGATGTCGCATGACTACGTTTAGATCTATTTCGCAGAGCCTGAATGCGTAATGAGCTGCCGTTCCGGTGTCCCAGAGCTGTAGTGGGACGTGGCTTTTCACTGCGGCTGCCGCCACGTCCGCGATGTACAGTAACATGCTGGCTGAGAGGAATATCTTCTGGACCGGGTATTATAGGCTGTCTCGAGGCTCGGTAAGGATCGTAGCTCGCTTCGGAGGCTGGAGTCTCATAGAGGCTATGCTTTGAGTAAAGATGCTCGTTATTGAGAATCGAGTAGGCGGACTGGGAGCGCTTGTTACGCTTCAATGGAAGCTCTGCAATATCCAAGGGTGTAGATGCATGACGTATATTATGGTGATGGTCGCTGTTTGAATGAGTAACAGCATACTCCGAGCTTGGCTGATAATTTTCTAATTGGTCGGCATGGTACTTGCAAAGAGCAGCGTAAAAGAACTTTTCCTGGTTTGGTCTGAGATTCTTATCAGTGAAAGGGTAACACAACAATATGACAGAGATTACTTACTCTGAACTGATCAACTTTTGAATCAGGTTCTCTTCCTTCTCGCTATGCCACAGCGTACGCAGATATCTCAGAATGTCGCGATTAATAGTGGCCCGGTCTAGTGCCGTCCACTCAGCTATGACAGGAGAAGGGCCAGTCCAATGATCGAGGTGAGCATTATCTCCCAAAAAGTTCAGCTCTTGTTTGTACTTGCGCAGGAAAGGATGATTCCAGATTTCTTCAAGTGATATGCGGCGCTTGGGGTCGGGCACCAAGATCTTCCTGATGAGATCCTGAGCTTCTTTAGAGATATTGTCAGGCATGACATACTTGGCCTGTGCGATATCGCGAAATAGATGCTTCATGTCGCGGTCATCACCTGAGTAATTGAAGGGGGGTGCACCGGTAAGCAGAACAAATAGGATGACACCACAGCTCCAGACATCTGCCTTTGCGCCATCGTAGGATGTAGTCCTGATGACTTCTGGGGCGGCATAATGCGGGCTGCCACAAGGTGTGGTGAGTTTCTTTCCAACCGGTTGTAAGGCAGCCATGCCGAAGTCAACCAGCTTGACTGTCATAGTGTCTCTGTCCAACAAAATATTCTCAGGCTTGAGATCGCGGTGATGAATGTTGATTCGATGGCAGTAGGTCAAAGCTGCGATGATCTGGCGGAAAACATGGACAGCATGTATTTCGATCAAACCGCCCTGTTCTTGAATGTAGGCGAAAAGCTCGCCGCCTTCTACAAACTCCATGATGAGATAGCTGATACTTGTCAGAAAATGGTCTCAAATTGAGTAATCAATGAAACTTACAGCTCATCACGATTCTCCCAGATATCAAACAGGCGGACAATGTTTGGGTGATCCAACAACTTCATGATACAAATCTCACGTTCCAACCCAAACGGGATCACCTTGCCGTCATGGCATAGAGTTGGGTCCTTCTCGGCACTCTGGATAAGATTGGCCAAACTTAACGCCCGGACTTTCTCTGCTGTAGCCTTGGAGATGATTTTTGCAGCACCGTATTGACCAGTTCCAGAGTGCCTGACAAGCCGTACGCGTGAGCAGCCGCCTCGACCGATAGTTCTACCCAGCTGCCACGGGCCTATGTGTGTCTTGAGACGGCGGTTTGAGCTGGAAGCATTAGTGCTTGTGTTGGAAATTTCCGAATCACGCTTGGGGTTTGGAGGACGGCCTTCGCGGGCTTGAACGGCTGAGAGACGCTTGTTTTCTGGAGAACCCAGCTCGTTGCGAACTGCAAGTGAAGCATTTGCGACTACCGAATCTTTTTGAGGGATCTGCTGGGGTGCAGAGACTGGTTTGTCTCTATCGACCTGCTTTTCATCGCGTTGCTGGCTATATAGACCCTCGTTAACGCAGTTTGTGACGTCTCCGAGGACGCGGCGGCGAGACGGTGGACGGCCATGGAATGCGGAGTCCATGTTCTTGGGCTAGTGAATGCAGTTGTCAAGGCGCTGCCCTCGAGTAGTGCTGCAGTAACGATTCTACCAGACGAGTAGTCTGCTAATTAGGCTTTCTAAGATGTGTACAAAGAGCGTGTGGTATGAGTGCAAACGCCAAAGAAACCAATAGTCAGTGTTGTGGTAAACAAATTGGCTGTGCTTGGTGGGGCTAGGCAAGTGCCATGAGCGGGATGCTCTTGTGTTTGTTTACTGTTGTCAGTGACACTGAACGCGTTGGGCAGTCGAGAGCCAGCAAGGTGGTACACTGGTGAGTAAGGGAGGAGTGGGTAGGTCTGCACTGCCAATTGAGACTGCAACTTCTCCCAAACAAAAAAGCTAACAAGTAGTTGGATGCATACGGTGAGGCGGTTATACAAGGGTTGGTGTGGAAGTATCACGAGTGGTAGGAGGGGGAATTGGTGCACAGACGGACCCTGATGGAAGCGCGACCGAATGCAAACGCTGTCGCGGCAGGGCTCGCGTCGAGACGAGTCGTAGGCAGTTGCAACCGTCATAGGCAAGAGCGCGTGGTAGATGCATAATAGTGTATTCAAGAAGCAGTGGATATGGCACAAATCTGGAGCGATGGATAGCAAGCATTGCTCGTAGTCCAAAAATAAAACGGGGAGAATAGTTTACTTGGTTGGAAAAATTGGAATGTTTTCGTTGTAAAATCACAATATTAAGGATGAGAGCATTTACCTTTCACCTTGCCTACCATGGGTGCATAAGACTGTGCCGTGTAGGCTAAGAAAGCGAGCTGTAGCTTCTACACCAACCCTTGCGATAGCAGTAGTCTTACATGCATGTCTAACAATCGCAGAACTTTAAAAAAAATCTATTTCTGTACGAAAAACATACACCAAAAGCATAATGGCACGTGGTTGCGCGTATTGCTGACATGACATGAAGTCAAGTCAAAAATGGATCTGGAGCTCGACCCGCAGATCGCTCCCTCCCCCAACTTAATGCGCGGGACATGCCGTCGCGATCTCCATTCCTTGCCCGGGTTCATGGGTGCGCTGTACAACCGGGCCGGTCCTGGGCACAAGCAAACAGGTAAGAGAAGGTTTGATTAACATGCGGAGTCGACTTTATTAGGGAAATATTGCATGTAGTGATATACCCCAGCCCCACTCACCTGCTACAGCTCCACGCTTACTCTAGCCCTCTGCCATGCCTATCGTAAACGTGAGCACATACGCACGGTGCAAGGTAATCCACTGCATACATGGACATAATCAACATGGAGATGGCTGTATATCGAAAAATTATGCATTTGGAAATTCATCTGTTGCTTGCGCCGCTGATACACATGCATATATGCACTGTAGAAGAAACATGACAGGATGATGTTGCTTGCGATGCGAACAAAAAAGCAGTGGGGCGTATATTCCTATCCCTTTTTTTTTGCAAAACATTACAGCCCAATATGGGAGATGTGAACCTTCCTCAGACGCGCGTCCCACTCCGTCAGGAAACCTTCCTCATTCGTACAAAGCCCAAAACAGAACAAAACACGCAGCGACTGGCTATGGAAAACGCAAATCGAGCAGACACAAACACATACTTCCCCCGCTGCATACATGGTATACCTGATAGATACAGAGTCTGATCCGACCCAAGACCGAGAAACATCCAAAATGACCAAGAGGTATACGCGCTCCAGACAAAGACAGAGATGGAAGGAAAAAGTGAAACCAAGTAGACGTAACATAAACAAGGAAGAAGAACGCGCATAAGAGAAAAAGACATGTAAAACTCCCATACATGTCTCAAGGGTGTAAATCTCCCGTAAAAAAATAACATGAATACCATGACAAGTCGTGACCAGAATGCTTTGCTCAGCCGTAGTAACCGTGCTCCCTACAAGAGGTATGCACCGAAACCTTGGAGGAGAATTCCGTATAAGAGGGTGTAGATAATACAATAGAAGTGAAGTAAAGGGGCCGAAAGGGGCTTCTGGGAAGAAGCTGTGAACCGCGAGACGGATTATGAGTGGGATTTCAGATCTTCTGCCCGTGGAGAGTGACTTTCGCGCTTGGTGTCGTTTTCGCCGACAACTTTTCCACAGCCTTTGACGAGGATGTGTCTCTGTACGAATGCGTTAGCAGTCTGTTTACATACACGATAGATAGTACATGGAGAAGAAAAAAAATACCTTGAGCGCATCTTTCCTAGAAAAACTCTTATCACAGTGGTTGCAAGGGAAAGGCTTGACCGCAAGATGTATCCTCTTGTGACGCTTCAGATCGTGATTCCTGTTGAAGCTCTGTGGGCACTGATCACACTTGAATGGACGATCGTTGGCAGTTGGTGGTTGGTGCTGGGGATGTCCCAGGAAGTGTGGCATCTGCGCAGCGTGTCCACTGTTGAAGCCAGACATCATGCCGGGGTGTCCAACAAGCGCAAGGCCTCCGGCAGGGTTCTGAACATTGGAAAAGACAGGCGCCTGTCCTCCTCCATACTGCAAAGATGGCCTTTGCTGGTATTGATAAGGAGAGTGCGCTGGGTTGTTGGATGGGATCGATGGGATCGGGCCCTGCGACACAGCTGGCGACATGCGCTGCATCGAACCACCAGCGCTGATGGGGCTTTGCTGCTGACTCAAGGTTGGCGATGGTCCAGTCGAGTAGGGAAAGTTTGAGTGTTGCGGTGTTCCTGAGTTATGGTAGCTGTAAGTAGGGGTTGGGGGCTGAGGTGGCCTGAACGAGTCCTGGCTGAGAGCGGGCGACTGCTGTGGTCCCGAAGAGGAGACGGGGGTTTGATTACCCATCATCTGCTGATGGTGGTGATGCTGTGTAGAGATGGAAGGCATGCTTGATCCGTTGGACGAAGGCGTAAAAGGTGGAAGTTGCTGGGTCATTTCATATGGTGGCGGATTCAGCCCTTTGCCTAGTGAGTCCTGTCGTCCGAGCTGGCCCTCACCACGCGACGGAGCGAACATACCTCCTCGGGCTTGTCCGTATTGGTTCTGCTGGTGATGCGCAGCCTGATAGCCATACTGCGCAGCGGATGCTTGCGCAGGCGGAGAGTAGATGTACTGGCCGTTGGAATAGGCCATTGTTGTGGAATATTGTGAGCCAGCTGCTGAAACTCCAGTTGAGCTTATCACGTCACTGTGATTAGTGTTTGGTGGAGTCAGGAGGTTGCCAACGCTGGCAATAGTGACTGGAGACTGCTGCGACTGTGAAGCGGTAACAGTGTTGCTGAAAGGATATTTGTGCATCGGTGGCGGTGGCAGCTCAAAACTGCCGAGTTGCTGGGCGTGAGGTCTCCGCGCTGCAAAGCTAGGAGGTGCACCCATTGGGTCAGACCCAGGATGCATGGAAGACGGATGAGCCACGGCAGCAGCCACGTTGGCGGTTGTGTTCCGGGTAGGTCTTGTTGACCTACCTGCTTCGGATGGAGGAGAACTTGGAGGATATTGCAGCGGCGACGCTACAAATGACTGAGTGGTGTAGTGGTCAGGATTAGACCAATACGGACCACGTAAAAGCTGCGAGTCCACAAAGGGTAACAGACAGCTTGAAGTTCAAGGGCGTAGTGGGGAAAGCTGGAGGGGGGCTCAAGTCCAAGGGGAACAAAGAGCTGATGATAGGCAGGGAGTGAAGGAAAAAGGGACTTGTAGAAAGAACCCTCTAAAGTACACAAATGTCCTGTCGGTCTGTAGAACGGCAATGGTGTGCGCCGGTTGCTAGTCTGTCGATGTGTCCGAGGGCTAACGACTGGTCCGAGCAATGGTACCTGCGCTGATTGAGGCAAACGGTAATACCAAGGTACGCACGTCTGGCCGTAAAGAATTTGACCAAGTCTCAGTCGCTGCGACTTGTTAGTGCTGCTCGTCGTCTCAGGTCGAGGAGTGAGGGCGTACAAGAGAGCAAAAGCAGATTCTCGTGGAACTGTGGTTGATGTCTAACACGAAGTGTTCGGTAGGGCCCGATTTCCTGGTTGCGCAGATGTAGTGCTACGCAGGCTGTCACACAGTATCTGTGTATGAGGGTTTTGGGTTCAACGACAGTGGCTCATGTGCTCTGACTGTACTGGTGTTGTAGTCCGACACTGATTGGGGAATGCTCCGGATTGGCTCTGTGTTCTCCGTTGGTACTTGGACCCAAGGCTGTGGATGGAGGCGTGTGATTCCAGATGAGGATGGAGACGACAAGAGGTAGTCACAATCAGCGTACTTTACGGAGGCGTTGCAAAGTGGCTGTGCTGTGCGTTGGGGAGGGGTGGTTTAGTGATGGTTTGGCGGGGAGCAAAGGTGAGCCTCGTCAAGTGTTTGGCAGTGGTGGTGGTGGTAATGGTGGAGTTGGAGGCGTGTGGAGTGGCGATCACTCCTTGTTAAGCTCAAGACCTGGGCGCCCTAGGAAGGAGCGATGGCGGAGAAGGCTGGAATCTGGGTGGACTAAGAAGGCTTTGTTACCGCGAGCGAGTGGAGAGCGCTGGGTCTTTACGTATATGTACGGCAGGCTAGGGTTGTCAGGGTTGGTGGGCTCGCGTGGCTGACTGGCGCGCTGGGGCTTTTGCACTATCAAGGGCTCAACCAGGCGATAGGGACCGTCCAAGCCTTTTGAGGATGATCTGGATCGGGATGGGAGGTGAAGAATCAGCCCAAAAGCCAGCCTCAGGTGAGGGTGCGGGAGCGCTACTCACAGACGCACTTTGTCACAATAAGGCAATGCAAACGAGGCACGGCAGAAGCAATGCGACGAATGAATAATAAACCCACACCGTTCAGACTCAATTTAGAGAGCTAGACGAACATGGGGCCGCACACAGCAATGCATGACCAGGGGGGTGAAAGCACCTACCATAGCCAGACCCTGTCGGCAGACCATCTGTCGGAGTAAGTCCTGCTGGCTTGCGGGACGGCTTGGACCAGCAAAGTGGGCGAGCTCATGGCTTGCGCCGGACCGCAGAGCGAATGGACGTTCGCTGTCAGCACGTTCACTAATATTGATGATGCTGCTGGATGATGGTCACTAATGATGGGCAGCGCATATTGCCGGGGGGGAGGCGGATGGGCGTGAGGGGGGATTGTTTGATGCTGGCACAAGACGACGGGCGGGTGGCGCGAGTGGACAGATTTGGGTGGACATGCGGCTCTCCTGACCCAGGCTTGCGGCACGACAAGAGACAGACACACGGCGGAGTGCTTTTGTCTGCCCCCTCCCCCCAGTACCAAGGGTCAGGAGCACCCCCAGAGCGAGTGTAATGTGCGTCGGGACTGGCGCCAAGGGGACCTAGGAGAGCCTGATGGCGCACGGACACGGTCTGGCCCAAGGAGCGCCCGGAGGGGTGGTCAGAGAGACAAAGCCAAAACTCTACAACAACCCTTCCCCCCTTTGCTCAAGCCCACCGTTTGTGAAGGGCCAATGGCCGTTAGCTAGCAGTGCTACCAGACTTGGCCAGAGCGATCGTCGTGATGTGCAGATGGGGGGCATGGGAGCGCTAGGCGAGTGGACAGGAGTGCTTCAGTGCGTAGAGTAGTAGTAGTAGTAGCAGCAGCAGACGTCGGCCATCCATGACGCGCTGCACAATCACATTTCCCAGGGCTCAGCGTCAACTCCGGTGGCTATGGGTGTGCCCGCGTGTGTGTGTGCGTGTCTGGCGAGCGAGCGAGAAACAAAGTGCAGCTGGAGGATAGACATCCCTGCGGGTGGTCCAGTTCGGCGACCAGAGCTGCGGCCGTGCTTTTACCGCTTTCTCATGTTAGCTGACGAGATGGCGCTGTGGAAAACGGGCCCAGCGCTAGGCGAGAAGGAGCATGACGGCCAGCTGCACATGATTGCAGTGGTGGGCTGCCGAAGACGCTTGAGCATGTGTGTTTCGAGGTAAGATGGGGGGTGGGTGTATGGATGCCAAGCAGCCGATCGACGCGATACCCGTTCCCTGTAGGCTATAGGGTAGGGATAGTAGGAAAAGACATGAATTGCGGAGCCATTGCATGAGGGTCGGAGCGTCATTGCGGAAGGCTGGTGATGGCGTCGAGAGCGAAGCCATTGGGCGGAGCAGCAAAGTGGGTGACGGTCTAAAATTAGGCGAAGTGGTATATTGCTTAGGGCACGTGTGCGTCTGCAAAGGGCAAGGTGGAATAAGCAGCGGCCTGGGTCCCTGCCCGCCTCAATCTCGTCCCTCACCACTCGCAGCCCAGTGCCGTCGTACATTCTTCCTAGACGGGCGCCTTTCCACGTGGAGGTGCATTGGCTATACGTTTCCGGCCCATTGTTTTTGCGCGCGTCTGCTGCCGTCGCCTGGGGGGCCTGTGATGGGATTGGTGCCGGTCCAGCCAACAGCGCGCGACAGACTGCGCAGGCACACACACACACACACACACATAGCTGCTGTCACTGCTGGCCTTGTACCCACCTGCAATACTGTTGGTGGTGGTGGTGGTGGTGGTAATAGCAGCGGTAATGGTGGTGGTGGTAGAAGCATGCATATACATGTCACTTTGTCCTTGTGCTGTGCAGTCACGTCAAATCAAGGCTGGGTGCAGTGGGTGCCGCCCGCCTTGCCAAAGGGCCTTTCCCGGCGGCCTGGTTTGACCAGCTGGCGGAACAAGAGAAGAACAAGGAACCGGGGACGACTCCGCGGTCGATCCGACTCTGGGTTCGTCTGGATAATGGCAGGCCCCGTGCTGGCGCTGGAAGGCTGATGCCACAGACCATTGTTTTGGGGCAGCCGCTGCGACGACTAGCTCAGGCGTGCTGCAGGGCCAAGCGCACACAGATGGCGTAGCCGCGGGCCTTGTCCGGCTCCTCGTACGCTGTCGGGTTGCCGTGTGGGCATCGTCACAACGTGGTCAAGCCCTGCCACTGTCCAAGTACGTATAGTACTTACTATACATACATACGATTATGTACGTACACAGTTGCCCGTGTATAAATGAACAAACACACGTACTTACTATATCCCACCACCCACCCCCGCCCATGTCTGTCTCTGCCTATGCTGGGGATGCCGGATATCGACAGGGGCGGTGCAGCCGAGTGTTGCAAAAAAGGTAAAAAAGAAAACAACACATGTCCAGGGCTGCGCAGCGCATCGCATCGCACGCAAGACGGCATGCTCCCTTTCATCTCTCAGCGTGTTTTGTCACTGTGATGGGGATGCGAGGTTGGGTCTAATCCTGGAGCTACCCAGCCAATCACATACGCGGATAAGCGAAACCGGAGAAGGTTTCCTGATTCGCTTGATCGGCTGTACCAACACACACACACACCCTCACCCTCTCCCACCTGCAACGCTCTTGATGGCTGGACGGGGGCCTGGAGCCTTTGAGCGCGCCGGCAACCTTTCAACGCATCGTCTCGCTTGGCTGCTCCAACGCGCTTGTGCTTGTTTGCACCTGCTGCAGAGCAAGTACAGTTACGAGTGCGAGTACAGTAGAGTGTGTACTATCGACGCAGCTGCACGCTCTCGCACTCGCTCCAGCCAGGCAGCCAGGCAGCCAGTGCCCCCTCCCTCCCCCTACGCCCTGGACAAATCCGAACCCCACTACTACACATCGTCATGTCATCATCCGCCCGCCTGTCACCAGCCTTGCCCGCCCCATCTAAATGACTGCTCGCTCGACTGTTTTCAAGGCCACCAGCTAGTACAGTAGGCATTTTGCTTTCACACGGCGCCGCCAGCTCGTCACATCGCTCACCCCTCCCTCGCTCCATCCACCATGCTTCCCGACGTGACGGCCTCCCCCTCCCCCCTAATCGGCCACCCGTCAAGCCAGATCAACGGCTTCCCCCGCCGAGCTGGCTACGCTAAAGGTCCCGCCCGTTCTACCCTACCGATCTCTCTGCACAAGCGTCTCAGGCGTTCGGGGTGCCCGTGGCCCCACATCTCTCTAGCCCTTGATAACACGCGGGTTGCAAGACCCAACTCAGTGTCTGGCTCTAGCGTAACCAGCTGGCCCCCCTTCCCCGTCACCGCCAAGTCCACCCATCCCAGGTCCGGAGTCTTGTTCCTCTAGCCGAAGACGCCTGCCTGTGCCCATGACGCCCACGACGCCCACGACGCCCTAACCGCCCCCCTGGATCTCCGTTGACGCACTGCCTGAATTGCCAGAAGCAAAACCGCTCTCGCTCTCGCGTCGCATCCAGTCCGTATCCGAAGGCTGCGGCGGCCACGTTGTGAGCCGCACCTCCTCTCCCACCGCCCGCAAGCCCACCCGCCTCAGCACAGTCATGGCAGCCAACGCGCTGGGCTTCACCAGTGCGCTTCTTTTCAAGCCGTCTGCAGCCTCCTCAAAGAACGACTCCAGGGCCTCGTTGCTTATACACAGCCTGTCGTCACCATTACCATTCTCACTGCGAACGCGCGTGTGTATACATTATGTGTCTTGTTGCTTGTTGTGTTCACGGCCGCGGCCTCGTCACGGGTCACACCGGCCAAGGGAGTATATTGCACCAGTCAGACTGGCCGGCGTGTTGACAATTACCTGCTTGCGTGACTGAGTCGCTGTGAAATGACGTCCTGTACCCCCCACGTTACTAAAGTTTCCAGCTCTGGACTCAATAGCTTCGTCTCCTGCGTGATGCAGCCGAAAGAAAACAACCCAAGGTTTGGGCCTCAAGATTTCCGCTACCAACTCGCGACTAGGGCTAGGGCTCGGGTTCGCCTCGCCTCCCCCTGCTCTACCCAACTTGACCTGTGTCAAACTACGTTTAGGCCAGCTCCCACCAACCTGCATACTTGTTTTGTCGCTTCTAACCGCTCTGGAACGCTTCCAACACGGCCATGATATGATTACTAGTCTTGGTCAGCCCGCTCACGAGCGCTAGTTTCAATCCCTTCTCTATCCTGGACCGAGTGGCAGCATGCTTCCACTGCCGCGCAGCTCGTCCGGCTCAGCCTGGCCTCTCTCTCCCTTCCCCCCCCCATTGCCGGCAAAAACTCGCCGCACGCGTGCTGATTTCCCCGAGCAAAAGCTGCGTACGTGCCCATTACGTTCATGTTGGAGTCACGGCCATGCCGTGAATACATACAAGCCCAAGCTTTGTATGTGCCGGCATCGCATCCGGTCTGCTAAGACTGTACCTGCATCAAAGGCATACCCTCAACCATACGTCTGTGTGGCGGACGCCATCATCTCAACTCCGCACCCAGGATCTCGCTGATCTTTGCCAGCCACCTTGTTCTTTGCCTGAACCAGGACGCACCACTTATTATGCCCGCTAAGCTAAACGCCCGCAAAAGCCTTCCCGTCTGGCAAGTGCGCCACTGATCGATGATGTACACAGGGTACACCGTTGTACGATATTTTGCTGTCGTCGGAGGATAATCCGCTTTGGTCACCAGTTGACTGCCGTTGCCGAGTCTTTTGCCCACTTCCGGACGGTCCAGCCAGAAGACGGCCATTTCTGACTCGCCCATGCAAGTTTTGTTCCATCATGGGTCGAAAGAACACCTGATGAGTTGCATCTAGATGAGGTGCCCAGGTGCGCAGTCGACCGGGCGCTGACACAATATCTGTCAACAAAATAACATGCACAGGTGAAACGCTATTCGCCCAAACATGTAGTAGTCGCTTGGCTGTCGGTCATCGAGGCGACAGCCAAATCCTTCTCGGCTGTTCGTGCATCCATATTGGTGGACAAGCGCGCAGTCTGCAAAATCTCCGCCAATGGTCTGGGTCCGGCATTCCCAAGGCCGACCAGCTCTCCACACGCTATCGGGTGGCCTGGACCAATCATGAGCAGCCAGTATCGCTCTCTTGGTTTCATCCATCCATTCTCGTAAAAACGTGCATACCCTGACGCTATGCTCTCAGTACTATCTCTCGACGATGCTCATCTGCTCGTACTCTACGCACGCGCGCACCCCCCAACGCCATCGCACTGGAGAGTAATTGGACTACGCTTAGGGCGAGGCGACATAATATCAATCCGACCTGGCCTGATGCTACAACTCACTCTGCATATGCAAGAAGGGCCCAACTCATCCAATCAGCGACAACAATTTTTGCTTTTTCCATTTCTGTCACCGTTTTTGCAATCTTCCCACGCTTCCTCAACAAGTCATGTCTCAGTCTGCCGGATGAAAATCTGCTCGGCTGCCTCGTGAGAATGCATACATGTCGCTGAGTGTAACATTGTTAGAGTTGGTTGCTTATGTGTGTGGCAGCTGCAAGGAAATCACCGTGCTGTGATGATTACATATCTACACAAGCAATGGTATTCCTTGCGAGATCGCCAATCCCCGTGTACCAGTATCCAAGCACGGCTGCCTGTGATTACTGCGGCTTACACTTGACGTGCAGCAAGGTTAGCCCCAAGCACGATGGCTACAACCAGAGCACGCCGTCTGACCTCCAACCACGCCTTGGCGCTCGTTGGTCCCGGTTATTCGGGGGCCATTTTGGCCCTGCTTTCGCTTGGTATGCTTGTTTGTGAGAGTGGCTGGCTTTCGTTGCTGCAACTCACTCATTGTCGGGCGTCAGGTAGAGAAGGATTGCCAAGAAACACGACACACAATCACCAAGTGGGCTTGCGGCGGCGGTGGTGGGTGCGTTGAGCGCACTACTGTGTAGATGGCGCTTCGGAAGGTGACTTTGTCCAATGCAAGCTGTCCTGCTTCATCCCCATTCGAACAAGGCGCTTTTTTCATTCTTTGAGTCTTTGGCGATGGCGAATACCAATGACTACGGCGTCCCATAATTGGAACATGCAACAAAGTTGGCCTTTTCCGGCGGTATCCCGTATAGAGAGGTGAGCTGATGGGCTGTGCTGCCTGGCGACTAAGTACAGATGAAACTTTCCGCACGCAGTTTTGTCACCCAACAGGCTATGACAAACTTTGATGCTGATGAGGGGCCAGACCGATAAGAGCTCTTTTCGGGTCTCCTCCATGCCGCAAGAGGGAGAAAGAGTCCCTTTTCGGCTTCATAGTAAAGTCAGAAGAATAGCTGCTCCGCTTGAACATAAGATACCGGTCTCGATAACCTTGTCCTGTCTCTAAACCAATACATGTGTTGAGTGTGCATGTACACTCAGCTTACATCCCCAGTGTTTCGGATTTGGAGAAGCAGAGATGCCAACTCGGTACTTCCTCGATTTGCTTATACGATGATCCAACGACAGTAGAGTCCGGAGCAACTGATTAAGCAAGGGTTTTTTTTCTTCCTTACTTTTGCTTTGATACCCACAGTTTGTCTCACTTTGCTAAGAATATGCATATCTGTATTGATCATCTGCGCTTGCGTCTTTGGATAGAAGAAGAAGCAGGATGGGGCGTAAGTGCCCAGCTTGAATGGATGCAGGCTTACCTGAGCGGAGTCGACAATGTTACAGTCACGCTTGACTTACTGTAACAGAATTTAACGTTACAGGGCCCAGTCTCACATCGATCTGTACGTTGAACACGTGTCCAGCTTGTCTGGCCATGCTGAAGAGTTGCAGTGTTATGAGCAACTTGTTCATCGAGTTCCTCCCTCCAGATCGGATCGCCACTTGCTCCGATAAGAAGACGAGAACGCATTTGAAATCGAGCATCACCTAGCCTGAGGCGGGATACCGAGTTACCGCTCTGTCATCGACCATCCGAATCGCAGCGTGATCAGGTTTCATGGCGAGACCGAACTAGTTGCGTCAGGCTGAACCTGTGTGGCATGCTATGCAATCCATCGTGACACACATACATGCACGAAGGCCTTACAGGGGGTGGATTTTGTTGTCGCTTGTAGACCGGTGCTGACCATTAGGCCCCCTCCCCACTCCGAGTTAACGCTTGCCCTTGCATCGCGGTTACGTACTTGCCGAATCAAGTCTTCAATGCGAAGAAAAGTAGACAGACACATCACATTAGCTGTAAGCGCTGATAGTGATTGCTGTGTATTACTTTGGTGTTTGGATGGCCGGTGAGTGTGCTGACTGACTTTCAGACTCAACCCTTTTTTTGCCTTATTTAGTTGTCTGTCATGACAGATGGGTCTGATGTAGTATGAGAGCGTAATACTGAGTGAATTTCTACTTGAATAGATTTTATTGCGGTTTTCAGTCCATTTCTCGGGTAAGTTATTGTAAGAGGATAGGCTGGTAGGCTCATAGCTACACTTGCTGGGCTTGTAACGTCACATTCCATCCCACCCTATAATTCTCTGTGTTTGTAAAATCACAGTCTATCAATTGATTGGGCATTCCACAGTTCAGAAGATACGGCTGTCTTGGAGCCGTACAACGTTGACAGACCCCATACGGATTCCCCTCCCTCCTCTCCACCGGTAGACAAGTAGCCTGCTTCACTCCAAGCCTTGAGCCGGCCATTTCAAAATCCCATATACGTCACATCAAGCTAGACTCACAAATTAAGCAAGAAACTGCAGCCTACAGGGCCTCATAACAAGCCCCCAAGCCCCAGGCCAGCCAAAAAAAAAGAAGGGCGCCGCCGCACTGTCCAAATGACGTTACCATGCCCCCCCCTTACCATCTCAAAGAAAAAAACGCCCACATCCCGCGTACAGGCAGGTATACGCAGAACAGTACAAGAAGCAAGTGCCAAAAACTACCCAAAGAAGGAAAAACAATTCAATCACTGCACCTCGTATCGGCCTTTTGGATCTTCACTGCATCTCCTCAATGGCCTATTAATCCTGAATGAACAAAAAACCAAAACAAGTGGGGGGTGCGGCAGGGGTTCTATATCCCTCTTTCTCTCTATTCCTTCTTTTTTTTCACTTCCAAGCTGATGTATACGGGATCCATGGGCAAAGCAAAGGAAAGAAAAAGCGGGGTGGGGTGGGGGGTTTGGATACACGGAATCTTCTGGATGAGATGGTAACGTGTGATTGCCGATATGGTGAAAGAAGGAAAAAAAATCTGAGCGAATTTCTGGAAAGATTGCCATGGTTTCGCGTGCTACTAGGTGTAGGGGAAGATTGGTTCTACTCTACCGGTTTTGGTTTGGGTGGAAGGAGGGTGTATGTGTGTGTGTGTGTGCTCCCCGCGAAAAGGCGAGAAAGGGAAGGGGGGAACGGTACGGGTAAGCTCCGGGCTTCTATCTCGCTTCATCTTTTCTTTTTTGTATTCGCCTCTGAGTGGGAGGGAGGGGAATGGTTGGAGCGGGTATGTGGGATATCGTCTTTTGCTTCTTTCTGTAGTGATTCTTTGCTTGTTCTGAGAAAGTTTGCTTTTTACCTTCCGAAACGTTGCGTCGCACACACGCACGCATTGTCCTTGATCCCTCTCGCTCCTGCTCCTCCCCCCTTTCTAGCGCAAAAAGGAAAGAAGCAAGTAAGACGTGCATGCACGCTGCACGCTGCGCATGGGAAAAGGAAAGAGGAAGGTGGACGGGGGAGAGGGGATGGAGGGAAAAGAAACGGTGGCCGTTTGCTTTTGGCTTCGGCTATCGTACGTACCCTTCCCGTACCTTCTTCAGGTTCCGTCATGAACATCTAATTTGGTTTTTTTTTCTCGGGCTGCTTGCTTCCTGCAATTGTGGTACGGGCTTTTTGCTTTCCGTCACCCTGAATCCTATACAGGGTCCAGGTATACGGCCGTTGCTTTTGAGTGAACCTGGTCTTTTATTTTGCTCGCTTGTTTTCTTTCTTCTTCTTTTCATGTAGTCTTGATTCTTTTTTTCAATCAATCGCTCATCGCCCCCCTTGCCCTGCATTCTCTTGATCAGTAAATCTTGGATTGGAGTGATGTCGGCATTAACGATATGCATCATGAGCACGTCATGCCGGTGCAGTTGCAGTGCAGGAGCGTCGAGTTTTGCTTTTCTTGGGCTGGCTTTTTCATCCGCGGGGTTCGCTTTCGCGATGGTGGTCTATTTGCCGGTAACAGGTTTTACACCTGGAGTACCCTTGTGCGTGCCGTTTGATGGGCAACATGCTGATTTGATGACGGATTTTCTTCCGGTAGAGCAAGTCACGACTTGGCTGATCCAGAATTTGTTTCCAGTACAAAGTAAGGAAGGAGATGCATGGATTCGGAATCCGATTGATTAGTATGTATGAACATGGCACCCCGCTCTGGAGCTTGTGCTGTTTTGAATATTTGTGTTTACTTTTGGCGTCTGGAGTGAGGCTGGGGCGATGGACATCGATGTCGAGGAATTATCAATACATTGTTATTATTTCGATAAGAGGCCTTGAGGCAGAAGAAGGCCTTGCAGATGTGGCGAACGCAAATATAGACAAGGTCAATGCATTGTATGGGACTTTTGAAGCTCAGACTCAGTCTCATACAGAGTATGTGGTTGCTTTCGCAAGGATTTGAAATGTTGAACTGCGATCTTGGTGACATGTCTCAATCACGCTACCATGATCGATTTCAGTTGACGATCGAGTTCAGTCGTGAGGTGGTGATACATGTTAAGTTGAGCATCTTTCAGTATGCGTTGCAAAATTGAACATGAGGTCTTCTAGGCTGCTTCTTTTCAAATCTTATTACTGGCGAGACAGGTGATCTCGCACAGAGATCTTATCATATTTCTACCACACGACAGAATGATGATGGTATAGGAACATTTAAGCTGCTTAGCAAGATGTATATTAAAACCCGTTAAAAAGAGTATATGGATATTTGCACATAATGGCAACGTATTGCACTCTGTAAGAACAACGACGAGATGTTTCTAGTGAGACTTAAGCCATTGCAATTGAACTGGCTGCTGTTAAACCATACACTCAATATATGTGATAATTCATCTGCTCTTGAGTCTCTTAGAATTTTCTTAGCTTAAACGGCTGAAGTAATAAGTGATGTAAAGCAACACATGTAGTTAGGTGATCTCAGATACAAGCCAAGAGGGTTATGGTCACTTCTTTAGAATCAACAGGTAGCGTAGAAAGAGACGCTTTTGTATGTTGGTAGAAATTTCTCAACGTCTTGTCCTTGGGTAATGCCCTTCACTGACCAATGTGGTTTGTTTTTCACTAATTTTCTTCACTCGTCTTTCACAATATCAACACGAAAGACGTACGGATTTTCCCGTTTCTTATCCGAGGATAGTATCTCCTTCGCCGACTTTCGAAACTTCGTTATGAATCTCTCTTCCAAATTTACTACCTTCGACAGAGAACAATCTCAAAATGCCCAATGAAACCCTAACTCCAACAGCCCTCGTCTCCGCTCCCACAAACAGTCAAGCAACCCTCACACCAACCCACCCACCCAGCCCAAGTCCCCGGATACCACCACCCGCTCCAGAATAGCGTCTCCGACCTAAGACACGAATCGGAGTTCATGGCTCTCACATTACACAAGCCCAGCAGCCCCATTCAAGCCCTCTTCTCCGCCGTACAACAGCGACTCCCAGCTCCACTAGCGCGTATACCATGCAACCAATCGCACCTCAAAGAAATGTGCGCCTTTGGCGTTTTTTTCTGCGAGTCGCAGACAGTAGGTCTGGTGACACGGGATCGGTATGTAAGACTGAGGGTGGAAATCGGTGGGAATTGAGGCAATGAGTTGGATTTTGTGGGCTGATGTTCGTAACTGGAAACGGTGGAACTTGCCGAATTCCTTTTCCGTCTTTTCTTGCCTCTTGCATTTTGGAGGCGCGGTGTCGTACGAGCTGTTTTTTGGAATGTGGATGGGAAAATGTGGTTCTACAAGATATAGGAGGTGGTCGGACGAGATTGGGGGACTGACGCAGTGAAGAGGTAAGTTTGTGTAAGTATGATGATTGGGGATAAATGCTGGGGTAGGAAATTGGGCTTTTCTGGGATCAGGACAGTGATTGTTGTGGGGACTTCTGGCTGTCGCGGCAGTGAATTAATTGAAATGTCCATAGTGGGTATATGTCTTTGAAGATTTTCAATCTCTATATTATGTCTCGTATTATCTTGTTCTCGATGAATCACTTTTTGAAATTTCTATTTAAAGCTGCTTCCCACTATGGTCATGCGTGTTGTAATGGGTGAGAGATTCGAAAGTTGACACGTAGTGACCTGTAACTGCAGAAATTATTCTTGCACGAAACCTCGTTAGAGTCCACTATATAGTGTGAATCGTAACGTGATTTCAGGCGATACTTAATTTTAGATTGTACTTTGTATGAACAAACGAGATTATCTTTTGTCTGTTTAGAGTCGTCTAGCTTTCGAATAATTTCTCGAGTAAGATGTTCTTATGCAGAAGCTGGCTAGATCATGACCCTGGTGGATTCTTAATGACAGCATCATAACCTGCTACTCTCATGATTCTCCATACATCCTCGATTGCTTTCTGGCGGCCTCGGAGACATTTGCTCGCCGGATTCCGGAGACGGAGACTTTTTGCAACCAAGGCTACCACCCCTCTTTACTAATCACTCGCAGTCTTGAGCATAGCTTCCTTCTAAAACGGCGATTTCCGTTCCGTCTATGCCCTCGTGCCTATATTGAAGGCAATATATGTAGTATGCGCTTCACTTGAGGAGAGATTTACTGGCTATACTCTCAACTACTCTCTGAACCCCACCTTTGCACCACCACCAGCCATCGTCATGACCGACTCACAAAGCACCAAACCGTCTCTCCCCAAGTTTGATCCGGAAAACTGTCAAACCTACGCGGCAAGTTGCCACTGCGGTATTGTACAGTACTCGGTCCTTCTCTCCCCACCATTACCCCAGTGGAAGGTCGTATCGTGCAACTGCAGCATCTGCACTCGCAACGGCTACTTGCTAGTGTATCCCGAGAGGTCGCAGCTACACATAAAGAGCGGTGAAGATATGCTAAGGGACTATTCTTTTGGAATGAAAAGAAATTTGCACAAGTTTTGTGCAAACTGTGGGAGCGCAGTTTGGTTTGATCCGAGAATGTGGCGATTTGGAGAGACTGGACCCGATTTGCTGGGTATGAATGTATGCCGTATGCTTGTTTAGTTGGTGATAGAATGTAGCTAACAGACTGTGTAGGTTCGTATGTTCCACGATGTTGACATAGGGGCATTGGACATTACACTGGTGGATGATAAACAACGACCAGGAAAGCTAGAAAAGGAGCAATCGTGATAATCTATATTAGTGTGGTTCGATATGTATAGGGAATGATAACGTTTAATGCTTATTGACCGTATATACTTGCAATGGCTGTTTCCAAAACAATGCATCCAAATGTGTAGTATGGCGGAATAATGCCGCTCGCAAGTCGAGCACCTGGTGTGCCAAGCCACTAAAGTTGAGCCTCGGTGAACTAATCCCTGTCACCAACTCAAGGTTCCGTCCCATCTATCACTGACTGCGATATATGCAGTTGAGAATACAAAATGTCTCGAGCGCGCTTTCTCCTCAATCGCACTCCTTTCACAGCGCCTTGCAGAGCTTCGCGCCAATTCATCCGCCACCCCCGCAATGCCCAAGTCCTCGAGCTTCCCCTCCAATCCCGCATCCGCTGGTCCTACCTGTGGTACGCCAGCATCCTCGCTCTAGGAATAACAACTGGTTTGGGTGCCCGTCAATTCGCTGCGCCCCTCGGTCTTCCTGAGCCCGGATCGCCAGATGATGACCTAATCCTTAATTCCCTCAGCCGCGACGTCGACGCTCTGGAGATTGTACAATCACTCCGATCGCAATCATACAACCTACACACCGATACTGCCCTCCGGTCAGGACCAGGATTGACATCTGCACCTGCTTCAGGAAGTCGGAAGATATCAGCTTACAAAGGATGGCTAGAGCTGGATTTAGATTTTGGTAGGGAAAATGACGGGAAGAAAGGCGTCTTGGGTGCTATGGGTGGGGCAAGGGGATTAGGAGTGCAGAGGGCATTTTGGAATGCCGAGACCAGAGAGATGGTAGCGGTAGTATGGATTGGAGGAGGACTGACTGGCTGGCCGGGCGTCGCGCATGGAGGGGCTATAGCGACTATCTTTGAGGAGATTTTTGCCAGGATGGCGAAGGGTCCTGATGGACTTATTGGTATGTACATTGATGCAATCATACCCCATTTCACACCCAGGTTTCCCACTGACAAGAACACCCAGAACCTGCCCATCGCCCCGACTCCCTTTCCTTGACCTACGCGAAACCTACGTACAGCCTCGATTTCTACGTCATACGCGCTGCTTTCTCCAAACCTGATCTGCCACAGTCTGAACCACCGCCTGAGCCGGAGTCTGAACCTACAAAGAGCTGGTTGGGATGGCTATCACCAAAGAAGGATCTCACAAAGAAGCCACAGGCTTCCCATCAGGAGATTATTGCGACCCTTGAGAATATCAAGGGGGAGTTGTGTGTAAAAGCCAAAGGCACTTTTGGCAAATGACGATTAAATTGATAAAAAGTATGACGGAAATTTTGGTAGCGCAGTAGCGCAGAGTCGGTGATCGGATGCGCACAATGAGATACCCAAGAGCGAAGAGCGAGTTTTGAAATGCACCTACTCCTGTCTCAACAACATTCGTTTAATTTTGTGTCAAGCCATGAATCAATCGTGAGCTTTATTGCGCACATAACATGAAAACCCTTCTAAGTTCTTCTCTGAGTATATGCTCTTCTTAGGGGTCTATGGGGTTGCCGGAGTTTGCCAATGCTAAACAAACATTGTACAGTGAGTAGGCTGGAAAGAACTTGGAAGACGCCCCTAAACAATGATGAAATGCTCCTGCTTTCATAGACTTATTGCAGACAGAACAACCTATATTGAGGCCTGATGCCATCCCAACGATGGTACCTTCACTCCGCATTGAGTTTGCTCACTTTTCTCCTACGCCGGCCCATAAACATGCCAAAGAACTAAGACTTTTCCAGACGCAACTATAAAACTGCAGCAAACAAACAAGCATGTATACAAGAAACTACCCAGCTTTCATAAAGCTTTCGCCCACAGTTTACAGTTTACACACTCCGCAATCTCAATACACCACCACCTATGCCAGCATGCGCATACAACAGAACACCACCTTTCTGCTACCAATCTACCTACTACTCCCGCTATTTAGCGACTTCACCATTGCCAAACCGATAGAATATGTCCGCGCAACAATCAACGGCATCCGCAGCCTCGTCCGAGACGACCGCCAGCCATCCCTCTACACAACCGACTACACAGACTGCCTCAGCAACAGCGCCATAAACATCACTCGCTTCGACGCAGCGTACTACAAAGACAGCATGACGATCATGTTCCATCTACGCGGCGAGACGACACTACAAGACCACGTCATGCTCAACATTGCCGTCTTCGCATACGGCGAGCCTCGTTTCTCACTCACCTTCAACCCGTGTGACGCGAATATCTGGAGGTAAAACCACCCCCCCTTGTTTCCCTATCACGATAACACTACTAATAAGCAATGGAAAGCGCGTGTCCCGTTCGACCGGGAACTCCCATCGAAGCCGCGGGTATAATACCGATTAGCCCGGCCGATGTAGCAGGGATCCCGGAGGTGGCACTGGGTATTCCGGACTTCGAGGGCCAGGTTGTTATCCGGGTGTTTGCGAATAAGACGGAAAGCGAGGTTGGGTTGTTTGCAGCGGGGATTACGAATGGGTGGATGTTTCGACGGCAGTACTGCGTTGGGACTGTTGTAGCTGTTTTCACGCTTGTAGCGATTGCGGCGTCGTTTGCCACTGCTGCGTGTGGCGATGATGTATTCGGTATGCGGAGTCATTATGCGCATTCCATGTCGGTTTCTGTTGTGTTTTCCGTGTGGCAGTATGTTTTCTACAGCGGGGCGCTTGAGATGGATTGGCCGAGTGTTCTGGTGGCTTTTTGGAGCAATTATGCTTGAGTGGGGGGAATGATATACTATGAGCCGATGCAGAGTATGATTGATGGGTTTGTTGGTGTGAAAGAGGGGGATGGGGTACGGAATCATGTTGCTGGTGCAGCTCAAAGCGATCCGTATATTGGAGGAGTCGATATTCATCGGATATATGGACGAGATACTCTACCTACCGAGCTCGGTTTCCAGAACACTGTCAACAAGCGTTACCTAACCGATATTAACGGCGGATTCAAGTACTCCGGAAAGCAAGTCAAGCCTGAATTACCACTTCCGGGCGACTACTCTGGGTTTGCAGGCACACTTGCGACGCAGCGAATTCCAGTCCGCAATGCCTTTCTGACCGAGCTCCTCTGGCTTCTGTTCCTATCCGCATGCGCCATTATCTCAATTCTCTCTCTGAAAGCAATCGTCGAGACATCGGTCGGTCTCCGCATTATACGCCAGAATCGCCTCAGGTACTTTCGCTGTCACTATCTTGCCTACATTGTTGTAACAATACTGCGCACCATCTTCATCAGCTTTTTCACGATAAGTTTCCTCTGCATATACCAGTTTTCTTTGCCAGCGTCACCGGGAACCGTCGCTGTCACCTGCATAGTCTTTGTAACTATGGTGCTTGGACTCGGTAGCGTTGCTGCGTACGCTTGCTTCTCCAGGTTGCGTCTCAGAGGATATGTTTTCGAGCGAGACCAGATCAACGAACCAAAGCATCAAACAACTAAGGTGATACCGTGGTGCAGCATCTCGATTCCGTGGTGGAGGATACATGCCACGACGGACTTGCCATCGATTCATTCCGATGAAGCGTATACAGCAAGGTTTGGATGGCTTGTATCTCGCTATCGAAAAAGTCGATGGTGGTTCTTTGTCATCTAGCTCTTCTACGAGTTCTTCCGAGCTGGGTTTCTCGCTGGGGCTTCCAGGCAGCCTACTGTGCAGGTCTTTGGTCTACTGGCAATCGAGACCATTGCGTTCGTTACTTTTATTCTCCTCCGGCCGTTTGAAGGACAATGTCTAAATGTAGTAGCGATATATCTCCTCGGCTTCAGCAAGGTTACTACAACCACACTTTCTACAGCCTTTGATCCGCGCTTCAGTATCGCCCGCATTCCCGCGACAGTGATTGGGATCGTCATCATTGTTATCCAGGGCCTTTTGACTATTGCAGTCATGATACTCATCTTCATTGGCGCTGTTTCGAGCTACATGTCGATGTCACGAGACCGTACAGAAATGAAGCCAAAGAGTTGGACTGCAACCCGCAAGAAATATTTTGAGCACATGGCTCTTGCAGAGCAAGATGTTCCGCGATCGAGAAAGCGCCCAGACCCAGAGGATATCATAACCGGTGTCGCGAGAACCCCATACTTTGAAGTAAAGCAAGTAAAGCGTGTGGCCAAGATCGAAGACGAAGACACCGAATTCATGGAGGAGATCTCCCAGATCCCTTACCCATCCCCTCCAGTACTATCTTCAGATCGCACTTTAGTCTCAGATTCGCCGAGATCTCTGCTACAGCGCAGCAGAACAGGCAGCTTCCAATCACAAGCCTCATACTCGAGCTTACTACCACGAGCAGCCCGCTTACAGCGTGCAAACTGGAGTGGGCACGACCTCAATGACGCAACAGGAAGTAGACGCCACAGAGCCGTGAGAGATACTAGTCTTGTTCCTCGACCAAGGCATGTAGAGAAGCTCGAGGGAAAGCCAAGTCCCTGTGGGGCTTCGATCAAGCGATCGGATACTCCCGCGCTCCTGTTGTATTGGTATGCAGACGGGGGTGAAATGGAGCATGTGGAGCATGTGGCGCTGGTTAGATTGAAGACGATCTCTAGAACAAAGTTTGAGACGAAGACTAGAGATTGAATAGTGGGGAGATGTACACTCCCGCTCTCTCCCGGGGACACCATCTTGTCGGGAAGCGCGTTAATGGAAACAGTATGGTCATACTACAGCAGCGATATACGGAATATGCGAACGCGTTTTCTCACAACGGCTTTTGATCATTCTGAAGTAGGAACAGTGTCAAGGTGGATGACAAGGCTGGCAGCGAAGCCTTGTTTGCTATAGCCCTGGACACTATAGCTCCAGAGCATTGGTATCTCAACCCAGTGTCAGGAACATGAGAGTTTCTGTATTATCGGCTGGGAGTGTATATGGCGATGAAAGGACAATGGAAGACTTCCTGTTCTTCAACAAGACGTCATTAGTCACGGGTCTATGACATTACAACGGGTATCGTGTCCGGACTGTATTTAGGAGGCTGGCCATGGCATGTTTATGACATATGCGTAATGAGTGTAGCACAACAAACAAGAGCACAAGAGGTCAAGACGGCTATGCGATAGTGCTGGCATGGCTGGGAATATGTGATGTCGTCGGGACAAGGCCTCGGCTCCAGACCCACCTGTGGTGCACAAGTCCATGAGCGGTGTCGAGCTTGCCAACGGGCGTCACCAGCCACATCAATCCACCCAGCACCAGCGCTAACACACCCATAGCGCGCCAACATGGCCAAAACGGGTTGTCTAGTGGATTGTTGTTGCAGAGCAGCTGACCAGGACCGACCGTAATTTCCACAAGCTCGAGGCGGGAAAGCTAGGGCGACCCTGGGGATTTGGGGAATTAAAATGACGATAGCAGACTTTAGCCAAAACAACCTGTTATCGTTTGGAGTGCAGTCTGAAAGAAACTCACTTCCGCTTACGGGACAATGACAACATGCGCATCACTCCCCTTGCCAAAGAAAAGATCGAACGCGATCGAGACATGGGAAACGCGAAAATGCGGTGGGGCCCTTCTCATGCCCATGTCCCTTTGAAGCTAAAAAGTCAGACCTTGTTCCCGATAACCGCCCCGTGCATTTTCTTTGCTCGGATCTGTGGCGTCACTCGCTGGGTTGAACAAGCGAAGACCCATGGGTTCGAGAGCGGGAGCCACAGCTTCTACGTCACCCTGACTTGTTGTATCGTCTTCTGGAGGATATTGGCAGCCCAGCCGGTATAACGTTGCCGGATAAGAAAAAAGTAGAAGGGCTAGACGCGGAGATTGTGATTGCACTAAGGCTTGAGATGAGTGGGTGTGTTGAATGGTAGGCTGATTTGGCCAAACGATTCAATATGGGCGTAGCGAGAGTAAATGTCGGGCTACCTGCTTTGGGCACAGCGTGTGTGATGGCAGGGTGGTTGATGGGGTGGTGTTAGCGATCGCTTCCGTTTCAGGGACCAAGAGTGACGTCGATGCTCTGTTTAAGGTTGCGGCGGTAGATCCACCTTCACGCGTGCAAGGCAGGGGACAATCCCATGTCTTGCGTCACGCCTTGTCCATATGCAAAACCTGCCTTTCCCACTGACGTTTTTGCGCGTCCTTGTGCGTGTGTTGGTTCGCAGGCCCCAGAGCCAGAAACGGGTCCAGAGTCAGCTGGCAGGCCCATGATGGGCTTTGACGGAAAATTTGACTAGCGGGCGATATGCCATGCACCCCAAAGGGGAATGGGAGGGGCGGGCTGCGGCTGCTGCAGGCTGGGTTGCGGTGTAGTAGGTGTGGTGTATGTACGTACTATCGAGAAATGAGATGCGGAAAGCGAACAGCGAGCATCAGCAAGCACCCAGGCACGGACGCTTGTGACGTAGCGTTTGTGCAACCGCCTATGCTGGCTTCACACAATCACAATATAAGCTCCCTTCACCACCTTTGTTTGTTGCTTCTTCTCCATCCTATACCACACACACCACTCACATATACCTATACAACAAATCTTCTTCTCTCCCAACCCATCCCGCCAACAAAAACAACAAACATCACTTAGCCGTCTTCCAATAAGAACACCGCAATCATGGGTGCCGTAGTATCCTGCATCAAGTCAATCGTACGTCTACTTCTGCTCTCACATACACCCTCAAGCTCTCTAAACTAACATTCCACTCTAGTTCCGCACCATCGGAAACTGCATCATGGCCATTGTCAACGCCATCGCTGCTGGTCTTAAGGCGATCATCAACGCCATCGTCTCGCTCTTCGGCATCATCATCAGCTGCCTGACTTGCGGCCGTGGCGGCGGCGGACGTAGGAGGACAACGCACACGAGTAGAGTCTAGTCCTGCGTCCCAGTACCTCTCTTCCGCTTGACTGACGCGGATACCGTTCTACCCCGTCAGCATGGCGCTTGAGAAGATACGGGTACTACTACTGAGGCTGCACCCTGAGCGCGCAACAACCACCGTGACGGCTGGGACTCGAACGGTCGGTGCGTGTCATGGGCGTGGCCAAGGACTACTTTTCCCTTTGTTGTTTTTCGCTGTATTGAGAGAGCGGTTATACCCTTTGGAGTGGAAGATGATGGACGATGTGGTAATGATCATGGCATGGAAGCGAGCGAACGACCTCTTTTTTTCTGATCGTCTGTATTAACTTTTTTATTGTATGGTCTAGCTCGACAAGATGGATGCAAAGGGGGAGTGGCAAGTCGAGAACGTGGCTTTCTTTCTTTTCTTGATAGCTCCACCTGCGCATAGATTGATACCCCCAGCTTTGTACGAATGGACCTTACTTTAATCACGTTACGAGTTCACTCAATTTGCTCATCTTTGTGAAGTCATGATACTTGCGGTTCCTAGTCTCCACACTATGAATCTCTAGTCTACAAAGTCTCCCAACTACGCCGTCGCCTCAATCTTAGCCCTAACTACTAACTCACTAAACTAACCCAAACTAAACTTTCACGACAAGCCACCAAAAAAAATGAAACAGCCACATACTTTCCCCCAATAAACCCAATCAACAAAAAAAAGCCCCATCAACTACCCAACAAATGACAAACAAGGGAGATCACACCACTAAACTTCACAGATATAAGAAAAGAAGAAAAAAAAGCACACTTGAGAGGTTGAAGAAAAAAAAGGGTGGGTATCAGGAAGAAGATTTACCAGAATATTCAGACAACATAGAGAAAAAAAACTAAAAAAAACTAAACTTGTACACATCACAAAACCCTCTTATATATCCCTGTATGACCCATCCATTGGTTTCCTGCCTACGCCCCCATACTGCTGCTGCTGTGACTGCTGCTGAGTCTCAGCTCCGGGGGTAAAAGCTCGGTACGAAGGCTGCGGCGGTGCTTGTTGTTGTGGTGGTGCTACTGTGTCCGCAGCCGGAGTGTAGGATCTCTGGCCTGGGTACGCTGATACCGGCGAGGTTGTTTGGGCGGGGCGGCCGGGGGTGAGGGATGGTGGGGGGCCCGAGGATTGTGGTGGTGGTGGTGAGGGTAGGGGTTGCACGGGTGGTGGTGCTGGGTCGTAGGTGTGGTACGAGGGGGCTATGCTTGCGTTGTAGTTGTATGCGTTGGAGGCGGGTGCCTGGGATGAGTAGTTGTGCGTGGGCTCATCGGGGTAGTCTCGTTGGTCGTAAGTGTCTTGGTGGTTGTTGTAGGGCGCTGACTGGTTGTATGACTGCGGTTGGTTGTAAGATGATTGTGGTTGATTGTATGACTGCTGGGGTTGGTTGTAGGACGTTGGCAGTTCCTGGTACGGTGCGTGTATATCACTCTGTTGGCTCTGCTGGTCGTGGGAACCGTATGCTTGGGATGGTCCTGGTGAACGTCGACCATATGGCTGTTGCTGTTGCTGCTGGCCGTACCCTGCACCGGCTCCATACACTGGAGATCGACCCTGTCCAGGCGAGCCCTGGCGATATCCACCTTGCTGGCCATATGGCTGACCATACTGTCCCTGGTTGTTGTTGTAAGATGGGGCATCGCTCACAAACGAGTTGTTTTGTTGATATCCATAATCTGGCGAAACTGGGGACCTGCCCGGGCCAGGAGATCGTCTTGCTCCAGGTACTGCTGCTGCTGCCACGCCTCCCATGGATCCGCTTGTCACACTACCATTGCGATCTAGCCTGTCCAACTCCATGTCTCCCTTCTTTTGCGGCACTGGCTGTTCCTCTACCTCTACGTGCACATCCCGACCTTCCTTCCACGTCGGCATAGCTGGAAGGGAGTCTTCGTTTGCTGCAGGCTTGGATGAATCGAATGTGGCATATTGCGGTCTTTCTTGTTGCGGGGCAGGTGTAAAGGTGGGCATGGGGTTGGACTGGTATTGCTGCTGGTTTGCAAGTCGCGGGTTGAAGACTGGTGGAGGTGGCGCGGCAGCATGCGCCTGCGCATAAGGGTTCGCTTGAGGAGGCGGTGGGCCATACGATTGAGGAGGATATGGACGTCCAGAGTCACTCTTGATGCGCTGATGCGAGCTTCCTCGGCGACCGCCGCCACAGCAAGAAGCGCAGCATCTAAAGCAACAGCAGGCGCACTCAGCGCCGCAACATATGCATCGCGCAATGCAAGTAATCACTGAGAAGAGGATGAGACCACCAATGATGATTCCGACAATAACTGGCCATCTGTTGTATGTGAGCAAAGGGAAATCGGGCAAGGAGAGCCGCTTCTACGCACTTGCAGTAGGATTTGGCCATGCAGTTGTCCCATGACGAAAAGGTGTTCCTCGCGTCGTCCAGGGGGTTCTGGCGCGCCAACAGCGAGGTCCCGAGTAACGACGGCATCGCGATGGCAGGGGGCGTAACAGCAAAGTCACAGTTTACGCGGAGACGGAGGCGTCAGGAAGACGTGTTCCGACCAGCGGGTATAACGTGAAAGTTGAATTGCGATACGACGTTGATGATGAGACTAGGCTTATGACGATCGACGGCAGACAACGGGCCTCACATGGCTCCCGGGTAGATGGCAATCGGGAAGGGGGTCAAGCATGGGAGAGCCTGAGAAGAGGGAGGAAGAATTGTGTGTACTGTGAAGGCTGGTGTCCCTGAATGAAGGCCCGCTTAAGCCGAAACGTCGCAAAGGCTCGGTAGGGGCGGCGGCAGGTCAAGCACCCTTGCGACGCGTTTCGGTGGCTGAGCTGCCGCTTATAGAGTTTGGGCGCGCTATGGGCCACTCGTTCTCCGCGCCATTTTCCTGCCGACTGTCAAAAGAACGGCGTATAGCTATAGTGTCCAAGTAAAAATGCACAAGGATTGAGCTTGGCCTCCATGGTGCACACACACACACACACACACCTTGGGGGGTTGCTGTCGCCAACAATGTGACCAAGAGGTGGCGAGTCTTGGTGGGGAAGGCAAAGGAGCATGATCAACCTCCACACACCCACGGCACCAGCCTCGCCACCATCTGGCAAAGCAAATGGCGTCAAACGTCCAGAAGTCTTCCAGGTTCAAGCGTATTAATAGAAGATGGTATGCGATCCGACAGGCCGGGAATACTACGCATTTCTATTCTTCTTATGTAACGAACAGGTGTGTATGCATGCAATGCTGATTGGTTTTATGGTGAAACTTGGACATCTTTCGAATACACAGGGTACAGAATATGTACATGCTTCTTCTAGCTAGGTCGGTAGCAGAGTGCATGTGACTTGTCTCAAGTCTTTTGCATCATAGGCGATGGCTAGTCTAGTATACAGCAACCATGCAATGGCTAGATCAGAATCAGGTTACTTTTAGCGCGTACCGTCCATATTGCACCAGAAACCTGACCCAATACACACTTGACTAAGACTTGCGTCTCACAGAAAATGGACATAGGTATCTGGCTTCCAAGATCTGTGAATAGTACAGTGGGTCATTGTAATTGCAGGTATGCTGTGTAGGCTGATTCACAACTCTCAACGTAGCAAGTGGGTACATGAGCATCCCCCATACACCGATAGCCTCAACAGATTAGAAGACATCAAGAGGCCCAGCCTCGTCTCAAAATCGAGTCTCAGAATAGCCCAGCCAGCGGCAACACCCGATGCCGATATGACACGGAGGAAACACGAAATGCTCCTACTCGCCCCACGTGCCTAGTTCTTCCGAACTAGGCCCTACCCAGCTCAACGTCAACCACCAGCTCAACGTCAATTTCATCAACCCACACGATTTGTATAGTAAATTGACCGCGTAAACACGTA